ATACATCGTGACAGAAGAAAGTCGACTGTGCATTGCAATCCAGATCATCCATCCGTTTGAAATTGCGAATGGTCAAACGGCGGCCGCCCCGGGTCGCGGCTCCATCGGACAGACCATGGCATGCTTACAAAGTGTTATAACAAGGATATGATATCGTAGCTGCGCTGACTGGTTCACATGCAATGCGGTCTGCATAAATGCAGTACACATAGCAATAGGTCGGAAGGAATCTGATGAGCAAATTTGGGTGACCCGGTGAGAAGACTCAGATTAGCGTGCTTTAGTGACTGTGCTTATAAAAGTTCCTAGAAACGATGGAAACGACGATCGTCCGTGAATTCCTCCACTACCAGAACATCTTGGTTATTCGACCAAACAACCCCTCCCCAGCTGCTTTTTCTGCTGACTCCTTTCGTTCCAGCTTGGCTCTCGCCTTTTCTGACAAATCGTCAGGATGCAAATCGCCAACATAATATTGTTCTAGCATTTTGATCGCACTCTTACTGTGCCCCACATCGTCAAAGTCCTGGCTCGCATCTTGCGCTGCAAGAGTGGACGCAAAAAAGTGAGTCCATCTTGCAGCGCAAGACACGGCGTTTCTTAATCAACCTTGACTGGTTCCTTGGCTGTTAAAAACCGGACCGCAATGGCGAGCCCTAGGATAGCTAGCGGAACGAGAATCTGCAAAATCCGTCGGAACAAACTGGTTTCCTCCCCCGACTTTGCTGCGGCTCGTGTGGCAGCTGCCGCTCGAGCTGCTACCACCTTTGCTGGGAGACTGCTCATGTCAAACTCTCCGATGTAGTAACTCTTTAGCATGTCCCGGGCACTGTCGCTGTGGCCAACATCCTCAAAGTCTTCTGAGGCATCCTTGGCTGCACAGAGTAGTATCCCCAAACATCAAAATCAGAGACTTTGTAAACTTTCAAAGTCTGAAGGTTTCTCAATGGGAAGCAGCCGTCTTGACAAAAGGAAGACTCGACATAAGATCCATAACACATCGTGACTCGCCATAGCAGAAAGAAGAAGCAGAACATACTGCATACAGCGCTTGCTTTGAGACCCCCACAAAAGCTCTTCTATTATTCTGAACATTAACAAGCCCCAAATTGACGCCCCATCCTGAAGGGACTTGCATGGGGCTTCAACGTCCTCATGATGACGATTACGAGAAAGAGATCGAAAGTTAGTTCCTTTTGAGTCCTAGGCTGAACAGATGCACCCAGCAGCCCGTAGAACTCCATGAAATGCTGTTGATTTAAACCCCAAAATGTTCCCTGGGAGCTGTTGGCATGAGACAGGCTACACCAAGACAGAGCACCGAGCCTACTGCTGATTGCAGACACCAGCGAACCATCAGAAGAAGTGGCAGAGCGTTCCTTCACCTGTTGATGTCAATAGAACCTCGTCACCTCCCGGGTGTTCCTCTAAGAACTTGGTGACATCGTAAACCTGAAAGGGGAAGATTGTGAGTGAGCGCCGTACCGAAACCTGGGGCAACAAGACGAGGACCCTCTGCAGCTTGGACGACCTTGACAAAGAACCAGAAACATTTTGATGACTAGTATCTGGACAACAGAGATGATCGATGCATGAGAAGCAGTCAGCGGATATGAGGGCTGAGACGCATCTACGAAGGTTTCTGAACCTGCCCGCTTAACACACTCTATCCAAGCTTTCCAAGTGGGCGCCAAACCCTAGATCCAAGCTCACACTTGATATCATGCTTCCTCATCATCAATTTTGGCTGGCACCCATTGATGCCATTGATTTCCAAGGCCTCAAGCAGACACTTCGAGTCTTGCTTTCCAACTTCTTGTCAACACCCCATCAAAGCATTCAGTGGCAGCGCCGCTCTGAGATACGAATCAACCAGAAGACGGAAAGGTAAACTAGTGGCTTGCAGTTGCTTCAAGCAATCAGCATCACTCAGGGCCCCCATCTCTTCTGCTGACCTTGCCATGAATAACAAGCCAGGCGTCCTTCTCTGTGGTGTGCTTTGACGCTTCCTCAAGCGTTATAACTCGTCCCTCCGTCCCCTCTGCAACCATCGTGACCAGATCCTTGCACAAGCACGCTGTGAGCTCAAAGGTCGTTAGAAGGCGCCTCAAACAATGTCTAGTTCTCAAAAGATTTGTCAGCGTTCACGTCTTTCCAGGTTCCCCTTGTGCAGAACAGGCTTTGTCACTGTGATTCTGAATGTCTGAACTTGAAGCTCAGATCTGAACCCTGGGTGTTAAAAACTGCAAATTTCTGACTGCAGTGGCCGGGGCACTTCAAGCCCGGGTAGTGCCAAGCCTAGATTTCTCTAAATTAGATGCCCGGAAACTGGACACTCAAAAGGTTTAGGCGTCTGTTCACATATTTCCAAATGACAAGAAGTGCTGCGTTCTGCCAGGTCAAAATGCACACTGAATTTGCAGCTGGCTCCAGACGCAGCTCGCCACGACGCCAGCATTCAATGGCAAGACGCTTTTGCTGCCAGTGCATCGCTAATTCCTGCCGGTGACAAAGGGCGCCTAAATGCAGTCCTGTGAACGAAAAGCTTGGTCTAAGGTTGCAGCTTGCAGGGCTAGATCAGGCGCTCGCACGAGCGATGGCTTTGTGTTACCGAACCAGCAACGCCTTTGCACAAAACTTCCAGTCAAATAGATTCAGCGCCAAAGCTGCTGTTGCCAGCACTCTTGGTTGCTGTGAGGGAGCTCCCGCCTTGTTGAGTGAATCAAAATGGGCTTGCCTGAGAGCAGGACACTGTGGCAAACTTCCTTGTTGTGTTGACCATCGAAAAGTGGAAAACAGGAATTGGGGTTGTGCGCTAAATCTTGGCAAAGAAAGGCTGCGATTACGGTGGCGGTTGCAAGACGCAAGGTGCCGTTTGCCAACAACTAAAACTGCAAGAGACATGCGCGCTGAGCGGAAAGAAAGCACCTCTTGCTTTTTGGACACGGGGCCCGCCGTAGCCCCTTGTTCTGCGAGGCTTGTTGTTAGAAAGCGGAAGTCTGACCTGAAGAGAATAGCTGCGTCGGCTGCGGTTCAAGCGGGGTGGAACGTTTTCCTGCCTCAGCAGTACACTTACAGCACTGACCTGAAGGATGTTGACCCCCAGCAGGTAAGAAAGGAGTGGTTCCATGTGCAGATAACGCAGTGTTTAGTTTGATGGTGGTTCCTAACGTAGGCCCCGGTTTCCATATTATCATTCCACAAATTGCAAGTATGCTAGGCCCACATTGATCAGATAAAAATCATTTTCCCTCAGCATGCACTGTACTGGCCTCTATTGGACATGTATCTTCCCCCAGCCACAAGTTGCACAAAAGAGAAGCCCTTCCCAACCAATATGTTTTCGTCCATGGCAGCTTAGTGACCTCTGGGAACGTACTCTAGGAGAGAAGCGGAGTCCCCACAGGTGCGCGCTAGCAATGAGGAAAAGTTTTGCGGTGAGTCCTGTAGTAAGCATCAGTCCCAGATTTTTCTTTCAAATTGAGCACGTATCTTTATTCCCATTTGGCGCCGGCGTGCCTACAGGCTGGCAATTGATACATTTTTTGCAGTCAAATGGTGCAGTCGCATGCACAAATACGAAATGGACAACGATCAAAGTTGGCAACTTGGCACAGACTTCTCCGCCTTCGTACTTGCTCTCCTTGGACCTGTGCAGGGGACTCAGTTCAGGGACATCTCGTTGTAGAGTCTGCTTTCTGAAAAGGTCGTTCGCCTTGCTTCTACAGAATGTGATTCATGGGGGCTTCTTTGAGATGCTTTAAGTTCCCTGCAGTTTGTTCTAGTCATTGTCAAGGAGCATCATACAGAGACTTCGAACTGGCGGCCATCGCTCGTTAATCCAGGCACACGAATAGTTGGTGAGGTCTTCTGTCATCTGTGACGGCATCAAACTGGGCCTGATTGCCCTTGCTGTGATGTACTCTCACATAGCCACAATTGGTCAGTGTTGCTGTTGTTGCGGATGTTGGACAAAATTACTTGAGCACGTAATGTGAGCTGCTTCAACTAAAACGGCTTTGGTTTACACTACCCGTATCCAAGTCTAAACGTAGTGTGTTGTATTTCGTGTTGCAGGGGTAGCGCGAGCAATATCCGATGGGGAGTTTATGGTACGTTCTCTACAGCCAATTTGCGCGGGGCTGTGTTGTTTGATTTGCATGGCCCCCTTCTCTTCCTTCTTCTCGTGTTTGGAAAACGGGCCGTTTGGGTGTTGCAGGTCGCCAGTGGGATCTGTCTGGCTTTGATTTGCGCACGGGTTTACAAGGGCTTCTCGCTGTTGAGAAAGCAGAAAAATTGTTTCGGAATCCAATTGCGACCGTTGCCTTTGGGCTGTCATTGTCTAGCTCAGCTGGATTCTTCGTCAGCCAGGGTCAGGTCAGAGGTTACCCGATTATCAAGATGGTTAACGAGCCGTTTTCTTGATACATGCGCTGAGCTCGAACCGCCGTAGGCACATTGCTTAGGCCTTTCACGAGGAAGAATTGACGCTGGTTCTCGTTTGGTCCCAACCTTGAGCATCTATTAGCCAAAAAAGACGCATGTAGCACCTGTTCGTTGATCCCCTGCAGACGACTTTTTCACGACTTTATCGTTGATCCCCTGCAGACGACTTTTTCACGACTTTATCGGCAGAGCCTCCATCACAATTGGAACAAAGATCATCTTGACCGACCTCCGATTGGTTCCTGAAGCGCCTGTCAACCATAGCAATCTTTGGCACTGCTTTATATGTTGAGCCCCTTCACAAGAATTCCTTCATTGGCTTCCGACGTTGATCCTTCTCTAACCCGTCGCGTTTTGTTTCAATGTCCCAGGCGACCGTATGTGACGTGGCCGTAGACCCGGACTATACTGGACGGGGCATTGGACGCAAGGTGGTCCAGACGCTGGTCCGCAACATGAAGCTGCGGGGTCCCACCGGCTTTGCCGCCTTTCCTCCACCCAAGGCACGGCGCTTCTTCTTTATGTTAGGCTTTAGGTAAGGGCTGCAATCGCTGGAAGTATTGTGATGACGGGAGAGGCATGGCGGTCGCCAGAAGCTCTCTTGCTTAGTCGGATAAAGCTGTGCAGCCTTTCTCCAATCAGTGACTGTCAGACTCTTTGAGTCACACGCTAAATCGTCTTTTGAAGGAGGGGATGTTGCAATCCTGGGAAGAACGCTGGAGTTGTGAGAGGAGAGCTCGCAATGTATTGCCACAGAAACCCGCTTCAAACCCTGGGCGATCAGCTCTCTTTGGATGCAAGTATGCTCTTTAGTCTTCCACGAGAACGCCCTTTGCGGAATACAAGTCGAAGGACCTCGTTTCAAATGACCTGCAGCCTGGCAAAACTTAAACTGTGGTCTCAACAGACTCGAGAGCTTCTCCCGTCTTGTAGTGCGTGCTTTGATCAGTTTTTGCATTGATAAATGCCTGCCTTTGTGTACAGGATCGATAAGAAGTACCGGCTCATGTCATATGAGGGCAAGGGCGAGTTCCCGGACTTGCGGGACGAACAGGCAAAGTTGAAGGGGGCGAGACGAGAAAGCCAAGGTCTAATCGGGAAGGTCACCGGTTCGCAACCTGGTTTTGATTCAAACACGAGCATAGCTCCCGAAGGCGTAGCCGAAACGGGGGAATAAACAAAGCGTAGTCCTTTTCTGCGTTTTGACATTTGGTCAGCTTACAGTCGTCCTCGGACTGCCAAACAGGCAACGATAGTCAGAGTTAATGGAGGAGCTCATGCAGCTTTGCCAACATACACCACTTCGTAACCCCATCGCCGGTTGTCGCTGTTGGAACCCGGGGAGCGATCGTTTGAACCCGGTCAGGTCAAGGGCCCTTAACTCTGCTCTTGCCAGCCCAAGCTTACAAAGCATGAATGATAGTTTGTGATGACCTTGGCACCAAGCATTCAGTCAGTGCCCTAAGCCCACCTTACTCAGCGTCCCTTGCAGTTCATTTGCATGACAAGGACATCATTGTCCCTGATTGCTGGCGTTGATAGTACATAATATCATTTTGGGAAAGTGAACGACTCGTTGAATTTACGGAGCAGGTTTAGCTTTTCTGAAGGGGATTGGCTGCGTGCATTCAATAAACTCCCGTGAGCTTCAAGTAGCACTTTGTTGAACTACTTCGAATTTGTTTCATGCAATTGAATGCACCGAATGCATTCAATTCAATTATGCAGGCATGAGTACGTGGCATAGGTAGACTCAGACCGCGATGCACTACAAAATGCATGCAGAAGTGCATACACCATCATGCATCATCTATGCCGGGACTGTATGTGCAGGCCATGCGTCCAATCCCCAATTCCGCGGTTCTGGCCAGGCCGCGCGCGCAATGATTCTGGTCCATAATACATATAGAAATCGCGCGCGCGCTGTGCATGTGTGCGCTCGCGAGAATTGAACGCGGCCGGGTGCTGTGCCGCGGCCGCCATGCGCATGCACATACCCCTTGGGGCCTTTTGTTCACGATGGGGACGCAGTTTTAGCCCGTGACTCTGCCCCCTGCTAAGGAGACTGCACACTTGGAGATTCGAGAATATCTCTTGAGGCCAATTCAAGTTTCTGCCATTCCCGAATCCCATGGTGCTTTGAAAGTTCAAGCATTGGACTGGGGGGCGAAGTTCTAATGTGGAACAGCAGGCCTTCTATGTGCGCAGGAGTGTCAAAACCCCTTCAGCTTCTGACGCCCCTTGGCGGTTCGTCACCGTTCTGGCCATTGGGAGGAGGCAACCACGCGGCTCTAAAGATTGGGTGGCAAGAAGGCAGGCACCATGGAGTTCTGGGGTGAGTTGCTGCCGCTTGTTTGTACAAAGCTGCTGTTTGAGTCGGTGGTCGACGTGGACGACCTGGGAAACGCCAGTTATTAATCTTGAATGCGTTTTTGTCGCTCTTTCCAGCATACGATCATTGGGATATTACATTGCTGGCAATGAAGACTGATTCGTTTTTACAAAATGGACGCTTCGTTGGTGCTTTTATCAGGTGCAGTGGGTACATGGAGTTAGTTTCATCCTTTTGTTCGGCTCGCAGTGCGATTCTACACTATCAGCATGGTAATGGTCGGACAGCTTGCACAACTGCATTTGTTTTACGACACTGGTTTTATCTGCAATGCATCCAAGTGTAAATTGATATGTGCTGTCAGTACCATTTTTTTCTAGACTTGAGTATGATTTTTTTTGGTGGCGATTAAATTGCGGCACCCTGCCAGAGCTGATTAGTCAAATGCACCACTCAAGCGCAGAAGCACACTTTTCAAAGGGGTCCGAATCAGGAATCCACAGTCTTGTCCAGATCATATTGAGATGATATCCAGATTTACGCTTCTTGTGCTGGGGCTCATACCACCACTTTATCAATCACAATATTCTAATTTCTTGAGATGGCTATCGATTCTTATACTGTAAGCTATTATTTGTTGAATTTTGAGGAGAGTCACTTCTGGTACCAATGCCATTGCAAATGTTGTGCGTTTTGAATCCAGAATTCAGAGGCACACTCCGCTTCGTTCTTTCAGAGGAGTCCGTGTTGTCAGCTGCCCTGGTCCGCCTTTCCTTCTCGCTTACCTTTGACACCACCATGTTTCGTCCCAGGGATGGAGCTCCTGCCCAAGCAGGCGAAGCCAATCACATGCAGTGAGAACAGCTATCTGCATTTGACGCAGGTAAGAGCGCCTCGGTTCCGGCGGCCTTTTCTTTTTACCCGGCGGCCTTTTCTTTTTACCCCGGTTTTCTTTTCCTTGCTACCACAGGGCTCGAGGTCCCCCCCGGCGCCGTTCGGAAACGTTCAGACATTCACGGAGCAACTGCTCTGCACATCACCAAGGTGAGGGCCCGTTCGCACCACCTCCCGCTTTCTGAAGCGCCCCGCTCGCTCTGCAGTTCATGAGGTGCTCCCAGGAAAGCCGAGTGTGCTCAAAGGGGGCGGAGCCAATCTGCAAATCTCTGAGGTAAGGCTGAGCAATAGATACTTGAGAGTGGGTATCGTTCAGTCAATGGCTGGAGGCATTGTGTTTCTGTTGGCTTAACTTTGTTTACTACGATTTCCCTCCTTACTTTCTGTACTCTGCAGAATGGTCAATCAGCGCAAGCAGCACCAGCAAAGTTTTGTCTTGATCACAACCTCTTTTTCTCATGATGAGGCAATGATGTCATGCCAAAGCTCATTTGAGTTGGAAACGTTCCCGTTCAAGCGCTGCTTGCTGAGGAGTGGTGCTGAGCAGCAAGATGACCAACTTTTTGCACAGGACACTAGTCGTTCGCACCTTGTTTTGCAGCCATGTCGTGGCAAATCTGTAATGTCGTATCTGCTCGCTTGCAGATTTACGTTTAAAGTCATTGAGTCTAGATATAGCAGTAGACCTGACAGCCCGGGTCTTTCCTTCTGAGCAAAGCAGAACTTTGACTTGCTTTGCCACTCGCCAAGGACTATCGACCAATGTTGCACCGATCTGTGTTGTAGCGCACTTGCTTGAGGTGGTAGCATGTGGCCTGGTTCAAGCAAGCACGACACACTTAAAAGTCAACCAGCTTCCTCTATTTTGCGGGTCCTTCACAGCAGACCTGCGTTTGGCCTTATGTTCCGACTTCAACAAAATGTGTGAGTCACAGTCTGAAGAAGAGGTATGAGTTTTCAATATTCAAGGGTTTGGTTACATCCTTTTCATCTGTATTTTGCTCCTGCACTTCCTCTGTTAAGAATTCCGGTACGAGCCCTGGAGTTGAGCAAAGCAAGGTTAGTGGAAACAACAAACGGTCCCAAAAGCTAATTGTCGACAAACTCGTGCAGGCTGCGCTGGGGACCAACCCAAAGGACGGCGAGCGCGTCGTCCTCCAGATCGGTTTCGAGAAGGAGAAGTTCGTTCTCGGGACGCTCGTCAAATCCACCTGCGACCAGATGCACCTGGACCTGCTGGTCGACAGGGACTTCACTCTGGAGCACACTGGCAGCACCAGCGTCTTTGTGACGGGGTATGTGACGGCGGCCGACTTGGAAGAGGGAGAGGAGCTCGATGATTTGGAAGAGGAGGAGGATGAAGAAGAGGACGAGGATGAGGACGAGGAAGGTAAGGGGAGGAAGCGATGCATCTTTTGGAGTAGTTTTTGCTGCCTGCATTTGCCCTTGCTATGATGGCAATGACGTGGCTTTGGAGCGGAACCTTAGCCTTTCTCATTGCAATGGATGGCGTGTGGCGCAGCTACGGACAGTGGAAATCTCCGAATTTAGTAGTGTCCTTCGGCCCGCAGATCGAGAGAGAAGCGTTTCAGGTTATGTATTCAAGCTTCTCTTTAGTGTCTGCCTGTGTGACCTTCTCAGTACCTGGACTTCCATCTAGACCTTCTGACGTTTTGAAAGAAGTTATTGCTGCTCTCTCGAGAGGTTCTTTTGTCTTTGAGGCTAGCTAGAATAAGGAGCCATGGCCTTGAACCAGCAGCATTCGTGGCAATCACAAAGGGCGAGAAGATCAGGGACCATGGTCTTCAATGAACCTACAGGGACGCATTGTTGCAAGTTTGTTGTGAGGAGCTCCGCCACGGACAATGTTGTTCCGGGACCCAGCCAAAGAAAAACATCTAAATCTTGTGCACACCCAGGTATTGACATGTGGCGATCTGCTCACATGAGGCTCTTATTAAATGCAGGTGATGAGGAGGAAGAGGCGGCGGTGGTAAATGCGACCAAAAGCAACGGAGTGCCGAACAGGAAGGTTGGCAATCAAGCAGGTCAGGAATGGAGCGCACAACGTTTCTCAAAGTAATTTTTGCATGCTAAACGCCTCCCAAATGATTGCTGGTCATGTTGAAAACAAGCTGCTGTGTTGTTCATCTGCTGAACGGGTTCTTTAACCGAGTCAATAAGTTAGCTGCTTCTCTTACACGTTTCTTCAAGCCGAGAGTATGTGCCCATAATCACATGATTGAATGGCAGTCTGTCGTTCGGGGCAGGGCTGTGCTTCTTGAGGAGGATCGCAACTCTGCTCCCTTTCGAAATCTTCTAATTGGGACGTTTTTCTTGGTGGATAGTATTGGTCGCTCGTCCAACCTCTTGCCGCCCGACCTCGTCAAGCCTTGCCTTCGGCCTGCAACGCAGCGATCCGTCAAGTTGTGACACGAGCTCGCTTTTCTCCATTCAGCGGCGGCGGTTGCAAAGGTAGCCAAGGCTGCGGCCAAGGCGGAGCCCATCAGGGTGTCAGGAGTGATTAGAAAACCTGATGCGGGCGACCTAGAGGAGGACGAAGATGAGGACGAGGACGACGAAGACGATGACGATGACGAGGTGAGCTTTTGGGCATCGATTTTTGAATTGGGCGTCGGGGTGTTCTGACGTTAGCTGCATTCTCTGATGGCTTCAAATCTTCGATGGTTATGGACGATCCACGAGTACGGAACGACAAGTTAAGACGTTGCTGGGCGCTGTGGAAATCCACTTTGGTTCTGCGTGTCCATACACTAGTTAAAAGCTTTTCGGTGTTCATCAGAGCCGCTAAACCACCAGTTTTGAAGGCTTTCTGGAAGTTGTTGAAACAGCTCAGCTTCCTAATGCCGTGCTCGAAAAACAGCGTCACCTTAGTGCGCTTGCGAGGCTGCGGTTCTGGTTGAACTTTGCCGCTTCGACGTTGTCCAATCTAAAGACGTATTTCACGAAGCTAGATAGCCTGGAGGGTTGTCCGTCACGGGGCTTTAACAAGACCCCTCTTTCAGAGAGGCATGCAAGTGTCAGAAGCTATTTGGTTACGACCATGCATCGCAACGCACTGTTGCTTTGTGAATCCACCACATCGCACAAAAGTCCTCAGCGCAATCGCCTACGACCCCCTCCGTCGTGTGGCCTTTGCTGATACACTGATGTCTCAATATCGCTGTTGGAATTTCATTCGAGCGTGTTCGGCAGTAGCGGGTTGGGGTGCAGTAACGAGCGCTGGACGCTTGATGGAAAATGAAGCACGTTCTCCCCTCTGTTTATTCCCAAACGGCAAATTCTGAAGCGCAGTCTTTGGTAAAAGTCTTGAGGCCGGCTGCTTGAGACCAGCCCCTGACTGCTGGGCGGACCAGACTTGACGACTGTACTCGTTCGCGGGACTTACGTTTGCTTTCACTACGCGCACTGTTCGAAATCAAGAAGCACGTATCCAGAAGCCATGTCAGTAAGCGATATTTTGATTTGTGCCAGGACGATGATGAAGGCGCGGTGCTGCGGGGCGCCAAGGAGTTCGACATGGACGAGGACGATGACGTGTCAGACGAGGATGATGACGAATTTGCGGACGGGCTGGCGGACGAGGACGACGACGATGACGACGAGGTGTGCATCTACTCGCACTGGTGCTTTGTAGCATCTTTCAGAGTCGACTGTTAAACTGCTCTCGTGCGTTCTGTTTTGCCTCCTTATTTGATTTCAAAATGCGTAGCATCTGTCTGTGGTTCCCTCTTCGTCTTCTCTTGTACATTCTGTGTTGTGTCAACTCGTAACCTTGGTTTCTCACGAATCGACCTTTCGTTGTCACTCGTGTGTTGTACCTTTCATTCTTCTGTAAGCTTCGATCTGGTCGTGTGGTGTATCACTGTCGGATCAAATGGTTTGCCCTTTTGCAACAAGCTCTTCATGTACTTAGAGCGGTCTTTCTTGAGAAGAGCTTCGCCTCGAGACATTGCTTCCTTGAGTCCGGCCTTTCCGGCTGCCGCTGCGCGGATATTTGCCAGAGGTTGTACGTTCTATTGAAGCAGAGTAGCGAAGCTTTTGGGCCCCAGTCTAGTTCCTCACTTGTCGAGCCTGATCTCTCCAAACCGAAACTGATTGTGGCAATGGAGAGTAGTCAAGAGACGGTTAAAGAAACTTTTAACGAAGGCAAATTTCAAATTTTTCTATCCATTGCTTAACCCTTTCTCCTTTCCATCCGTCAGGAGGCCGACTTCGACGACGATGATGACGACGAGGATGACGATGAAGATGACGAGGAGGATGACGACATGGACGAGGACGAGGAGGGAGTGGAGGTGAGGTCCAGGCTTTGGTCTCTCTTTCTTTCTCTTCTCTCTTCATTTCTCATATCCGTCCAGTATCCTTGATTTCCGGAGTCGTTTGGGTGGTGTCGATGGTATGCGGAAGAACTGGTTAATGAAGTTTTCTCGCGGAGACACGTTTCGAAAGACAGTGGAATTCCGCACAGTTGGCAGTTGTGAACGAGACGGAGATCTGCGGCTTTACCGCTTGCGTCTATCGTCTCCTTTGAAATACGTTAACTGATTACCAGCTTTCCTCAGGCGAGCCCGCTGTCTTCGTAAGATCGCGTCGTTCGAAAAGAACTCTGAAAGCTTCTGCTTCGAAGGTGCGACGGTCTTGAGAAGACACTCGTGCTCAGAAAAAATGGTTGCCTTTACTTTTGCCCGATCTCTCTTCTATGGAAGACGTATCTTCAACGCAAACTCTTCCGAGAGAAACGTGCATCCTCACCCGTTGGTTTCTCGGCAGAACGTGCAGCCTCCCCCCAAGAACGGGAAGCGGCCGGCGGCTGAGCCCAAGACGCCGGGTACGCAAAAGAAGGCCAAAGTAGACGCCACGACACCGAAAACTCCGGCAGGTGAGACGCGACACTGAGGTTTTCCCTTGTCAGTTTCCGACAAAAGAGTGTGGGGGCGCCTGAGGACTCGGAAACCCCCTGGCATCCGCATCAAAAAAAAAATCAGCGGATTGTCAACAAGCGCGCGTGCTCCTTAGGAATTGGGTGTACCGCATGCGCAGCATGCGAATTTAAAGAAACTTGTGACCCGTCTGCAGTTCGGAATTGCTGCATCTTCGTTTTCAGGCTTTGCTGGGTTAGTCAATAGTGGCACTCGTCAGCGTGTCACTTTCGGTCTCTTACATTGAGTTGACGGTCTGGGGATCATTTCAAGATTGCTCTGGCAGATTGGAGCAAGCTTCTTTCTGCAAATGCATCGCCTCGAGCTCCGACGCGCAGAGAATTCAGCGCTTGTCCAGGCATACGGTGTTCGAATCACACTTTCTGCACTCCTTCTGTTGGTCTCTCGGGCATCAGTTGGAACTCGATCACTGTATTCGGTTCGAGGGGACGCAAAATTGAAAGGCTCTCTCTGGAGGCTCTTAACGAACGCATATCTACCGTTGCAGCTGCTCCTAGTGCGAAGAAGACGCCCGGAAAGGACAAGACGCCGGCCCCAGCCAAAACGCCCAAGGTGGGTGCTTTTCCCTTCTAAACATTTGCCTGCTGGATTGCTCGTCTCAGGGCGAGGGACGCCTTTGTTGCTTCCAACCATTATTCCATCGGTCGACTAGTTGAGCCGCTCATTCGCGCTCTATGCATTATATCGGGGCTGATTTATGAAACCTGGCACAGGCCAGGTAGAACCCTCAGCTAAATGGAAGTCAATGAGCATATGCTCGATGCTTGAAGAGGTTCTTCGCGTGTCAAAGTCACGAAAGGTTCTGCTTGGTGCAATGCAAGAGCAATGCCAGAACTTCTGGACTTGTTCAAACCTATCCTAAATCAAAAGTACTCGCTTCCAGGGATTAGGCTGCCCGTTCCATAGGCCATCGTTGCCAGTATATGCCGAGAGATACTTTGAAGAGAGAACTTCATCTTTTCCCCGATTCGAGCACCATGCTGGTTGGCTGTGAAAGGGAGTCCCTCTCGATGCGTCCTGTAGCAGGCTCTGCGATACCAGGCTTCGAAGCAGGAGAGACAGGATCTGGCGGCATTTGCCGTGTTGCATCCAAGCGGGGAACGTAGTTCGTAGTTCCCCATACTTAGAATTCTAAGCTCCCTGTTCCGTTCCTTTGTAGACGCCAGCCGCCTCGGGCAGCCTAGGCAAGTACCAGTGTGAGCCGTGTAAGAAGTAAGTCGTTCTTTCCCGCTCTTCGTTTCAGTCTGCGCTTTACGCTCGCCGGGGGGGAGCGGCGCGGGCCCGGGGAAGGGGCCGTCGGGGGCGGGGGAGGGAAGAGGGGGAGGGGGTCTGGGCGAGGGGGGCGCCAAAGCGGTGCTCAGAGGTTCAAATGTGCGTTTGTCGAGTCCAAGCTTTCCGCTTTGCCTTCTCCTTGTTTCGAGTGGAAGACGTCGGTCGTTACAGAGTCGCGACTCTGCATTCACGAAAGCCTTTCTATGAATCATATTCGGCTGCTTGTGGTGTTCTTCTCGTGGAAGAGCACCCGTCGCTCGTCGCCTTTAACTTCGACAGCTGAGCGCTATAGAGATTGTCGCCAACTGTTGTTGAGGAAAGTGTGTTCGCCTTCGAGCTTGTCAGGTTGTGTCCTGCGAAATGCATCATCAGTCAATGCATCATCAGTCAAGTCGAGTCCGTCTGAATCTGGAGTTTCTCATACGTCTGGTGCTGGTCTGCTCAAGTGACACTGCTTGCGGGTCCTTGTTTTGGCGTGTTGATTTCTGGTCGGTGCATGTTCTGCTCGGGATGCAATGATTACACACATAATCTCGTTAACCTGAAGGGGCTTGCCCCCTCATGGAGACAAGCAATATCCAATTTTTATGAGCATCCACAGAGCCTTGCATGCACCGTTGAACCCTCACCTAGAGGGAGGCTTGTTTCAGAGCGATTTTGTCAAGATGCTAATGATTGCGCACTTGTAGTGGTCCTTCAAGGTCTGATTGAGGGTGTCCGGGCGGTTCTTGGTTGTTTGTCATTTGGTCAGTCTGCTGCATGCAAGGGGTGGTATCTTTGCCAGAAGTCCGGCAACCCCCTGCTTGTTTATACTCGCTTTGCAACTAAAGTAGCTTCTTCAATTCGACCTTTCAAGAGTTTCCAATCACGTTGTTTGCTTCTGGTAGAGCTTTGAAGGCATTAGAGGTTTCGCCAAGTCCTGCATCTTGGGAGTACTTTTTGAGAGCTCAAGTCGTTTCGTGGAAAAATGTCAAATCCTCGAATATCCGTTCTTGATTGCTGTTTGGGCAGCGCTGATGACAATGTAGCGTCCATTGTTGCAGGAACTTCACGACAGAAACGGCTCTGAGCCAACACAACAGTGCAAAACATAAATAAAGTAGTGCGAGAAGCTGGTATTCGAGAAGGGCCTTTGCCCAAGCAAGAGCTGTTTGTGTCTCCTTGCATGCTTCATAAAATGCTGGCGGAGGCTTTGCATTGAGGGGCGACGGAAAAGGACATACAGGTTTTCAGCTAGCCGGCTTTTGGTGTGTCTCAGCAGATGAGTCATAGGTCGTGTCCCTACTGATGGTGCTTGTGGGTGTTCATAAATTGGCACGGATCAAAATAATTGTTTGCTTGTAGGCTCAAGCCCAATACAAAGAACATGACACGCAGTTTTTTCATACACCCCAGATTCTGTGAGGGAAGACCGAGAGTAAGCAGTATCAATTGTCCTCGATAAGGTCGTATACTTTTCGAATAATGGATGAGGTGTTCCTTTGTTCCTCTTGACTGTTGCGAGCCAGCCGTAGGCCGCACATGCATGAAAACTTAAGATTGCAATCAATCTCGTCCACGGCTTTCACGAGTTGCTAGCACGTAGTGCATGGCGTTGCTTGCAAGTGCATTGAATGGCTGGTCGGGCAAGTTTAGTTTTGTCCCTATGTGGCATTATCAACACTAAGACTTGCAGTCAGGCGGCCTGGCATACATGTATGGTAGATGAGAGTCCATGGCGGACATGATAGATCGTTGATTGAAGCTAGCTTCATGCAATCGATCACATTTTGGCACGAATCGCCTAATAGCTATATGCGCCATGGTACTAAGCCAGTCGCCGGCCGTCCAATTGGTGATTTCTATTACATTTCCCCTCCGGTTAGTCGGATGCAACTTAGCGATTATAAGTAGCACTATAGACAGACATATATGTATGTTGATCCGGCCACGCGGGCTGCATGCAATCTTGCGGTTTCGATGTGCATATACGACACATGCAAATCGACACATGCCACATCCCTGCACCAAACGTCTTGCAAGGTTCTGATTGAAGCTAGGCCGAGGCATTAATCGTGTCAAAATCCATGTGCAAGCTAGGGCCTGATGGTCCGGAATTACCCTTTCCAATCGCTCGAGACGCCCTGTATTCGCACCTAGCGCGCATATGGCAGTTGAGTTTGCGTTGTCTTCGGGCATGTCAATCAGGACACCCTGTGAATTAAATTGGCCTGAAAGAACTGACGGGGGCCGTGCGGGGCCTGGTGGAATGAAGAGTCAACTCATTGTAGTGACCCCGGTCACAACTGGCAAGCAGGTTGCCCGGAAACAAATTAATGCGGCTCGGATCGTTAGACACCGCTAGTGACCATTCTTTTGAATCACCACTAGTGACCATTCAATGATTCTTTTGAAACACCACATGCTCAATTGATTTAGGCGCATACACAGTTGTGTATGTTGACATTAAGAGGAACTAATGGATCTTGAGAGCCCAGACCTTGTAACTTCCAAAACGTTGTTAAACTGGGGCACTAAGTTATTGATACTCCGCTCAAAATAGCATGCTACATACGGGTCATCTGGTCCAAACGGCCACGCCCCTATTGTGTTCCACTAAAAGTCGAGATGACAATGATGTACAATAAGATTAAGCAACAGGGCCAAACCCCACAGCGTACAAGAGATGGTTATGTTTGCAGGTTAAAAAGATTCAACGGAGACTGACACTTGACAGGGGGTTCCCGGTCTGTGATGGCAAAGCTCAAATCTCCCCCGCGAGTGTAGCCATCTTGATGACCACACAATACCACACGATAACCTATTTAATTCCAGCTTTGAAAACCGATTCACCCTCCCAGGCCCCTCCATCGCTTCCCTTCCTGAGATGGCCAAGGTATGCAGGGAAACATCTGAGCTCAATCTGTCCAGTTGGTCCGTAATTGACGGAGGCGCTAGATCTATCAGACTTCCCACCAACACTTGGTGTTCCAACACTTGAAAACAAGCTTCCACATTGTCTACTTTTACCCCCCTTTCCACTATGCTGCCAAAGATTGCCGTACTCTCAGAAGCTGCTGCCGGCACTTGCATGTGCGCGATTTTTAACAACCTCCGGTGGAAATAGTCTGCTGCGGATTGAAGGCCATGTTCGTATGCAAAGATATTTGGCAGCATAGAGAGGCTCCGATCTTGCCAGCCTTTGGGTAATGTCATTGTCCCAGAAGATATGCAGTATAAAAACCAAAATACTAAACCAAATAACGAAAAACCGAAGATCGGTATCGCAATCAATCCAAGGGCCGCACCGCAAGTGATGAGGACAAAGCCTGAAAACCCTCCAACATCTTGCGCAGCGGTAAGTGCAAGTGCCCCCGGAAGAACCCCTAGCACCAAAAAAAGGCCCATCAAATATTCCCTCGCGCCGTACAAGGTATCCACAATATCTCTGTTGCATCTCAGGATATCAACCAACGATGTTGGAATGTAACCCTGGTCTACCAGATTGTTGGCCAACAGGATCGAGAAAACGGCTCTCAATTCCTTGGGCGCCTTTGCTAGGAACTCTCTGCTATCCGATGGAACTTCAACAGCCTGCTCTGCAGATGCTACCGTAGATCTTTTTGCTAGAACCAGCTTCTTTGCGCGTTTGATGCCCCATATCTCGACAATGCTAAGGAGGGCTCCAGCTCCTTCTAGAAAACAGATCCACACAAGGAAGGCATAGATAGGCACCCTCCCATAGTGCCCCTCAGTCCCAGAGATATACCAGGTCGCCACAGCTGTGATCAGGATACCAGCCGATTTGAAGGCTTGCCAGCCAAACCCTGCCCAAGTTTTCGCAGTCAGCCAGCGTGCAACCCCCCTTTGTGAAAGCAGTGTCACTACGCTGATGACCATGAGGCCCTGAACCTGGGTATGAGAGTAAGCATTGGCGAAACCCACCAGGGCCAACTGCAACTCGATGTTCAAGCCGAGCATGACCATGAAGAACGAGTGGAAATTCAGAAAGTGATCTGGTCGCCACTCGCCACCACGTCGGACGAAGCCCCCAACAGAAAGCGTATGCAGGATGACCATCGAAAGGCCGACAGTCAACGTCGAAATGTCCAGCAACACAACCACAAGTACTAAAACTTCTGTCTTCCTGCTCAGCTGGTTCCGCAGGACTTGCACTAAGCCCGCCGCTGGAGCCTGGGCAGATGCCATGATGGCCGCCACAAACTTACAAACCTCAGCTGAAAGGCTTGCAGGGATGCCTCCTTCCTGGCCGGGGAAGGGGGTTCCCCTCGCGGACAACATTTGACGTGGTCTCTTTTCGAAGTTGTCGCCGTAGCCATAGGGTCCGCCATTGGCATACCGGGTACTAATACCTAGGCTTATATGAATACTTGCATGATTACTTACGGCAATACCGTACCGTATGTGGTCACCGTCGTGGTATGTACAGTTGACTGGGACTTCAGTCAGGGGGACCAAACGCCACTCAAAGTCCGTGAACCGTGTTCCGCACCGTCAGATGAGAAATTCTTTGACTTTGACGGTCAAGATTGGTTCATTTTGATGTCCCGAGGCAGCTGCGGTCCTCGGTTGGTCTCAGGAGAGGGTTAAGAAGATTGTTAGAAGAAGGTTAATGGGTTTTTGCCTGTGATACCCACCTAAACCAGCCCTCTACATCTCCTGAACGGCGTTTTGCCCGGACACGAAACCTCGGGGTTTCGAAGGTGACCCTGTGGAGGTTCAATCCCACCAGCTTTCGGTTCCGGGCAAATAAGCCGTTTGGCTGCTGGAACACTGTTCATGTTGCTAACCTATTTACCCGGGGCGTTTGGTCCCCCTGACTTCAGTCTCCGACAGAGTAGGTAGGTACTCTGTGAAGTCATGTGAGGCTCACAGCCAAGATATACAGGGGAAAAGAAGAGAGAAAAGAGTTAAAAAATCGGAGAAAAAAGAGAAGAGAAGAGAGAATATATGACCAGATTTATAAGGAAGTTTTATGGTTATCAAATGGCAGTGCTTCGCACACGGGCATTTGAAAATCGATTTTCATATCCAATTTACGACATCCCCAGCCTGCCATCGATCATCTGCATCGGACGGTCCCAACATTTCTTGATTTCGATGACGCGGTTTTCGCGTCACTATTCGTACACTTATATTTGGCCGGCCTCCCTCTTGATCGACACGCGGCAAAAGTAAGTACTAAGGCCGTCGACATTTGACAAGGGGCATTCTGAGTGGGACCAATAATCACGTATCGGTACGATCTTGTAACTCTACTGTGCCCTACGGTATATAACCGCAGTGTGCCTTGAAATAGGCGCCCGGGGGACGGGCGAGGACCGCGAGGTTGGCTTGGTGGTTAGGGCAGGTTGGGGTGCGGAGCGCGTAGGTTTCTTGGTTATTGGGTTTTCAATTGAGGTGCCCGGGGCTTATGTACCGGTATCTTAAAACAATTTCCTCTACCAAATGTTTTACAATCAGTACGCATTTGACTCATCCGGTATTACCGGTTAGGCCTTAGCGAGGCTCCGCGTTCGGAGATGGCTTCATCACGGTCAGCAGAAAGATGATTAGGTACCTCAGGCTGACAGACAGGCTAGCTACGACTCCGACTCCGACTCCGGGGGCCCGGAGGCCCGGCACGGCCAAGCCTCGCCAGGCCCGGCACGCGGGTGGGGTCAAACTTCCTCGACCGCTCGTGCGGCGAATTAGATTTGATTGACACTGGACCGTACGGAACAATCCAGGACTCCCATGTCACCGTGCGATGACAGCGGTAATGCTTGTAGAGCAGCCTAAAAAACTTACTGCAAACGTAGTGTAAAACCATTACCAAGGGCGGGTTGGGTTACTATCAGGGCTAACCTCAATTGCTGTCACGCAAAATCCCGAGAAAAATGGGCTAGGAACTGAAATTTGACAAGCCTACCCCACCAATGCACTCAAAATGGACAAATATGCAGAATTTGCCTTGACAGTCTTGTTTCTCTTTCTTTGCTGATGCGTTTTCAGCTATCGTATGCCCTCATTGGCCCAAATACGAGAGAGATTTTTAGAGATGAATGGAACCCAGCACAGCGCTGAGCGCTGCAGACAGTCAACAGCTTGTTCAAGAGGTATTATAGAAGGGGTAATGTGACAAATAGGGCTTTGCGCATTTGCATGGCCACTAATAGCTAAGTCCAATCAAGTAGAATTGCAAAGATTATAATGCTAAACCATAAACTATTGAGAAGTAGCCATAAAAGTCTACACATGACCGTAAACTGCGTGCTTCAGCAATGGACTTGTGCCGTTTTGCCATGTAACGGTAAGGTTATATACATGTTTAACTAAGGTGCGCAACTTGCTTGAAGCTCAAATGAGTTTCAAAATATTGCAACTATGGCCTCTTTTTGTTCTAGCTCATTTTTGCGTTGTAGCTCTCTGCGCAATTCTCTGTGCATGCATATCTCATGCACAGTGGTTTGGGAGAGCATGCAGCCTGGCCACTGATCAAGCTACTGAAGCCAAGGTAAGTACACGGGTAGTACGATCCTACCTGTGCGATCAGAAGTTTCGAAGTTAGAACTCTGAGCAGTCACTAAATTCTACCGAATACGGCACCAGGAGTGTACCTTCGCCTACCCGGGACTGAGAGCGCCGCGCGACCTACTTGATTTTGCGTAGGGCGGTAGCACGGTTAGATCGCCCATTTACGAACCGAGCGCGTTTGTCGAAAGTTCTCGGATTTACGTGTTTGATAGTGCATTATAATTAGTACTAATTATTCTGCCCGGACCGAGTTCGAAATTTTGCCGCCTAGCGGCCGCGCGACGCGGCCGCAGTTTTCAGAATTCACACGTGCGAATGTTGCGTGGCTCGGCGCACGGTCACTTTGACATTTTCTGCCCGGTTTTGGGGGCCGTGCATGTCAACCCGACCCCAGGCTACAGCCTGAAACACTCACATTGATGAAAAAAATAGTGCCCGGTTATAGTGCAAATGGCCCTACGGTTAGGTCAAAACGGAATATCCGGATGCCGACCGGAGGTGACGTCAGTGTCAGATCCGCCCGTGCAGTGTGTCAGTCGACGCAGAATCTTCCAGGCTTTCCAACGAATCCGAAAGCGCCCGAATCTGACAAAATCTCATAAAGTTCAATGATTGCAAAACTGGGGGGGGTGGCCGGATGGACGGTCGGGTCACCGAGCGCGACAATTCGGCCGCCGGTTGCTGACGTCATGTGCCGAGCGGCGCGACCCTCGAGGTCGGTAGTTCGAATCACGAAAGTGCCATAGGAACTTTGAATCACTACTTTTGGACCAAATGCCACAAAGTTATCGCCCTTTGAAGATTAGATTCCCTGTTTTTTCCAGCATGGACGCTGAAAATGGGCGATCTAACCGTGCTACCGGTATAAACCTTCGGCTGGTCAACGTTTCCGTCGATGTCAGCCGCGTGTTACAATCGAACGGTGAATCGAGTGGAGACCGCAATTCGGCCTGAACCTCCGGTCTTCGCGGAAACAAGTTAGCTCCAATTTTCTCCACTCAGCTGCCTAGCCTAGCTACGAGTGAGCTACGAGCTTGGCCCTCGCTTGGCCTCGGAAATGGTCTTCTTGACGATGGTGCGTAGTGTACCTAGTACCTACTGCACTACGGTACCAAGGTTCCAAGGTACTAGGTACCTACCTATCATCACGCATGCACAACCTACCAACCTACCTGAGTATGTACGCGCTAGCATCACTCATCACTCTGACTACTACTACTGGTTAAATGGACTGGCATGCCTATGGCATCCAAGTCGCACTCCCCGTTTGAGCCGCCATCACGTGGGCCGAGTTCCTGTCGCCTGCACTTGCTGCATCTGATGCTTTCTCCCTGATGATGCACTGGGCATTGAAGTTATACTCAAGTCATGCAATTTCCTGCACTGGCATGTGACGTACGCCAGCGCAGTTCCGTTGCATTCTGCGGCCGCCTGCGTGGCGCGCCGCGGGCCGGGGGACCGTCGCGACGGTCCCATTGCGGTAGGGAGCCTAATTAGTCGCCAGTCTGTTATATTTATTATCTGTTACAGTGTAAGAACGCCACTGGCGTCAAAGTCGTCAAGGTAGCTTGGACAATGATGCCTACTAAGTCCTTAGTTTTGTCGCATATCTGTAGAATATACTGAGAGTCGAGAATAATTGTTCCTTAGTACGTCGCGGAAGGACATTGGCCGCCCCCCGGCCGCCAGGCCATTGGATGTCCACGCCTCTGACAAGGTTAGACTCGGATGCTCGTCTCCTCGTCAATCGACTTATTGCGCATGGGCGTTCCGACACCCTTTGCTCAGGCTCCTCACAGTAGTATAACAACCGGTTGTCAGCCTCGGCGGCACTCCCTCATCCCCTCAAGGTGTCCAAGCAGCGGTCCTGCGGACGGCCCTTTCGAATAGTTTGATGAAATTATAATCAAGAGCTTCAAAGATGCGCAATGAAGCTCATTATCGGAGTCCTTGCATTCTCAAGGCCGTATCAAGTGTATGATTGTTTGGATTCGGAGGCTTGAACTGCCTGAAAAGCTTAGGATCTGCATGAGACCATTCAATGATGAACGGGTGCAAGTCGGAAGGCGGCGGTGACAAATTAGACGAGGCGACCGCTGAGATCCGTTTGACCCCCATGCGTATTAGTCAATCTGCATGATATCTAGGTAAGTGTGTTTGGTATCAACTTCCAACACTGGCGTACGAGAAAGAATACATTTGGAGTTGTGGGTTTGCAAACGCATCCATGTCCTGCTAGCTACCCTATCGAACTGCAACCCCAACGTCTATCAAACTTCGATTTTGGGTTAGTCTTTTCAAGTCCCGGGCTGCTCGTCTTTCAAGTCCCGGGTGCGGACGGGCCTGCTCCACATCTAGTTTGGTTTCGGAAGCATCCGGTTCGCCACAAAAGGGTTCAATCTGCGCGCACCAGAACCGGCTTGAGCTGTCGAATCCAAGCTGGACCCAGTCCAGTTTGCGGCTTCGGTTCACAACCAACCCGCCCTGTGTATGGATCAGCATGTGCCCTTAGCCGGGGGTTGCGAAGCAAATGATGTATTCAAAGCGCATCTCTTCCCAAAAATGGCTGCGACATCTGAACAGGCGTGAAACGTATTTGGTGCAATAGAATTGAAGGGAATCTTCGCCATCAACAATATAATCCTCAAGGGCAACAATGCACGGGCCCTGCATGAGAAACTAGTGCCGATCTATGTCCTCGATTCATTCAAACATCGATGCACTGTCCACGTCTGATTTGAGCCAAACGGTACACTGTTAAGGTGCGTCAATATGCATCTATGCACAGTCACACTGGGGAGGCTGATATGAGAGACCACGCGACACATCCCGCATACACCTCCGCTTCATCGGCTGTGCAAACATGGGGCGCTTTGTCTGCCTCGGCTAAAAAGGAGAGTGAAGCGTGACCATAGGGTGTCACGGGCCCCTATAGCATCATAACACCCGCATCTTGATACGCCAGCAAAGATGGTTGGAAGAGATTCTTGCCGAGAAGGTGGCTCGTTGGGTACGCTTCGGTTCAAAGATGGTTCGAGAATGGAAAGTTCCAAGGGGTCAAGCCGCCTGATAGTGACTATGATGGCGGTTGCAGACTAGTACAGGCTCGTTGCGGAGAGGTTAACCGCCAAAGCCACCCTTTATTGCACATCTCGATCTTCAACCCAGCCTGGTCCCTTCGCCTCGAGTTACTCACGTCGATCGACCACGATCTCAATCTCCGCGCCGGCCCCCGCCGGCGCCCCCCTCCCGTCCCTTGACACGCTTGCTGCCGACGCCTTTCCCAAGGTAAGCCCACTTCCCGCCGCTCTCGTTGGCAGAGCCGTTGCCGCCGCCGCCTTCCCGAAGGAAAGACGATGGCCCGTCGCTCTAGTTGGCAATCCCGTTGCTGCTGACAGTCTGCCGCTCCTTGCGGACATTTTTTCCGCTGGAAATGCGGACGCTGCGGACACCGCCTCGACCAGGGACACGGTTGGCGAGAGCGTTCCGGGGGGTTCCGCCGAAGGGACATTTGACCCGGGCGGCGCGCTGGAAGCGGCTCCCGGTGCGCGAGCGCGCCTGCGGAGCTTCACGAGCGCGCGGCTGTTGAGGAGCGCCTTGGAGCCTGGCACGCGCGCGTCCTGCGGGGTTTAAGGGTTTGCTTTTAAAGCCGTTCCGTCAATACGAATCTCAACCTCCTCGTAAGGCCGAGGAATGCGTAGACAAGCTTGTTTCTTGGTAGTATTACGATTTCTCGTCCTCGTCCTTTTACACTACCTTATCCTGAAACATTGGGTTTTGCTGCAGCTTGCTAAAATTTGGAAGCATGGAGCGATTGGATGCGTTGCCTCTTTAACGTCTGTAGGTTATGCATCTTCCGTTTGCAAGGCAATCAACAATATCCAGAATGTCTTAGGTCCCATCCAAGTGCGTCGCAGACTATGAAGAAAGCAAACTTCTCGATTTAGCGCACACCGCGTTCAAGTTACTCCTCCAAGCCGATGACCTGTGCGCATCATTTGCGCCGATCGAAAAGGTGTGCAGTACGAAACAATTACCGCTGAAGTGAACGAGAACCATCACACGTTATATCGGCTTCCAAACACGTGTCTTTGTGAGAAGTTGCAGAGGACCAAAGCTGGCACAAGCAAGCGCTTGAAGGTGACCGGAGCAAAGCGAACCGGGATCTCACTTACGTGCACGCAAATGCCAGCGAGAGGCCCGGTAGCCATTCCCCGACCCTGCTGACCCCCGCGCGAATGATTTTGGGCTCAAGACAATGGAAATTCGTAATGGAGCTGCCAACACGTCGTCTATGGAAAGAAGCAGGCAAAAGCAAGCGCTTCACAGTGACCGGACGAGAACTAACCGGGGGCCTGGATACCCAAACTCAGCGTACCGAAAATAAATAATGAACCATTAAAAGCCAGCGTGCTCACCAGCGTGCGCGCAAACGCGAGCGAGGGGCTCGGCAGCCATTCCCCGACACGATTGACCCACCCCGCGGGGGCGTCCAACGCGCGGACCCACGTGGGGTGACGTTTCCCGGTCTCCTTGCACCGGGCGACGATGACGTCATACCGCGCGAAGACGCGCTGGATGGCGACCTTGACGAGGTCAGCCAGGAGCCACCACGCGATGACGTAAGCCCACGTGATCAGGATGGGCACCCAGCCTGCGGACACGTGGCAGAAAAGTGCGTGCTGTGATGCTTTTGCAATCAGATCGACGCTCACTTGGAAGCATCAAGTGTTGAGCTTTGGAATGAGCAGAAAGTAGTGCCGACTTTGCACGGCAAATATACTGACATTTCCGCCGCAATTCGCAACCTGTGGCAGCAAATCGCAGACGGTCAGGCACCAGAATACCACCCCCCCTCTTCAAAACAGAGCTCCAGCGTTGATATCGTCCGTGCTTGACTCACTTGACGGTCTTTCTGCTTGACTCGACAGCTTTTGACCTCAGTCGTACCCGGTCCAGACTGGGCATGAATATTGACAGGAGGAACTTGCGACTCTTGTCCCCCCCATGTTGTAAAACCCCTGGTTCTACTGTAGTGGACACTCGTTCATTACGACGTATAAGGAGGCCGAAAAGCTGCGTCAGTGCAGAACCGAACGTGAAACGGATCGCCGTGCTTGAGCGTCGCCGCGACGAATACATGGATGTATTGCGTCTTGGCAACTGGCAAGCAGGAGTCTGGCTGTTACAGTCGCTTCCTGACGTCGCCTCTTCAGACACATCCGTGTAAGCCCAAACAAAAGTAACACTCGGTCCAACCACCAAACATGCCACACTACAGATGTGCTCTCACCTGCGCCTTCCATGTTGCCAATGCCCCCATCCGGTGCCACGTCAGCCGGCCAGTAGACCGCAATAAATGTCGCCGCGAGCAGGAACGCGCACATGGGCAGCAGCAGAATCACGGACGGCCGCGGCGCCGACGTGCGTCCGAAGCGCCAGAAGAACGTCGGGTTGCGGGTCAGCAGAATGTTGAGCTGGATCAGGGCGACCAGCGCCAGGAACATCACCGCAACGACCTGTGGGAGACACGTGGAGAGCGTTACGTCAATTAAGCTTACTGGGTCGCCCTTAGCGGGCACACAGTTGATAGTCTGACTTAGGCGACCAGTGTTAGAAACACAACCGCGACGACTCGGAGAGGAGAGTTCTTTTGCTAGGCGTAAGTTGGTTGTCCTCAGCTGGCGACGAGCGAGTGCCTGCCTGTTACGAGAGAGTTCTGGTTACTCGACCAGGGCAACCAGAAGCAGTACGCAACGATTTGAGAAAGATGAGGGGAGACTTTACGTTCCCTAGGGTGCTTGGTCGCCCACTTGAACCATCTGGTGAGCAGGCTTTTCATCGAATCGAGGGTAGGAAAACCGCGACGACCTGCGCCGTACGAAGAGCAGGGCTATCCAGGAAAGAAAACCAAGACAAAGAAGACTTTTATCGTAATGGTCCATGTCAAATCCAGGGTCACTACAGTCATTTGCTCAGGTTACTAACGGGCTAAAAAGCTCTGAGGCAAACTCTGTTGCAGCCCCCATCTACACGTCCATCTCCTCCTTTTCTATGTAGCTTCAATTGACAATCTAGTCACTGTCTTACCGACAAGGAAAGTTTCTTATTCAGAACTCCCAAAAAGGCGAGACAGCGAGCCGATTCACGTATCCTTTAGGAAACCCTCAGCTTCTTACCTGCCCGGGGGTGATCCCCGGTTGCCCAGTCCGCTCCAGCTGGTAGTCCGCCGGCCACCAGTTAAGTTCGTCGAGCGACGCGAAGTAGAGGAGCAGAACGGAACCCAGGATTCCGACGGAAGCGATGCCGAGGGCCACCAGCAAGTCCTTGGACATGTTCCACACCATTGGCTTGTCGGAGCTGTGCACCTGGGTTAGCGGAACCCGGTGCGGGTTTAGATGGAAACAATCTGGGTTCATTGAAGAACAGTGTAGGTTACGTGGGAAGATTGTGGGCTGCTGAGAACCGTGTGGATTGAAGGAGAAACGGTGTGGTTCAAGTTGAAACAGTGTGGGTCAAGTTTAACCAGTGTGGGTTACTTGAAGAAAAGCGATTGTGGTCGGCTGCGATAGCCATTTCAGTGTGATCCGGCAAACAATGAGCTTATGTACGGCTGAAGCGATCATTATTTGCGTGGACAAACCGAGGAATCTGCTTTCCAAAGAACAGCGAAGGGAGATGTATCCAAGCGGCATTGTGATAGCATAATTAACCAAGATCAGCCGCGAAATAGACCTGACAAGGATCGGCGCCCGACTCGTGAAGTACAGCAGCGCGTATGAATCTGTACGAACCATCAGGCGTGACAGCTATGCAATAAAGCATCGTCGAAACAGCAAAAGGGACGCGAGCTGCTCATTGTGAAATTACGTGCGCCAAAGATACGAAGTAGAGAATCGTTGATTGGCTGACGTCATCAGAGTTCGCTGCCAGCAGCATGGTAGGCTTCAAGGGATCGTGAAATCTGTAAGCGAACACATCAACTAGCTCATTTTGACAGCGGATTCCGGTCTGCTGACGTCACCTTGTCCAGCGACGTGGCCATGACGGAGAGGTCGTTGAAGAGGCTGATCAGGACCAGCGTCCACGTGGGCATCTCGAACGTCATGATGACGACAGCGAAGAAGAAGAAGCCGAGGATCAGGATGCTGCTGGCCATCCGGTAGATGATGTACGTCTCGAGCCGCCGGAAGATCATGCGGCTCCGCCGGATCGCGGTAATAATGGTGGAAATGCCCTCCTGCGAGGACCAGTGTGAATGCGCGCCGGCGTTAGTGCAATTAAGTGACTTCAGAGAATGACGAGGACAATCTCCAAGAAAAGTCCTTTGGAAGGGAGAGGGCAGATGGCGGTGATGCTGGTGGAAATTGCCTCCTGTAAATGCGCGCCGGCGTCAGTCAGTCACGTAACTTCAAGGAATAATGAGTACAGCTCTTCCAGAACGACTTTTACGAAGGCATAACGCCGTAAACGCAGTGCGAATGCGCGCCTGTGGCTGGTGTGACCATTTATTGTCATCCCCTTCCACAAAAAGGTTGGAGGAACGGATCAGATCAACAGAACCTCCAGCCCTGATTGATTGAAGTTTCTCCGCGAATTGTCTACCTTATCTCCTCCTTTCTCGTAAAGCGCTCTCTGTCTTGTTATCGACGCTGCAGTCAGTGTCTCGCGCACTCTGAATCTGCACGGAAAGCGGAATATGAACCGAAATGGAACGGAAGACGATCTTGAAGCCAGGACCTGCTGCCTAACGGGTCATTGCAAACCCGCTCGATCCACTTTCTTCCCTCGTCGCTGTGTCAGCCCCGCAAGTTATTCCAACCACAAAATGGAAAACCTACCTCCGTCAGGATGATGTCAGCCGCGCCCTTGGCGGCCGCGGTCGCGCCCGCGACCGCGATCCCGACGTTGGCCTTCTTGAGCGCCGGGGCGTCGTTAACGCCGTCCCCGGTCATGCCCACAAGACGGCCCTTGCGCTGAAGCGCCTCCACGATGCGGTGCTTGTGCTCGGGGTAAACGCCCGCAAACCCGTCGACTTCATCCACCTGATTTAACGAATAAAGGGTTAGGACTTGCATTTGGGCAAAAGCGGGTTCAATGCAGGTCTAGCTGCCCTTGACAATTCGGTAAGTCTGTCGGGTTTGAGGTTGGTGTATTTGCGGGTGCACCTGGACATTGAACGGTTCAAATAACCGGGTCAACATTATCGGAGGGCTCAGAATTGTCCTTTTTGAGCCTCGTCCCAGCTTTCCTCAGGACTCAAGTCTCACTGTGTGCTTCTTCGCCCATTTTAACCTCGGCCACGAAAGTTCATCGGTTCTCTCACCCGAGCAATGAGGTCCCCACCGAGCTCCCGATCGCCCATCAGCTCCTTCCCTTCCATCATATCGGTTCCGAGCCCCAGACGCCGGCTCGTCTCAATGGCAATCGCCAGCTGGTCTCCGGTCACCATCTTCACCTGAACGGAACGGAACATATCGAAACAAACTGAGGTTGCGGAAACGTACTCCGGGTTTTGGTTCACCTGTTCCTCTGTGCGATTTGGGCTGGATAAGATGCGTGGGTGCTCGGTTCGGCGGTTCCAAGCACGACCACAATCTCGTTAAGACTCCTCACATTTCAAGCCGACACCCCTGACACGACTGAAAGCAAGCTTCTTCTGAACGGTCCGTTCCCAGGTCTCTTCACTGTCAACTTACTTGAGTTTCTTGCACATCATCAGGGATACTCAATTATGATGATATCAAAAATCTGAACATACGAAAGAGAAGTACAAAATGAAAGGCAAACCATCTCTCAAAGAATCTTTTAGCTCACCTCCACCCCCATGTCTTGTGCCGCCCTGACCGTAGTCGCGGAATCCGTCCTGGGGGGGTCCAGCAGACTGATCAACCCAGTCAGCGTCCACCCCTCCTCGGCGTTGGAGGATTTCGCCACCCCCAGGGCACGCAAACCCCGGCTCGCGCGCTCGGCGATGTAAGCGTCGCACGCTTCGCGCGCCGCGGCATCGCTCAGAAGGTCGCGAATGACCTGGAATGACGTCACGGTCAGTGTGATGAAATCACGTTCTTTCGTGAGCAAGAGCAGGGGTTCAAACTTAGGCCGAGGATTGTGATCTTCTTTTGCAGCTAGTGAACCGGTTCTATCCTCTCCAGCAAGGTCGCAGATGTGCCGAACTTGTTGGGTTGCAAAGTGGATTCTTGATAACGGTTAGGCAAGCTGAGAGTGACAGATGAGCATGATTGTACGGCTCTCTTACTAACCGTGCTCCTCCCTCCAAGAAGGTCGTGTGTGGAATTTCGAAGAGACCAGCAGCTTCCGCAGTGCGTCAGGAATATGCACTTGCGGTTATCGAAAGGGTAATCAAGAAAAGATTGATCAATCTTGAACAAGAATTTGGTTAGGAACTGACCTGCGGGGCACCTTTGGTGGTTAGGATCTGGGTTCCGTTTGGCAGAGTCACGTGGGCGACGGTCTTTTTGTCGACCGGGTTGAACGGCACGAACTTCGTAACAGTGTACTCCGAGATGATCTGCAAACGAAGTATTGCGCGCGTGAGAAAGGAGATATGCCAGAACGATACATGACTATATCTTGATCGTTATATATCTTCGGTAAGAATGGGGAGAGGAGAATTTTGGTTCTGAAGATTACCATTGGAAGATCGCTTACAAAGCGATAGACAACAACAGGCTTTAAGCTTGTCTTGAGATCATACATCCGACATTTTCTCGACCCAGATCAGTTCATTACAAAAGCCTACCCGATTCGGCATCACTCTGACGAAATGTGTCGCCGTCAGGTGCCTCGATTGCGTCCAAACGTGAGTCGCTGAAAACAGATCTGCGGAGGCGAAAGAGATCCGCTTATGAGGCAAAGCATTTCTAGGTAAAAAGGATGCCCTTTTCAAAATTCATTCTGAAAACAGGAACCTCTATGAATAAGGAGGTCATCATACCAGGTAACGACAAACGAAAAACTCCCACCCAGACAATCGTGCGCTCACACCCAAACCTGCGCTTCGCACCTAAACCCACCTCTAAACCCCAAGCAAACCCCCCGACCCAGTCTTCACGTTATTGTCACTGATTCGTTTATCCAATTACTCGACCATTCATTCACTCATTCAAAACTTTTGAAAACTAGTCACCTTAGCATCTCCGCCCATCGCTTCAGTTACGGCTTTATCGATGGCGTCATTATGGTCCCACTTCGCCGACAGGGATGCCGTCAGCAGTACGTCATCTTTGGAGCTGGCCCCCCACGCCAGAATGTCGTCCTTGTCGAGGGTCAGCCGGTTCAGGGTTAGCGTTCCGGTCTTGTCGCTGGCCAGAACCTCCATGCCGGAAAGCTCCTCCAGAGCGGAAAGCCTGCGGAAAAGGTATGACCGACGTCGGAAAGGTATGACCGACAGTCCTGGACTGGAATTTGAGTCGCATCAGCGGGCAGACGTCTGACTGTTTGTTTCAGGAAAGCGGCTGAACAGTGACATGAAAGGGTTTGCGGGATCTAAGTCTTTAGAACAGTGCAGTCACAACAATCTGGTCGTATTGATGTTTTTTCGTTTCCTGCAGAGTGGATTCAAATGACCGATCACGTGGAGGCAGAGTAGCCTTGGTATCGTCTAAGACAAAAAGAAGGTCCGACTTATGGTTTTTTGGAGGAAGCGAGAGACTGGGTGAACAGACTCCAAAGTCGTGATACTTGAGAAAGAAAAGCGAGGATTGAGTCCCTTAGAAGATTTCGTAACAACAATGTTCCAGAGAGACCCCAGGGTCGTGACCCGCTAAGCACAACTGTGACCTAAACAGCCCACACAATTCCAGGCTCCGATCCACTACCAAGAATACTCAGCTCAAACAGTTACTCCACAAATCCCCACTACAAAAGGAATTTGAACATCAAAAGTATTTAAACCAAAACCCTAGACTTGAAACCCTCGGAAAACCTACCTGGTGACGATAGCGCGCTCTGCGGCCATCTCGCGCGCGCCGAATGCGAGCACCGTGGTGGTGACAACCGGCATGCCGACGGGGACCGCCGCGACGAAGATGACGAAAGCGGTGACGACAGCGTAGCTGGGGGACGCGTCCTGGTCCACGAGGAGGACTATGACGATCACGAGCACCGCGAAGAAGGAAATCACCGCGACAGCGATCGAAACCTGGTTCAGGACCTGCGGAGAGAAACGAAGATTTGAGAGGTTCAGGGTTTTGACTTGTTCTTCTTTTCAAAGTGTGAGGGTTTTGGACTGGTGCACTCTTTCTGCAAAAGCTGATTTGGCTTTTCGTTTTCCGGAGTTGAAAACCGTCAAGGCAGAGATTGCCACGAGAGCGATGGAGACCCGGTTGAGTTCATCTGCGAAAAACCCAAAATCTTGGGTGCCCGAGTCCCTTATTGGCACCTTACTTGTTCACCCGGTGAGAACCATTCCCCAAGCGAGCAAACAAGAGTACACAGATCCTTCGTTTACAAGAGTTTCATCCAGGTGTGACCAATAAACAGTTTAGACACCACGCTTCCTCGAGAGAGCAACGGCAATTTGAAAAACTCTTTCAACGCTCTGCGGCTTCTGCTACAGCAAGCAACAAAAGCATGCACGCAAGGTTCCTCTTGTATGAGACTTTCTCCTTACCGTTTGCAGATGGCCTCTCTCTTCGGGTGCCCCCAAGAGAGCGATCGTCTTCCCAAAGAACGAATCGGCGCCGGTAGCAGTGACCTGCGCCTCCAGTTCGCCCTGCGTTACCGTCGCACCCGCCAAAACCTGCGGGGTTACGACAAACCAAAGGTTTCAGAGAGGCCCCAGAAACGGTTTCAGAAAGCTGCGATTAACATCAGGTCAAAAAACTAAGAGACACTTGTCATGAGCCTTCCTTCTTTGAAGCTTCCGGCTCTCTGGATCCGATTGCTATAAGCCAGAAGTTTCTGTGTTGCAGACGGAAAGATCTAGTATGGCTCAAATTTGACCAACACGGTGACGCAAAGGAAGGACTTTTGTAAGAACCCCAAGATTCCTTCCTCAACACGAACTGAACATTCACGTAAGGAACGTTTGTCGCAGTCCTTATCAGACGCTTTTTAGGACCCCCTTCCGGCCATGTACAGCGAAGATTACATTGGGCAGCTTTGCGGCAATTGCTGACCTGATCGCCAGGCTTTCGCGTCACCGGAAGGGACTCTCCGGTGAGAGACGACTCGTCGACCAGAAGAGGCTCTCCGACGCCCACCAACTGCAGAGAGAAAAAACTTCGACGCTTAGCGACCAAATGCAAGAACCTTCCGTCCACTTAATTAACTTTCAACAAACTTGGTACACCCCGTCTCTGTGGACCAGCAGGTGAATCTTACCCAGCTTCCGGAAGTGTGTAGACGTTTTCGTGTTTCTGAGAGGCGACTTGTCTCTGAAGTACGCGAAAAGCCAGCTGATGGGTCAAGCCACATGCTCGTCCAAAAGCATCACAGCTGGAGGTCACAAGACTGAATATCTGCAGGCCACCGAAATATTTACTATGAAGTATGCAAGATTGAGGATACGGAGAACCTTGATAGCCTGTTGATATTCAAACGTGGGCGCGCTGCAGATCTCCCCAAAACCTCAACATTTCAGTCTCAACCTCGTCAAATAAGTGACATCAGCAAAATGGTACCTATTTGCACGCACCTGTGCATCAGCAGGGATGACGTCACCCCCCTTGAGCGCGATGATGTCACCCGGGAGGAGCTCCCGGGCGGGGACCTGCTGCCACTTGCCCTCCCGCTTCGCCTGGGCCATCGGCACAGTGAGTGCCTGAGGATATGGGGGGATTGTGACGTCAGCATTGTGAAGGAACAGTGACATCAGCGATGATATGAGTCGTCGCATGCTTAGAAGAGGCATGAGCGCGTAAAGGGGCGACTTATCCTTTCTTTTTTCATCAGCCTCGTCAATACACTCAAGCTTGTACAAAAAAGAAACGGTTCGTTGGAAGTTCTCCGCCTCCATTGGATAGACTAAGCTACAGCGATCATTCAAGAAACTCTTTCAAAGTAACCAAAACTACCGAGCCCCACCCATGTCGGAGCTGCTTTGTATTGTGCATTATGTTTATTCCCCAACCCCACTCCCTCAAAAGCTGGAGATTACATCAATCTGGCCAGCAAACTCACGAATCATCTTCTCACCAAGTAGATTTATCTCCCCTCACCTCTAGTTCTTTGACCGCGTTGCCTGCATTCCGCTCCGAATAGTACCCCACCCAAACAATCAGGTTCAGCTCCAGAATTAGCAGCACAAAACTGGTCCACCCCCGGCCCCCCTCCACTTCGACCGTTGCGCTTATGATAGCCGCGACGAAAATGATGATAGACACCCAGTCCAGGTAGCGCCACAGGATCTTCTTCCACTCGGGGGTCTGGTTAGTCTTAACCTCGTTGAAACCATGCTGCGCCCGGAGGGTTTCGACCTCCTGGTTGCTCAACCCATTCATCACCTGAAGGGGAGTAAAAGCAGAAAAGTGTATTGGTACGATTTTGGTTGTCATGATCTTGAAGGGGTTTCAACTCATGCTGGCTCAGTCCACTCATTGCCTGGGGTGGCAGCTTGAGTGTAGGGAGTGGAAAGAGTTGGGGTTGTTTTCTTTAACCTCTCTTCCCTGAAGGTTTCGACCTTGTGGTTGTCACCCCACTCTCAGTTCTTGAGATAGATTGGAAGCCGATGTGACTTTGCAGATCAACTCTGCGCCCGATTAGCTCACACTTATGGTGCATTCATTCTGCTTGGAGGTACCTGGAAAAGTCAAGCTGTCTATGGAAAAGAGCTTTAGCATGTGGCGTTGCTTTTTTTCAGGTGTTGAGTATGCCATGAGAAGGCCTCCGGAGTGAACCTGCGGAATGCGGAACAGAATGGGCCCCCAAATCTCTTGGTTGGGTGGGGTTAAATGCTTGTAGTAAAGCTCAGCTGGAGTAAAGCCGATTTGGGCAGAACCGCCTGCGTTCAAAGAATGTCAGATGTACAGTTGTAAAGGGGACAGCACCCTGACATACACTTTCATTTAAAAAGTACGTAGGGAGGTCAGATTTCAAATGAATTCATTTTCACTTTCAGGGCCTGGTCTATGTGTGGAATCTTGTGGAGCGAATCAAGACTTTATCTCACAGCTGTGAAAGCAGTTTCCTGCACGTCACAATGCAATGCAACGAATGGCCTAACGCTCAGTCTCCGGTAAGCCCAAACCTCAAAAGAAAAACTGATCAGACCCAAACAAGCCTCTCATTGGTGTTCCTCAGCTGACGATGCTCTTGTAGACCAAGAGTTCAAAAGTGGATTATACCAGCTGTCTTAACTTGAGCGCGTCAGCACACAATCAATGCAATGGCGCCTGCAGAAGCATTTCATTTGGAGGACCACAACGACAAAGCAGCATACATCCAGTGAGCTTACCTCTCCTCAGCACTGCAGCATCAATTGTAGGAATCCGCACGCTGTTTTCGAACCCCGCCCTTTTCTTGCTTCAAAGTGCACGCAATGCGATCAATCAAGGATTAGCAATCTGCATTCTTTTTGCGAGGATTGCGCAATTGGCCGCAAACTTTTTTCCACGTCGCAATGCTGTCTCGGCACTCTCTCGGCAGCTGGAAGGAGAAAGCAATTGGTTCCAGAGCTCTTTTGAGCAGCTCAGTTTGAGAAGGAATGCAATTCTGTTGTCCAGTTTTGTCCTCTGTACTTTATAACCGGCTCAGAGCTCATTGCAGACGTCAGGATCGTTTTGTGGCGGACGTGAGGGTGCCTTCTGTTGTGACCACGTGGCAGCAAACGAGCAGATGAATCCATCAGAATATACGCCATGAGAACACTCCAGGCACTCTCAGCAGGTCTTTGATGAGAACACAGGGCGCTCATGTCAACATTGGATCCTTCTTCCTTGTTCTTTTTGGCCATACCTAGCTGCGCCATGGTTTGTCATGTCGCTTCAGCCTTCAGATCAGTCTGCAATCCTGTGCTCAGTGCATGCATCGCGGCACCCTTGGACCTATTCGGGAGGACTGCCGTGTCGCCATGGAGACAGCCTGGATGTTCGCTGCCAGCTGTTCTTGTCTCTCGCAAAAATATGAATGTAGATCATGCAAGTGAGTGAGAAGAATGACAGGCTGGCCGCTGGAGTGTGGCCCCTTGGGAACTCCCCCAAATCTTTGCTCGCTCAGCTGGCAGCTTTTGATTCGCCGGAACAAAAGCAGTGGGCGCCACCAGCTGATGTTTTCAGTGTCATGTCATTGGTGCCGGTAATGTACCGTGCAATCCACCGGATCTCTGCCATTTTTTTAAATAGGTATTAGGCGACTCGAAGTTAAATCCCGGTTTCCGGTCCCCGACCGACCCAAAATCCGAAGGATTTTGGAAAAAATTAATAAATATAGGCAGCATTTTGGCCCAAGTTTTCCGATTTTGGGTCATTTTGGATTGAAAATAATGAAATCTGGGCCAAGAAATGAAGTTTTTGCCCCAAAAATATTCCATATTATTTCATATTTCAAACATACTAGCAAAAAACCAACTATTATTTCTTCCCGACCGACCGACCCACCCAAAAGGGGGTAGGACCGGAACCCGGGAATTAAATTCGACCCGCCTTACCACAGTCAAGACCAACCGCTTGAGCCACCTGTGTTGAGCCGGTTTCTCAGCCGGTGGTTTGCCGTTGACACTGCTACAAGACTGCCACATAGGTAGGTAGCTTGTGACACGCTCTGGAGTCTGGAGAATCACATCAGTGTTCCACGGTCCACCAGGCTACTGACACTGTACACAGCGGTAAACCTTGGTCAAAATCTAGCCTTCAGTTGCTTCAGCTTCAGAATCATCTGAACAGAGCAGCAGTATTGGCGTTCTGAAAGAGTCTACCATTGGCCTTGGCATCTGGCCCCTCTCGAGATGGCGCTTGTAAGGAGCATGAAGCAGTGCAGACCGCGAGACGTGACTTGGGCTCTCAGCTGTGCTACTTATCCAAAGCATCTTGAAATTGGACGATCATTGTCTTTGAAGTCAGTCCTGCAATCTGGATGCAGCAGAGAAGCATTGGCACTGCCGTGTACTTCTGTAAAGGAAAAGCTGGTGTATGCAAGAGCCGCCAGAACAAACCAACAGCTCACTTCATCAGGACTTCAAGCACATCTGCAAAGATTGGCAAGTCAGGCAATTGTCGCTCCCACAATTAAAGGGCCGACAAGGAACCGAATGCTTACAAGAAACTTGGTGTCAACAATTACCGAGGCGGTGAAGTCTAACGTGCTGCCCGAGACAAATAAGCAGCAGCCTGCCGAGAGCCCCCAAGCGTGTGGCACCATTTCAGCTGAGTGGAAGCTGTCAGAGGAGAAGGTGCAGCAGATTGACATGTTTGTGGACCTGCTGCTAGATTGGAATCAGGTGAGCTGCGGTTCAATCATATTGTAGCATCGGGGATTCCTTGGTATGTTGCCTCCACTGTTCGGCGTCGTGTTGGCCTCTGTCCATCTGTCCACTTTTGGGTACGAATAGGTGGCGCTATAATTTTGCTGGTACAAAGGTTGACTCTCATCTATGCAACGTTGCATAATGGGAGTACTTCCGCATCGTGAAACCTGCAATGGAGATACACCTGCTTCTGACCGAAAGACTTGGCTGTGAAGTGGTGCCGTTCCAATGGGAGTGGTGGTGCAATGGAGTAGGGCAAAGTTGTTTATATATTGTCGACCAGGATTCAAAATCAAGTGACCTCCTGTAGTATAATGGAGGTGTGGCCCTGAGTCAGTCTGCACAACAATCAATGTTGATCCAAAGAAGCGTGGCGATCTAAACATACAGTCTGGCTGCTTCCAATTGAGCTTGTAACATGCTGCATGTGACCTGCTTTAGTGCACAAACCCGACCACAAATCCTGTCAATCTCTCCTTTTCAGAAGTTTCTACTCTTCTATCACTTGTTGGACCGTCACCGTCCTTCCTTCTAATGGGATTCTCAGATCTCCCACATCCTTCATTTCCTTTCGCAGCGCATGAACCTGACTGCCGTCACCGAACGCGATGCAGTCATGGACCGCCACATCGGCGACTCTCTTGCCCTTCTTCCGGTGATTGAGCGCGCTTTGTCTGAACATGCCATCAACCAGGGACGCCTCACGTCGGCCAAGCCGCAACCCCTCAGCTCATCCACCGAATCCACCCTCTTGCCCAACGTCGGCCCTTTATTGCTAAACGTCGATCCTTTAGAGGCCAGCAGCTTGGAATTTACAAAGGGCTTTTCCCTTGCCAATGGACGGACGAAGCAACCTGTCAAACAAAAGCAGCAACTCAAAGCGGACAGCGAAAAAGGTGCAGAAGAGGCCCCCGCAGGAGTTGCAGGCGGTGTGAACAGGCTCCGAGTGGTGGACGTGGGAACGGGGGCCGGGCTGCCGGGGCTAGTGTTTGCAATCGTGCGCCCGGAATGGGACCTGATCCTTGTGGAGTCCCTGCGAAAACGGTGCAACTTCTTGGAGCACGTGGTCAAAGAGGTGAGCTGCGGAAGTGTCAAATGACCCCTTGAAGCTAGACGCAAAACGCGGTTTGGTTCGTTTGTCGGTACGCTTTTGTGTTTGAACACGACTGTGCCTCTCATTCTTGTATTGTGGATTGTTTGGAAGGTTGCTTGTTTGGGACTCATCAATTGAAACCGATCTTAGAACCGATGGAAGGAAAACGCATTCGCTTTGGCAAACTCTTTGGGACTCAGTTCTGTCATCCCTCTGCGGAAGCGACAGTTCAGATTGTCGTCTTGAACCAACTCGGTCACACTGATGGAAGCAGACCTAAAGTTCCTGTTGTTGTGGGTATGATGCCTTTTCCATAACGTCAGCTTCCAATATCTTGATTCCACCTTGTGATTGTCAAACATGGCTTGCATACGACTGCCTCCGTGTCTGTCCCGCCTCCATATAATCGATCAAAGAGTTGGGAAATTCGAATCGCGGTACTTGAGACGAAGCCCGGAAACAAAGCTGCACCGAAGACGCCTAGCGCCGGAAACCTTGTATTCGCAGCAAGGGCCGAGCGATTTGCCTCCGCGGCCAAGATGCTTCAGCATTCGGGATGCTTCAGGATTCACAATGCTTCGATCAAAATTCCGATCGCTTCTCACCACATACCCACTCAAACGGAGCATGCAATGCAACATATGGAGCTCATTCTTGCAAGCTGCGGTCACTAGCATCGTAATCGTGAACCCCTCTCCAAGTGATCATGTTGGTCTTCGCATATAAAAAGGAAATTTGTCCTCATAAACTGGTTTTGACTTGACTCCGCAGGCAGGTTTGAAAAACGTGACCGTCGTCTGGGGCCGCGCCGAGGACACCGCCCGGCTCCCCAACATGCGCGCGAGTGCTGACGTGGCAGTGGCACGTGCCGTTGCGGACCTCCGCGTCCTGGCGGAGCTGTGCATCCCGTACGTCCGAAAAGGGGGGCTGTTTGTAGCGGCAAAAGGGCCCAACCCCGAGGAAGAGGTTGCGGCGGCTGCGGGGGCGATCGGCGTGCTTGGGGGAAAACTGTTGGGCGTCGAACGAGGTGAAAAATGCAGTTGCCTCTGTTTTCTGTCCTTTAGCTTTTTGATCCCTAGAATCCCTAAAAATCTCGCCCTTCTTTCCTGCCGAGATTCTACTTCGCTTCCCTCTTCTACGAGTTGAGCAAGTCTGAGGCCCTCTTTGAAAACCGGGTTGAGCCTTGAGTCCGCTCGCAGCGTACCGGTGAGAGGTTCCCGCTTCTGAAGGTCTTTTCTGATGTCCATTGGAGAGCGTCAAACGACTGATCGAATGTCGATCCGTCCGACTCGTTTGAGCTCCACCGCCTCTTTCAAACCTGCGCGCACTGCTTGGAGGCCCGATGGCGCCCCTCAGAAAAAAGAGGTTGTCCTTTGATCGGTGCATGGTCAAGGGTTGCCTCCCTTTCCTGTCTGCGAAAGGAAACGGCTTCTTTGAATCCGCACTACGATCGAATCACGCATGTCTTATTGGTGGATTCGAGACGGCTGCTTGAAAGGCGCCTCCTTCCATCCAAACTCCCCTCCCCCTTTCATCTGATTATGAATCTACCGACTCGTTCTGCAGTTGCTTCCACCGGACCTGGCGGTCAGCGCACGGCCGTCGTCTGCTTGAAGGAGAAAGCGACCCCGGCGAAGTACCCCCGACGGGCTGGCGTTCCCACCAAGAGCCCCTTATAGCCCCCGGCGTAAATCGACCGGTCACTCGAAACCTTTTTTCCCCCGAGCGCCTCTCTTGCGCTCAATTTCGATCTTAAGAGGAACCATAGGTCAATCGGCTGTAACTTGCTCGATGCGTGGGACAGGGGCAGATTCTCTACTTCAGGGGGGACAGAAAAGCCGAGCAAGCGCACTTGAACCTACGTTGGGTGTCAATGTTGGGTCGTGGCTCCCATCGGCATTGCCCCGGACAGAGGGTATGGACTGGAAAAGGTCAGCGGAGCTTTTCCTTCCAAGGAAGAGCTAACAAGGGCCGACGAGCCGCCAAGACAGAGTGGCACGTGCATGAGCAGACACGGACAGCCGGACCTCTTCATTATCCAAAAGCAGTGCACAACAAGGAGAGTTCTCAGGTAGCAGCAGATCAGCGGGCCATGCGGGCTTCAAATCCTCGGGACATAGCTCTCTAGGCCTACAGCCCGCTATGAAGTTAGATTATTGTGTCCAAGATTGTTGACTGACATTGAGGAGCTAGATTCCCCCGTGGCGTGGTGCACGAGCTTGCCCTGCAGAGCTAGACTCTCGCATGAGCGGCTATAGGCTGTTGAAGCACACTGACTTGCAAGGGCTGAAACGTATTGGTTTATTGTGTGTAGGTGGGGTGAATGAGGACAACGGTATGAACCGGGAGCCTTGATGCATACAACTTAAGCAACCGAAGGTCAGGGTCACGCGCATTAGATTCCTGCCAAGTCAAGAGATAAAATTCCTAGAGCATGCAGCTCTGCCAGGCGAGCTACCGTCCTTGCATGCTTCTACGTTGATCGATCTCTCCGTGCATTGGCCTCATAATTCATAGCCATATGCGCAGATTTGAAAACAATCACAGTGCGCACATTCTGTGATCATCCGGGTGCTGAAACCTATAGGTGGATAGCTCCTCATACTACTAAAAATAACATCATGCTGCAGTGCTGCAGCCGGATCATTATCGAGGGGATCAATCGACTTATTCCGTATACAATATTGCTGCTCATTGAGTGCGCCGCCCGGCGCGCCGCGGACGTGCCCGGATCATCATGCCACCGTCGGTCGTGCGCATATGTACGTCCGCACAGATTATTGAGCCAAATACTGGCGCGCAATTTCGTATGCAAAGTAGAATCTGATCGACCTATCATCGCCGCGCGGGCCGCCGCGCACATTGCCACATTGTCGAACTCGAACATGACCATTGCGCTTCATATAGGCAATCTTCCTGCCTCCCGCGTCACAGCTACAAGGTTGAAGTACAGACTTGAAATGAGGAAAAACCTTGGATTGATGCCCTGCTAGGAACATCGTGAATCGAATATCGATTCTGTTCGGTACAGGTCAATTGTTGGAAGAAAATAGTATTTACCTAAGATATACAATAATCTATAATGTCTCAGCTTGCTACAGTTGATGTAATCCGGTATTTGAAAACTCGCAGATAGCTCCTCAAATCCACCGCTGTCTTAGAGACGCACGGCCCTTTGACCCTCTTCCAGATTTTACACTCACATGGACGGTCAAAGCAAACACTTTCGGAAACTATCTGAGCGCGCAGTACCTCCTCCACTAACCCGACCCTAGATGGTTAGTCTTAACCCTCACCGGCCAGCGTCATGACGGCTTCAAAGCCCAAAAAGGTGACCGCACCAACGGGAATCGACCGCAAGATGGTCGGCGCTGCACCAACACAAGAAACAATTGATCAGCGCTCAGTAAACTTCGAGGAAACAGCATGTCAGGCCCAAATAAACCGGATAATAATCACTCCAAGCTTGGACTGTCGGAAAGTGCAGTGCAACATCGCAAAATATACAACAGACATTGTATTTTTGGCAGGATGGAGCTAAAGAGGGTCAAACTCTGTTCTATAAGTTGAATCGATCCTGTCACGAGTAGGTTGCTATGAAACCAAAGACGTAAAGTCTCGAGTTTGCTCCAAGAGTAAAGTGCTAAGACTTGCTGGCATCCTTTTCATACTTCGATCCATCAGAACAGCAATCGTGCAAAAATCCCACTCGTACTCGCCGAAAGTAGATTCATCAGACTAGTCGCACCTCCACGAAATACACGCCTTATTCCCCACTACGAACAAGCAACCAGAGGGTGCAAGAGCGCCTTTAGAAATCGCAAACGACGCTCACTTGTGCGACAACAGGAGTGATGTACACTTACTTTTACACTTCTGCTGGTCGAAAAGTCGCTAGCGAAAGGGAACAACTCACCAAAGCCCTTGAAGAACACCCCGACTCCCCCGCTCTTGTACGAGTTGATCGCACACTGCACCATGCCAACCGGCTGCTGGATTGGTTTCGACCGCAACCGCTCGCCGCTCGTCGCCGGCCCCCCCGCGACGGCGAGGACGGGGCTGGGGTTATGTGCTGGGATGATTTCTTGAGACTGGAGCCGCGATTTGATCACATCCAGGGGGTACGTCAGGGCCCAGCTGGCAGCGCCGCACACACTCCCGGCCTGCAGAGAAAGCGAGAGTCTTAGAAAAAAATAATTGGATGGAATTTGATATACTTCTTGCTGCTTATCTCTTTAACGTTATACACGATATCTTTAGGCGCATAGGAGGTCTTGGGAGACTGCTTTGCAATCATTCGGGGCGGCTCGACATTCTGACGTTTCGGATGCTCGGGCGTTTGGGGTTTGACGTTTCGAAATGGACCGATTAAAGATAATCCCCACAGTACCAACGCAATCCTTCGCCTGACGATACTTCGTACATGCCTGGCACTAGAGGTCCCCCTGACGGGTTAAGAAAGGCCAATTTCGACGGGACATCCAAGCAGCGCATTGTTCCTCTTGAAATTGCACCGAAGCTGAAGGCTCGAAATTCATAAGAGAGGGAACCGTTTGCCGTATGCAAGAGCAGCATGAAACAGCTAGCGTGCGGCTCAGAACAAGTACCCCTCCAATACGGAATTCGCCAACTTGTTAGAATCGTGCGGTTCGCCATCACTAAACAAGCGGGTTAAGGGGCGGGCAAACGTCAAACTCACAATCATGGTCCTGATCGGGCTCATCTGGCACCCGGGGGTTTCTGACGCCGGCGTCAGCGCGCGACACGTGCCCTCGTAGAACGAAAAGTAGATGGCAAACGCGAGCGAGTCCCGGAGCGCCGTCGTCCAAAACCCGCGATACAAACCGTGAAGCCCCCCTATCCGATAAATGTGCTTGGCGCATTCTACGGGCCCCGTAAACCCGGTGCCGAGGGCGCCTTTGACCGGCTTTTTCGTCGTTTCTTGCTGCATTTGTAGCTTGATTTTGACGAGCTCTGCGGCGAGAAGGAGGACGAGTCTGGTGTCAGAGGCATAAACTTTCACCTTGTGAGAGATCTCAAAAATTGCGTTCGAGCTTGCGAGAGGGGCTCCATTGTCCATGGGAGATATCTACAGTACGAGACAACGAGCCCCCGCTGATCCTGAGACTAAGCTGGCTGTTTGTGGCGACTGGACTCTTCAGCTGAGCTACTTAACTAAGTTAATCTGCACCAACAAGTGCAACGGATTATGAGCCCGATAAATCGCCCAGGATTCCTTAGCAGCTACACAACTCCAAAACCCCACCTGTCAGGATTCCAGAACTGGCAGACTGCTCAAAAGTTGGACCGGAGCTTAGCAACAGTCCGTTCCCTAGTATCAACAATCCAGAAAAACGTCTCGAGCTCTACCCTTCTGCCTCTCACCTGTTGGCGTGGATATGAAGCAGTTTGCGAACCCTGCAAACCCCCCCGCTAGGGCGACTTGATGCAATGGTTGCTGGGAGTAATTTGTGATGCTGCCTGAGCCCCCTTCTAAACTATATATCGCTCTTCGTGCGGCCCCATAGGCGCCAAAACAGATGGCCTGGATTGGGACATTTCCGACTACAGGGCTCGCCAAACCTTTAAATAGCCCACGCGCCTGTAGACATTGTGAGAAAAAGTTCAAGGCCCGTTGTAATATTCAATAGTTGAGAAAGTATAAGACCTCAAAAGAACATCAGGGTGAAGCTGTGAGCAAGCTCAGCAAAAAAGATAACACGGACATGAGCTTGATTACACAGGGCCCTCTCGGATTGTGACCGGCACCAGCTTTCCTGGTTATGAAGCACTGACAGCATTTAAAACCCTTTGCTCGGAGGGCCTAGTAAGGTTCCAACAATGCAATCTAGCAGGGACATCTCTCACCAACAAAAGAACAGTTTAGAGAAGAACCAGAACTTGAATAGGAGGCACATACACTCACCCCTTCCTTTTGCAGGGTCCTCTTTAGACAGTCCATTGGCCCCTTGTATAGTCCGGCGCCTGAAGTGGACGCCTCACCCGCTGACCTCGCAGCTGACGCCACGCTGACATCAGGCTGGGTTTGCAACCGGACCTGCCCAACAGAACAAAGCTACCGAGATTCAGGAGAATACATAGGAGCTAAGGAGAACGAGGACAGCTAGGCTGCCATGGCAACTTGAAGGCAATCTCCAGCTGCACGAAAACGTGTGTGCCAAAAGGGTTTGGCTAGCCAACAGCTGCTACAAGTGATAGGACGGGCTCAGAAAGGGGGCTTCTGAGAGCGGTAAGATTGCAAAAAACCTATATTAGGGTTCAGAGATTAGGGTTTGCAAGGCGTTGACTATTGAGGAAGTAGATTTCAGGTTTCGAAAGGTTCATGAACCCAAGAGCCAGGGTCTTACATTTTTGAGCGATCCACCTTGGCTTTTAGGACGAACCGCCAATACACCGATGAGCGCAATCGTTATTCGGGTCACCACTTATGCACTTCAGCAATCAAACAGAGAGCAGTCTAGAAGTCAGCACTCTGCAAGACTGACTCAGACACTCCTGCCAGGACAGCAAAAGAGACTATTTGCTCTGTCAACTTTTCTCTGAAACGAACTTGGACCATCCTGAGAAAGATGACAGCATCAAACAAGAAAAAGGGACCCAGCGGCTCACCTTTATCAAGTCAAATGGATGCCCCACAACGATCCCTGCGCATCCACCCACAGTCCCAGCCACAAAGTCCAGAGCCATCTTTCTGGGCCAGTCAAGACTGTCTAATCTTGACCCTTATGAAAGCTGAATCAGCATCCTAGGTTTTACAGATGAACATGACATTGGGGTGCAGTTTGCAGCGCTGCTTAGATGTGCATTCATTTACTGGATATGTTTACGTAGCATGCCAGGACTTCCTCCGCTTGAGTTTCACAGCCCCAATGCTTCTAATGCAGGGCATTCGCCAGTGGAAGGATTACTGCAGACCCCGCCCCCTCTGACGCACCCTGTGTGATCGATGACCAACCAGCAAGCTCGATTCACCAATAGTACGGTATCCTGGACCTTCTGCGGCGCCAAAGCTTCAATCCAGGAGTCTTTTGACGGCCTCTGACGCTGCCACAGGCAAAGAGGAGGGGCGCCTTCCGACCACCATTGCGCCCACGATTGCTGGCAAGATCCTCGGCTGGGAGGAGGTTTTCAATTCACCGCGTCTGGCTGAGCTGGCAGCGGGCCGTTGTGAAGAGATGCCACGTGGCGACCCGTAAGTCTCAAAATTCTATAGGTCCAATTTGGCGGGAAGCCGGCGGCCGCTCCGGCCCGCGGCCGCGAGAAACGCAATTGTCTTACCATTTCCGAGCGGTAATGACTTTGATTGAGGCATTTGCTCTAGTCTAGTTCGGCCTTGCGAGCGCTGGTCCAGCTTGCTGGACTTCTCCAGCTTCAGCCTTCACGGTTCACCACGGATGTCACCAGCGTTTTCAGCGACTTTGCATCGACTCGATCACACTGACAGCGTAGAGCTTGAAGGTTCGAAGAGAGGGGTTGCACCCAGTTGCACCTGCGAATGATCCGCTGCTCTTCACAAAGCTGGTTCTGTGTTTAGATCTAGCAAAACCGATAAGTTTCTCACTCCGACACAGCTGGTAGACTTTTCTTGCTGAAAGCGGTGCCGCATCATGACTGCTAAGGAGGAGATTCTTCAGAGTCTCCGTGATGCAACTGGGCTGCAATTGTCCGATGACCATCTGACGATCCTCATTGCTTCCGCGGTGGTGTTCCTGACGGCTCTCTTTGTGTGGGCGCTGACTCCACGAAAGGCAAAGCGCAAGTGTAAGGGTCATCAGATCTGACAATCTGACCTCCTTAGCATGTCATCCGACGTATCGTTCCGGGTTGGAGCGAAGCGCCGATAAAAGGGTCGAGAACCAGATGAATTCTTGAAAGATCCTACTGCAGCAAGGTGCAGATTGTTGCATTCGCTGGTGATACTTACAGTTTCTGTGCCCCAGAACGGGACTCTTCGCAGAGTGTGATACCTTGAATCCTGCGCTTAGCTGGGATTTGTGTTTGTCAGCTCAAGAACCGCCGCAAGACAAGGATGATTGATGCTGCTTCATTATTCCTCCATTGGCACTGACAAATGAGCCGTGTCGTTAGGATGATCCAAGTCACCAAGAGTCAGGTGCGGTAGTCAGGCATTAACGAGCGGTCAGTAGTTTGTGGTTAAGAGGGTGCTCTGATCTGGGTGTCAATGCCACTCACTTCACTTCTCCGGTCACTCTTGGATTCTATTTGAGACCTAGCAAATAAGTTACATAATCACTTCAAAGCTGGGCTACATAAAGTATGTCACTCGCTTTGGTGCTCAAGGCAAGCACTTGAGCTCTGACTCAAACCCACAGATTGCCAGGAAACTCATGTAAATGCAGCAGTGACCGGGGTCAGTACTCAATCAAGTTTTGCTACCAACAAAATGAATCCTGATTTTCTTACCAACAGACGCTCCACCACCCAAAAACAGTACAGGAAATTTCTGCTTTTAAGGCAGTGTAGCTGTTTCTGCCCCTTGTGATTGCTTTTCAGGCCCCATCGGCTGAAAGCCTCCATAATCCGGCCAGTGGTGTCAAAGGAAGGGTTTTTTAGTGGTGTCAAAGAAAGGGTTTTTGGCGGCGTCAAAGAAACGAATACGGCGGTCTGAAAGAGAATGTTTTTAGTGGTGTCAGTGGTCAACTCAAGTACCCTGCATTAAAAAAGTCGAGCCCTTGTTCCAGGTTCTAAAAGAGTGCTTCTGGGCCCATCGACAGCTGGCGATGCAAAGTATCTGCCGTTGACAGCTGTCAGCGCTTGTTCCGTGCAGATGCCCTTGACCCCGAGTCGTGGACCAAGTTTCAGATGGTCAAAAAGGAGCACGTCAGCCACAACTCACGGCGCTTCCGGTTCGCTCTCCAAACAGAGGAGACGATACTTGGCCTGCCGATCGGCCAGCACATCTCAATACAGTAAGGAACATGAACCCGTTGCCCAGATCTTTTTGCATCATGTGGCAAAATGCCGACGGTGGTCGATGCAGTGTCCGAAGATGGTAGGTCATCGGCGATCCATGCATTGGGCAGTGTGCACAGGGTGTCCAACTTTCTGGGCTCTGGTTAAAATTCTGTGGATGCTTTGGTCCAAAGCAGAGGAAAGCCCGACTCGAATTTATGAAGAGTCTCTTAGATGCCTTCCTGTATCATAGATCATTCAAGACTCGTACAGGCTTAATGTCCAATTCTTGCCTTCACCATGGTGCACGGCAATAGCAGGAGCATCTGGGGTTGTCTGCAGGCGAGAAACTACATGCCCAGTGTTTTGCTGGGGCTCAGTGTCCCAGGTCTATGTCAATGAGAGCAGTTTGCATGTTTGCCTGGTTATGTAACAACTCGGTCCGTTGCATCTTCCAGGGGGGTAGATGAGGAGGGCAAAGAGTTCAGCCGCCCATACACGCCCACAACGTTGGACGACGATGTTGGCCACTTCGAGCTCGTCATCAAGGTACGACAAAAACGCCGAAACTTCAGACGTCGTGTTAGACCCACACTTTCCTGGGCCCTGAGTTTTTGAAAGGGGCGCAATGAGACTCGATGACGCAACAGGAATACTGTTGGCCTGTTAGATGTGGCCTGGCAGCTGTAACAGTAATAGCCTTTGGGCCAACGATCTGTCAATCTCCTCTCCGCGAGCATCTTTGTTCGCTTTACATATCGGAGTCCTACAAGACCATTACGAACCACCTTGACCGCCTGGATTCGTGCACAAGGGCGCACGGATTTAATCTGAAGAAGACATGAGTGGTGACCTTCAATCCTTCCGCCTCAAGCGACCCTCACGTTCAAAGTTCTGTTAACGGCTGCCCGACTGCTTGAGCAGAATCGGAACCTCAAACGCTGAAACAAGTCCATCCCCAACTGGACAGGCCAGATTGGTGGGCCCGACCCTGCTTCTTGTGACCTTTTCCGGCTTGTTGATGCATCCGCTTTTAGTGAAACACTCGTCCATCATTTGTGCAGGTGTATCCGCAGGGGAAGATGTCGCAATGCCTGGAGAAGCTGTCTGTCGGAACGTACGTTCCGTTCAAGGGGCCGAAGGTGGGGGCACCGTGACGTTGCTCGCCGACGCCTGTTTGTTCCTGTTGATTCTGAAATAAGGTTTACTTTTATCTTCGCTCCAATCACGCAAAAGTGCGCTTTTTTACCCAGTTCACGGACTGGTGCTCATGTATGGCTGGCCAGTCCGCCAAAAAAGTGCGTTTCGAAAGCTCTTCAAAGACGTATTTGTGGAGGTGCTAGGCTACACGATACCCTCGGAGAGCCCAAAGCGAATGGCTTGGTTGGGAGCGCTTTTCTCAGCATGCTTTTGGTATCAAGTCAAAAGGGTGAAGAGAGGATGGGCCGTCGGCAATCCTATCAAAATAGATCGAAGCACCATCGCGGGCTCTTGTGCGCGAACGTCTTCTTGGGTTCGGAATAAAGCTTTTGGGGCCTCACAAAAGGAGAGTCAACGTTTGCAATGTCGCTTGATTCATCCCTCCTCACGGAAGGAGACTCAACGTTTGCAACGTCGCTTGATTCATCCACCCCTCACGATTGGGAGATCTAATATCGTCAAAAAGAAATCCGTGAATATTAAAAGCACGTGTCTCCCTCCTGCCCCAGGGCCGTTTCACGTACACTTCGGGGCAAGTACGGGAGTTTGGGATGCTTGCGGGAGGAACCGGGATCACACCGATGTTCCAGGTACGCCACATGTCTCTTTGATCTAGCAAAAGTAGGCTCCTACGCTAGCAGTCATACCTAACTCACAAATTACCTGCTCCGTACCTAACTCGCCTGAAACCCCCAGACTAACCCCACCCGTTTCAGGCTGGGCAGCTTACGTTTGCCAAGTCTTACTTCTGCTGAATCGAAGCCTCTTGTACCCCCCCGTTTCCGCGCCGATTACGTTGGACCCGATACGTACTTCTCCTACATTGGAACTTTTGAGACCAAGCCACTGGTTCAAGGTTTTTCAATCCCGGTCATTTGGTGGTCCTTGTAAGATACTACTAGAGTTCCTAACGTTTTGCACAGCGCCCAACCTGCTAAGCAAAAGGATGGCTAGGAATCTGTCCGTTCGTGCATTCGAGATTGGGGGCAATGGTTTTGCGTCCACATGCTTAGCATAGTGCAGCGAAGCTTTTATCTTTAGCACACAGCCTAAGACATGTTCCTGCCATTCGTGGGTCGTTGGACCATGGACGCTTCCGTGTTTGACAGTACTCGCTTCTTATCGCCGCTTGGGCCAATCTTGCTGAAGGTATTTGGAAACGGGATGAACAATGCTGGTTCTACCGAGCTTCGAGGTTGCTCGAGAGGCCCTTTTCAGAGAAGCTCGGTTATCAAACTTGAGTGCGTAGCTTCTCGACCTGCTTGCCACTTGGTTCTAAGATTACCAGATCTCCTCCTTTTCTTACCGACTTACAGGTCCTGAAATTCATCTTGAAGGACCCGTCTGACAACACGAAAGTAAAGCTCATTTACGCGAACATCTCGTTAGGGGACATTCTTTTGAAGGTAAGGATCGTTGCGTCGAAACGGCGCGCGCGCTTCTTCTTAAGAAGTGGTTGCACGGTCGATTCCCTTCGTGTAAGCAGAATTCCGACTTCCATTGCAATGATTGGTCAAAGCCCACAAAAGCCGCAGGCTATCAACCTTTTCAAACAGGGGGTGACCTTTCCCCGTACGCTGCCAACAACCGACCTCTAACTCGATAAGGATTTTTTTCTTTTCTCCCTCAGTAAATGTCTTTGAGAGCAAATAGTTGCACTTGAGGGGCGTGCGCTGTGCCAGGTGTCAGACCTTCAGACCCGAGCTGCCTTCTGTTTGCGGCTGTCGCAATGAGCAGCAATCCTCTCGATTGGATGGGTACTCGGCATGCGATCTCCTAAGAAAGCCGGACTTGCGATTCCGCAAGGCTCCCTCATAATCATTCCACTGCATAAAGCTCATTCAGCGAGCTCTAATCTATTGCTTGACAAGCCGAAGCCACCACAGTTTGGAAAGGCAGCTGGGTTCTCCTGAAAATCACGGTCTGACCCATTTCCGGTTTCTGTGTGCTTTTGCACTGATTAGTTTTTGCAGCACTAAAAGTTGAGTCTGACTGACACGCTTCTCGTCTCTTCCGCAGGACGAACTAGACTCGTTTGCGAAGCTGCATCCGAACAAGTTCAGCATATACTACGTTCTGAATGACGTAAGCACACGTCCCAGTCCCGTGTCTATCGCTGCTCAAAACGAGCCAAGGAATCCCCTCTCATGCTCTTGAATCTGCTTCGAACAGCGCAGGCTCTCGCGCAAAGGATATTAATGGTAATGTCCAGTGCTTTCGACTGGCAAGCTGCTCTTGTTTGTTCCTCTGGTTAGGGTTCCAAGTAAGTCAGCAATGGTTGCAACTTTTCCAGCGAATATGCGCAGACTTTGGACGTCACTGGTGGAAACGCGTGTTCGCGAGTCACATCGGAATCATTGCGCCAGTTACCTCTTGTGAACGTTCAGCCGTCAGATCGACGGCGCTCAGAAAAGCACTTTGTCAAACTATCTATTCTTTTACGTCTTTCGTTTTGCCTCCCTAGACAAGTGCGTTTCCGTACCCGGTACGTTGACACCATCCTCGTCTTTGTTATGCAGCCGCCGCCAGGGTGGACCGGCGGTGTCGGCTTCGTTTCCGCGGACATGATCAAAGCGCACTTGCCAGCACCAGCGGAAGATGTCAAGGTGAGTGCTTGGAACATCCGCCTTCATGATTCCACTAATTTGTCGCCTTCGTAGTTCGCTGTTCCGTGCGAGCCCCTTTTGTACAGAAGACTTCGAGAACCGTTTTTAGATACATCGCACTGCCGGTTTGAAGATGCTTGAACTGCTTTGAGTAAGTTCGGCGGCGGAGGGGAACTGAACTGGCTGACGACTTTCGATAGAGTGCCTTCCTCATTGAAGAGAGCTGCTCCTCCACTTCTCAGCACGAGGAGCTTTGCATTGTTCCTTGTAAATCTTGGAGATGATTTTATTCTGCTTGACTGCTTCCATCCCTCTCCGATGCGCAGCTGGTACCGCCCGACAATCTGATGCTGTTGCGAGCCTATCGCCTACAAACGGATGCTCATATGAAAGTTCTTTCTTTTGTGGCGCAGATTTTGCGATGCGGCCCGCCTCCGATGAACAAGGCCATGGCTGCCCACTTGGACGCACTCGGCTACTCCAAGGAGATGCAATTCCAGTTCTAGACACAAAGGAAGTTTTGGCTGCTGACCAGGCTAATAACCAGACTTGAAACTGGGGTTGCCGAAATGATGACCGGGCCTTGACTTCGTTCCAAGGTTGCTTGCCGCCCAAGTCTGGTTTCTGGTGGTTATAAGCACTTCGTAACGAGGTTCATAACCATCCATGGTTAAGTGCTGAAACCTCCTGTGACAAGAGACGTTGCTTTCTTCCAGTAACGGTCTGGTGCCCAAACAAACCGAATTCCACTGGAGACACTAATTTCAAAGCTTTTGCAAATGACGATTGGTTGGGAAGGCGTACTGACATTGAAACGTGCAGAGTAGTCGTTCGGCTCCGGGGCGGCTTCTGCCTGGCTTGTTCTGGTTCAGGTGATGACTGTGTTTGCTTCAACATAGGCTCGATATCTTTGCAAGCCGGAAACTTTCGCGAACATCCGCTATTCAAGCTAGACACTAGGTGGCCCAGTACGTGCTGGAAATCACAAACCACTTGAATGCGGCGGCCTCTTGAGGGGTTTGTGGCACCAACATACTCGATAGCTGCATGACTTCTTGGATTCTCGGACATAAGGTTCGATAATCGAGATTGACAGGAGACGATATAAAAGACTAGCAACATACTCCGAGTACTTGATCACCCGCGGATCCGAATCAAGAACACGGTTGCATGTCCCCAGCTCGATGTAAGGAGTGCAACTAGTGCCGGAGAAAAACGTCGCGACTTTTGGCCGTGAGGTCCTTGAATTGCCTTATCAGAACCTATTGTCGCATCCCGGCCACATGGTTTTCGTGAAGCAGTATATAATTCGTATCGATCCGCTGCCAAGAGCATGACTTTCTGGAGTACCAGCTCGCGCCACTTCCATGGCAGATGACATGGTCGCGCCATATAGTCTTCTCGATTCGTGGGTCAGAGCAAGCTACTAGGCCGCTTGAGGGGATTCTGCTTTCATGTCGGGGCCCGAGGGGACTCGAGGAGTGCTTTCAGGTTTCCGACGTAGCGGGACTAAGCCGTGACGACATAATATGTCGAGCCGGCCGCTCAGCTGGGCAAGATCTTTCCCATGGCTCGGATGATCCCTGGCCGACAGATCACGGTGGATCCCGCGCTGAGTCGGCCCGGTGCCGGCGCCGCCGAGTCCGAGTCGGACTCCAGCCTGGAGTTCGACTTGGTCGGAGAGTGCCACGTGGACTTTCCTCTCTTCCAAAGCTGAGCTCCGGCGAGTACGGAAAACGTACCCGGGCGGCCTCGGCTTGCATCGGCGACTCTGGCCCGGGCCCCTGCTCACTAGCCAGAACTCAATATGTACTGCCGGTCGTAAGGTCGACGAAAGGACAAGCCTTGTAAGCCAGTGCAACCTTACGCAAACAAGGTTTCTAGGTTTCGCTGTCACCTCGGAAGGACCATGCTCTCCACAGCATCAGGTCAAAAGTTTCTGCATACATAAGCTTCCGTCGTTGTGTAGCTGAAGCACGTTGAAAGTCCATTGGCACTTCCTTCGCTCCACAAGCCGCCCTCAGCAACCAAGCCTTCCTGCATCTTCGAGCTCTCAGACGCTTCCTCGCTACGGAGGTCACGAGTGTCTGCGCATCTCAACAGCGCTTCACCACCGAACGAGAGCGAGAGCGACATCGCGGCGGCAGCGGCGCCAAAATTTTCCCTTCTGGTGTAAGGGACGGTGAGAAGGTGCGCTGAGATTGGTTCTCCTTGGATTTTTCCGACTACTTGATCATCAGTGCGCCCACCACCTCACCTAGCGTTCTTTCTAAAATGAGCCCAAGTGATCAGAAGCTGCCTTTGTCGCTTTACTGCGTTCTGCAATCCTGATCAGGTGGACTGTTTTTCAGAGGGCCGATTTGCTTTCATTGTTCTTTGCGCGCTTGCGTGTGCGTACCCCGCCTTTTACTATCCCAAGTTAGTTGCCTCGCTGAGGAACTTAGCGCAGAATTGTGCAATTTCCCAGGCATACCCGTCTCTCCTTTGGTAGCCATCGATGCTGACACGTGTACGGCAACGCTCCTCTCTGTCGGGATCAAACAATACTATAAAATACTCATGGTTGTCAGATTGTGTTGCAGGTCCAGCGAAACATGGCTATGAACTCTGTTCACGCTCCGACCTTCGCCCTGTTCCTTCTGTTGGGGACCCTCTGTGCGGGCCTTGCAGCCGCGCAGTCGCCCAGCAATTCCACTCCGGGCGTTCCATCCACCGGCTGCACTTGTACGTGTCCGCCCAGTACCAGTAAGTACTTGGTTAACGTACTCGACACTATCGCCATCCAATCAAGTTGCAAACAATCAGATTAGAGAATCAGTTTTGACCTCAACTCCATTAAAGCTTCAAGTCGCAATCGCCATTCTGAAATCTGAGTAAGCTTGAGTTTTGCACGGGTTATCAGTATTGAGGCTGGGATCACAGCACTTTCGGGGGACTTCACCCAGATGGATTTATCTGCCTTTCTGAGTGCGTTAGGTCTAGAATAAGCGGCTTCTAGCCTGCACTATTCTCCTCTGGCTACGGACCAGAGCGAAAGGTGTTCATCAAACCGACATCCAGATCCCTTCTGAGACACTGTCACCCTTCTTTTTGAAACAAAAATCTTCATCTTTTTCACCTTAACTCTGAAACCGCCTCCATCTTTCCGCCCGAGTCAGCTGCTTCTCCAGCGAAAAAGCCGTTGCACCCAATTTGCACGTCGCCAATCCGCAACGCTTGCGTCCCGCAAGGATCCCCCTGCCCCCTTGAAAAAGTCCCTCAAGTGGGGTTTGCACCTGAATTGAATGTTCGGTACGTGTCGACACCTCTCTGACGTCATCTTTCTCACCTCTCTGACGTCATCTTTCTCACCTCTCTGACGTCATCTTTCCCACCTCTTTGACGTCATCGCTCCCCAAAAACTGCAGCTTGCTCCGAGCTTCAGGGCCGTTGTGATTGGTACTTCCTGGGCAGTGGCCCCGGCAGCCCCACGCCAACTTTCAACCTTAGAGACGGCCAAGGGGATCATGCCATCAGCCCCCCAATCACTTACAAGTAAGAGTTTCTGACTTTTTGGAAATGTGACTGCTCCGGCTCCTTTTCAGTCCACGTATCGATTAGTATTCGAGGCAACAATGTCTGGTAAGTGGACAAAACGAGTTATAAGCATTTTCAACTGGAGATGACGTTGCAAGTTGAAGGCCCGAGCGAAGCTTGAAGGTCCAACAACCAATGTCTGATTTGTTTTGCGCTCGGTCTCATCACTCCACTTGGAAAGCTCCAATCGAACGATGAATCACAGGCCCCTTTGACAATCCACAAATCTGTTCTAGCAGGCACTTACCTCGAGAAGGCGGTAGGATCCCGTCTGGCGTGGTAATTGCGTCTAAAAATCAAAACGACTGGTTTGCGTTCTCTTTAAGTGAGTTATTGTGTCACAGGACAGACCCTCTCAAACAGAGAAGCGGTCTCGTTGATAAAACCTCTTATCCATCAAACGTTTTGAGAGTACGGGGAACTTACTCGAGCTTGCCCAGTTTCTGAGCGAGCTTCTCAATCTCCTGCAGGGACGGTCAGACGGTTCTGGCAGCTAACACCAACGGCGGCTACACTTACACGGGTGCGGCAATCCCCAACGAGAGCCAGAACCAATTCTATGGGAACGGCGCTTACGTCTACTACAGAACGTTCAACTACCCTCTGAGCGTCGAGAATTACAAGGGTCGCTGCTTCCTCCTCCCCCTCACTGAAATCGAGCTCGGCGATGGGTCCAACCTCAACAGGGGCGACGGAAACGCGGCCTACTTGGAGTCCCGCCGCTGCGTCGTGTTCGCGACTCAGGCGTAATGAGACGAATTGTACCTCAGCCTCAGTATGTTTGAGGCACCTAGGGAGAGGTTTGAGTTTGGAGGGATTGAAGGAGATGAAAGATTGCACGGATGACTGAGCAATCGAAAGATTGCATGCAAGGGTCAGTGTAAACAGATTGTGCGTGAGAGTCTAAAGTTTCAGCAGTTAAGATCTATTATATAGACCAGCATAGGGTTTTCAATGAGTGTACTTCAGAGAACACTTCGCATGAATAGAGATTTGCATTTTCAATTGATAAGCTCAACGTAAAATGTGCGGCTTTGACTTTCTGTACCATAGAGAACAATAAACTGTCCGGTCACAGTGTCAAGCTGATGACCTGACTGAAGTACTCTTTAATTAATGCTTAGTGTAGATCCTTCGATGTATTATTCCAAATGTACTCCGACCTGATTGTGTTCTCTGAATTAATGAAACCGGCGGCTCTCGAGCTGAATGAGTGCTCGAATCTGCCAGTGAATGTGTGAATACGCTTCAGACTATAGTCATACCAAGCGATATACATGGAAGAAACAGGCGTCCGTTGAAACGTTTAATGGTTTAAACTCTCCTGCCTTCGAACGTTTGAATGTGATGATCAGGCGTGAGTCATACCGAATGCCCAACAATGTTGACCGTATATGGCTGACCCACTCTAGTATTTACTTTGCACCGTGCACCCATTTAGACGCTAACAGGATACGTCAAGGATCTAGCTGGACGATGTTGTGCATGTGCACGTGGTAATATTCGTTCCGAGCTCTGTGCTGCTTACACTGGACCTGCCAAGTGATTTCGGAGGAAAAGCCGTTTGCTACCGTCAGGATCCAGCTGTTAACCGAATATTTTGGTGAATGCCCCGGCGCCTATTCAGCGGCTCGGTCCACTCCGGGCTCTAATCGACTGCCTCTGCCTTTACCCTGCTAGTTTTGAATCCTAGATTTTTGAATCAAGGTGGCCTCTAACCAACGTCGAGAAACTGGTTTGCTCTGAATCGAGGACCGTTTGCCGGCCTCCCCCTCCCGTAGGGGCGCACGGAGTTCTCGGTGAAGGGATTCGATTGAGCAGGAAGCCTGATTAGCGGTTTATCCATCTTTCATGCCTTTCGTCTCTCCTCCCTGAATCTGCCGAGGAGCCGCATCACCTCGTTGCGTACGTCACCTCAGTATCATGCTCGTCGAACTTTTTCGCCTCGGAAAGTAGGTCGCATCATCTTCTCCGAAGGCTCCTGATTCCAGCACAGTGCTCATGAAGCAAGAGCAACGAGGCAGGCGTTGGGGTCTCTAGTAGATCCGCACTGGGCGGAATGCTTCTCTTCGTCTCGCGCTGCCTCGATCGCCGGCCCCCATGATCCAACCTTGTGCTGGCAAGGATCTCTTCGTCTCCGTTTGAAAGAGTCTCTAGTGCTCCCATGATCGCCTCGGCGCAAATATACGCAGGCGCAGCTGACTGGGCCTCAGCACCTACTGAGCCGAAAATTGCGCGAAATAGAGCGAAGTTGTAACCATGTTTCAGACTGCGAAGGGGCCGAGTCTAGAGCTACCTTCCGAAGCATTTTGCTTCTCAAAGGCCCACCGTGACTTTCCGTCCAGGATCACCGTGCCAGAAAGAAACTCGGCAATCGCGTCAAGTCACATTTCCATTCGCAGAAGTTGCGTTGCGGATCAAGAAAGTAAGGCGCGCTTGAGTGGAAGTTCTCTGGCTCGTCATCCTGCCTTTGTCTTCACCCCCTTCGCGAGGAACATGACGGCGTCAAGAGGGTGTCTTACCAGCATTTCGGCCCTGCTTCTCGTGATGGGCGCCAAGAACCAGGTGAGTCCAAGATGAGGTTTGCAATTTGATGGGTTCAGTGACGGTCGAAGTTCTCAGAAGTTTCTAAATCTTGTAAAGCAGATGGTATAGGGAAGGTCCGCTACAGGCCAGATGGTAGCAGCTTACAGCGGGTGTGTATCTATCTGATGCCTGTTTCGAACCCTCACTTTCTTCTGCCTTGAGACTATTATATTGCTTTGAATGTTCTAAGGACAATTGTATAGCAGTCCGAGCACAGCTTACGTTGCAATCTGAACCGATTTATGTCAACGAGGGAATCGTGTAATTACATCTCTTTATCTCGATTTTGTCCTGTCGGTGCTAGGCGTCCGGAAACTCGCTCCAGGCCCTGGCGAGCGAGCGCAATTCCGGTGTCCGGAACAGTTCCGCTGTTCCGCGCAAGCTCCTCCAAACCCCCGCTCCAGGTGCGTTGCTTGGATTGCACCGGAGATGCATTCAAAGCGTTGTAAGGAGAAAAGTGAACGGCTGGTTTATCAGTTTAAGCTCAGCTAAGCAGGCTTTTCGAGAACCCGAGAACATAAAGCTCAGGGAAGAAAGGAACAGGCTCGAGTGGGACCAGGCTGGGCAAAGGAAAATTCCAGATAAGATGCTGGGAAGAAACTATTCGGTTTTCTCACGTGGCCCGCTCCAAATACCTTGAGCACCGAGCGTGCGATCGAGACTATTGCTTGGTTCTCACTGCACCTAACTTCAGCCCCCTTCCCTTAGTGAATGGAGCCTGCGTTTTGCATTGCTCAACAGAATGAGTGTAGAATGTCTTACTCCGCTAATCTTAGTGCCCTGGTGCATAGCCTACCGTCCTTGCTAACGTCTGTAGTGTTCTCGTCAGCCTATGACTTCAAGATCCAAACTGTAATACTGCGTAAGATCTCTTTCGAAGATTCTTTTATTTCCCCAGGTTCATCCCCTTTCTGCCCCGCCAACTTCATTCTCTGTACTTTCCTCGACATCCCATTGGGAATTCCACGACCGCCGCCCCTGTGTTGCCGGGCCTCAATCTGCCCAGTCCCCAGGGGCAACCTCGTGCAGTGCGTCTTAGTGTCAAGCCCTCGCACAGCTCCACCTGTTATCCCGACCACTCCGTCGCTTGCTCCGACGACCCCCACCCCAACCCCGGCGGCCTCTGCCCTCACCCCGGTCATACCGGTCCCGACCCCGACCACCCCGTCCCTAACCCCGGTTATTGTCCCTACTAACTCCGCCCCAATTTCGACCACCCCGGTCGTCCCGGCCCGCACCTCGACCGCCCCTAACCCTACCCCAACCACCCCCGCCCTTACCCCGGTCATACCGGCCCCGACTACCCCCGCCCTCACTTCGATCGCCCCTACCCCCATCCCGACTCGGACTACCCCTGCCATGACTCCGACTTCCCCTGCCCCAACCTCAACCACTCCTGTCCCTTCCCCGACCAGTTCCGCAACAACTCCGACCATTCCGGCGCTTATCTTGACTACGTCCCCTACCCCTACCCCGACCATCCCAGCCCTTACCCCGACTACCCCTGGCTCCACCCCGACCATCCCGGCCATTTCTCTGCTCCCCGGTTTCCCAGCCTCGACCACTCCGAGAGCCACTCCGACCGTTATCCCTGCCGAAGGACCCGCCGTTCGACCGCCCCCAGTGGAGGTACTCGCAGGTACTTCCGCTGGAGGTTCCGCCAGTCCTGTTGAAGAAGGCCGGATTATCAAAGAGTTGCCACGAAACTGCGGCATTCAGTTTGCGTCCACGCGGGTCCGGGGGAAGGGGGATGAATCGTGCTTGTTTTGACGTAGGGAGACCGAACGTAGTCGTGCTATTTTCTGTACTTGGGCTCCGTTTTGAAGCTTTAGAAATCCTTGTTCTGTCTGTCGACTGACTTCACGTCGCCGAGGTAAACGCTGTTGACGTAACGGGAGTGCATCTGCTTTCGAGCACGCAAAAAACGACAAAACAGAATGGACGTACGTGCGGGGTGGATCAACAGCTCCTACTTTCAGGGGAGGCAGCAGCGATTGTTGTTGGGAGTCTCGCTTGCATGAACCAGATTTGCTTGACCCGCATCGCTTCCGTGCTTTCCCGCAGTATAGCTAACACGCCTCTCTTATGGCTGAGTGCAGGTAGTCCAACGTGCCTCAATAGTGGTCCCGCAGGAACGAAGTTCACCGGTGAATGCCCTAGTTCCTCGAACACAGATGTGCTGTGCTGCTCATTCATCGGCCCTTATTGCCCGGCCGATCCCCTTGACGTAGAATTTGAAGTCGACCTCGGATTTTGCATCTTTTTCCCGCGTAAAATGATCCGGCCGTAGTAGCCGCCATGTAATCCAGCTCCTGGCTCCTTTACACTGGGTCGATTATTGTGGAGCGCTGTCTTTCATTACAATCGCTAAATCAGAAAAGAATATGGATGTCGTGCGACTGATTGGAGTCAGGATACAGGCGCTAGCAAACGTTCTTCAAATAGAACAGGTTCGAGATTATAGAAACTTCCCAAGGCACTTAGAATTGGAGTTTGGCTGGCCAACGTGTCTAGTCTAAGTAAGAGTTTAAGCGGGCCTGTGCAAAGCCGCCCGGATCCAGAGAGTAAGCTAGCTTCGATAGGCAAAAGCGACAGACCTCTTTTCGGACACCACGTAGTTGTGAGGACAAGAATATATATGCAACCCATGTACTAAGAGGATTCGTGTCTTGGCACAGCAACCATACCGTCAGAGAGGTCTTTGACGGCGCCGGAAAAGTGTGCTTGCAGAGCCACAAAAGGATGCTTTGAGTCAAAAGCTTTCCATTCTTGAAACATTTCTCTTTTTAGAAGGTTTGGATTGATCAAATAGCAGGCAGAATAAATCTGCAGGTGTGAATATCTGAGACAAGAGGCTTGCATCAAGCGATCTTATGAATAATGTACAAATCTCTCAGGAGTTGAATCTCGTCCGTAGCTGACCCATAAGCTTGTTGGACAAGTAAATAAGAATACGTTTCATGAAGATAAGTATATGCGTTATCCTTATGAAGTATACAGCTAGCACTGGAAAAGAAATGAAGTTCATTACTTCTGCTCGCGAGCATGGAGCATCACGATCGATGCACGGATGCGGGAAATCAATTTAAGATGAATAATCCTCGTTGAGGGAGGTCTAACTACTCGAGAAACCCCAGGCAAACCGAATATGAAGAAAGTGACTGAACAAGGTTGACACAAATTCGGATTCATACGGATCAATTGAAAGGGTCGATGAATCGATTACACTCAGGCGGTGAGAGTGGCTGTTCCAAGTTGAGTTGGTAATCCTTAACGTACAGTTTCTACTTGGTAGCTGGCATGCAGCTGGTAATTAGCCCTCCTAACTAAAATGTTTGTTCGTTGCATGATCCTCTACGGGGTAATGCACGCGAATGCGGCAAGGCCGTTGAAATTTAATTTAGCTTACGTTAGAAGTACGTCTGATCAAAGCGAGCTCTTTGTGCTACTCTACTTCAACCACCCTCCACTCAGTCACTACAAATTCCTTCCAAGTCTTCATAGTTATATGGATCACTCATAGCCGGTCGGCAGCGGCTTTATGAACATTCTGAAGCCCCGCTTTCTCCATTTACAACCGCTGATTTACTCATAACACACAGTGACCGTGGGCTAAAATGCATTGATTGTGGGCGAACTTGGCAGACTCGTCTTGGGCCCTAATTAAGAGCTCCTCTTGAACCCCTCTCTTAATATACATTCCTAGATGAAGCACACAAGCCCCCCGCTGCGCATGTTCTTGCACGACAGCTCGCCATCCACCGTCCATTCCGTCTCATCGACGGCCGAGAGGCCCAGCAGCTTGCGCGCGATGACGTTGATCTTGGAGAAGGCGCCGGCGCTCATGGGCCTGAAGCGCTTGTACGCGAAGTCGGTGCTGAGCAGGGATGACGTCATGTAGTCGACGTCCTTGCCCTCGACGACGTCAGCCTCGTCGAACTTGACGGCCGCGGCCTTGAGCGCCTCGGCGCGGTGCGCGGCGAACGTCTGACCCAGCGCGCCGTGGACGGTGCCTGCGAGAAGGAAGAACTAGACAGGGTGAGAAAACAGGACGAAAGAGCTAAAAGCAAAGGTCTGGCAGAGCGCGATTGAAATGTGCGTGAAGGATTGACATCGGGTGAGAGGAGAGGGAAAACACTTTGTGCTCAAAGCGAAGGTTTGGCCGAGCGCGCCTGCAAAAAGATAGCATATGCTTGAAGAAGAGCTATGATTTCAGAAGCTAGAATAAATGATACGAAAGGGCGGAAACGTTGTCCCAGCGTGCCGTGGAACCAAGGGTGAAATAGAGAGGGGGAGAAGCGAGCAAGGGAGGTTCATGCGGAGGGCGCGAGACTGAAGAGCAGGGTTGGATACCACGGTGGCAGAAACAAGCCAAAGTTTCCAGACGACGAAAAGGTGAGCCAAATGCGAGGAGTTTGGAATGCATGATTCTGGAGGCCACAGAAACTAATCTTGAATACCAATAGAGGGCGAGCCGGCAAAGAATGCTCCATGGACGTATAAAAGCAGACAGATACGGATACAATTCGAGCGGACCAACTCTTGATACAAAAGCATGACAAGTTCTGCGTTGACTGGGACCAGCAGCGTCACGGCCTTTTTATAGTCAAGTTTGACCGGCGTGACGTCTTCGGAGTACCGGAACACAAGCATGACAAGCACCGTCTCCCGAGAACTGGCACGCTGACGGTCCAGCCGCTGACGCACCGGTGACGTTAAGCTTGCTGATCCCGATGTCGATGTGGTTGCCCGCGGGGTGCTCGTGCGCCGCTGCCGTCACGATGACGTCAATGTGCTCGCGGATGCTGACGCGGAACGAGTAGGCGAACGGCGCGACTTTGATGGTGAGCCCTTCGTCTTCGAAGAGGGCCGCCTCCTGATTCAAGACGGAGGCGAGGAAGGACTCCGGGCGCAGCTCCTGGCCGTCGATCTGAATGACGAACGGCACGGATTCGGTGAAGGCGGCGGAGCCCTGCAGAGGGGAGGAAGGAGTCCTGTCAGCTGTGCAGGCAGGGATGACGCCAAACAAATCATCGGGGGAAACTTTTGTCGGTCGGAAAAGAAAGCCGCGAGTTGGCTTTTAAGCAATTGTTTTTGCCCTTTCAAATTAGCAGGAGGAATGGACTTTCTTGACACCCGCGAGGCCATGCAAGTCAGGTCGCACCAAAGTCACTGGCAAGACGCCTGCGCGAGCCAGCTATACCCACGACAGTCTTCCTTTTCCGCCCCAACCTTTGATACGCACCGGCTTTGAGCGAAGGGTCATCAATATGGCCGTTAAAGTTCGCACGATGGAAGTCGATTATGTTTGCGGGCCTGTACACGAAGTTGGCCTTTCTTACAATTCAAAAACCCATAATGCAGGTGATGAGAGGAGCTCGAGGCAGCTTACCTCCTTGACGGTAAAGGTGGCGGAACGAACGCCGCCGTTTTCGGCCCACATAAAGCCGAGGGCGGACATCCAGGTGCCGTCGAAGCCGGTCTCGAGTCCGTCCTGGCCGATGAAGTGGGCGTTCATGGTTAGGCCTTGGTCGGTGATCAGGTTGAAGTCTCTGTCTGTGGGGCAAAAAGAGTGGGGTTAGTAGAGACGTACCGATTGCTGAAGACAGCTCACTCCAGTCGAGCTTAAACCTTGCTCAAGCGACTGATACTACTGCAAAGACTCATCTCAGACCGGTGCCCAAAAACTGCCGAGAAATCTTTTCACTGGGATATTTACTAGTGGTAGAACGTCATTTTGAGCCAGATTCAGAAGAGGACTTCTTTGCTGTTCAACACAGACTGATAATCGAGGGTTAATGTGAAAGAGCAAGGGGCTTACCAGGCAGGCCGTGGAAGTCGTAATGGATACCGAAAGCGCCGCGGAAGTGGGGGTCTGTCGGGAGAAGAAGGACACTTCAGAATCTTCAAGTCAGGCCAATGCTGCAGCAGATTGGAAGCCAACGAAGACAATCCTGGGTCAAACTTGTACACAGAATATGCATGCACATCACAGAAAGCTCCTTCAGAACTTCCGCTCATGAACTCGAGGGCCTAAAGAAGATGAGAAGAGGGCCCGGAGAAGATGAGAATTCCTTCAACTGACAATGTTGACCAATTGCCAAGCCCAGGGGAGTAACTGAAAACTGGACACTCCAAATAAAGCTTGACAAGACAAAGCAGTCCTCACACCCTCACCCATAAAATAAAGACAAGCCACAGGAACCCTACGACTCTAGTGTTTCCCACCCCATTTCCGGCCGGACAAGGGGCAGTAGTACCTCCAACCACTAAACTTCGAGCGGCACAGTCTTCCTAATCCGCAGAGAAAGAGCAAACTGACTCACCGGCGCAAGCGCCAGTCGATTGCAGCTCGTCCGCCTTTGCCTTGGCGTTATCCTTGGGGGGGCCACACAGGCAGAACGTCTTAATGTTGCCTTTTCCCTCCTCCTTGCACGCCAACGTGCAGCAGTCGTCAATCCTTTGGCCCACGCCGTTCTTGCAGTCGCCGCAGGTGACGTACGCGTAGGCCTTCGCGCATGTGTCGACGCTATGGCCCTGCAGAGACAGGAGGCCTCACAATGTGAACCATTCGTTCAAAAGTTCGGCCGGTGGTTCAAGCGTTTTGTTCAGTCGATTGGCTCTTGGGAAAGGCGGAGGGAAAGGGGCTCGAGCTGGAGTCTACTTAAGACACACAGGTCTGACACTCTTGCAGCTATGGATGACAGCTGTCAAGCCTAAAAACAGGACCAGTCAGGAACCTGCAAGACTCTGCACCCGACTGGTATTGGACCCCAAATCAATGAATCAGCGACCGTGGTGTTTGCCGACATTTCAGATGGCAGAAGGTCGTAACTACTGAAGAGAATGATCAAGCCTCTGAAGCAGCTGTGTCTCTGCTAGTTTCAGCGAGTGACTCGAACCTTCAAAGTGAAGTGCTCAAGCTAGAGAACGAGCAGAGAACTAGAGCTGGAAGATCCGCTTGATAAGCACTTCAGTCGCGCCGGCTCACCTGGATGTAAGTTGGGTCCCCATTGAGAGTGGCCACACCGCCCTTGTCGCAGTCGTTAGTTCCCTTCTTGCAAATCTCGCAGTCGTTGGCAAAGGCAGAGACCGCGAAGAGAGAAAGGAGGAGCGCGGCGGTGAGAAGGCGGGGAGCCATGGTGACAGCTGGCGAAGGATAAGCGCAACCGACGCTTGGTGACAAAAATTTGGAAGCTCTGAACCAACGAAGAGAGAATGGTGCGGTGAAGAGGGCTATGGCTTCGTTTATATACCTCGGAATTCGCTTGTGATGTGGCATGAGGTAGCAGCAAAAGCGGACCCTGAATTGACTTCGCAGACAGCTTTCGAAGGATTGACGGTAGGCAGCGGAACCGAATGGGTAAAATGAGTGCGCGAATATGACGTGACAGATAGTGAAATATGATTGCTCCGGAGCTGTCGGACCCTCGGGCCGGACCCACATAAGGCCTGGCAAACATTTCGCGTTCGAGGTGATACTCGAGAAAAATAACGGGAGATTACAGATTGGTCGTGCGGTAGACGGTGGACTGCGGAGCTCCGCTCTGGTCTGGCTCAGGTGTCAACATAGTGCGCAGATGACGTGACAGGTCGATGTCAGATCATATGATTGCTCCGGAGCCGTCGGAGCTCGGGGCGATCAACGCACGCTTGCAATCCTTCATCTACTCATGTCCGGATAGGACTCTGGAAGACGATCTTGAGGCCTTCACTTAGCGGGTCGTCAATGATTTACGCACGTACCAAGCCAGCTTCAAACGGGAGGTCACCGATCATTATGCGAAAATACATCTCATGCTAATCTGGACCGTCGATACTGGATTATGCATGCATAAGATTCCCGTCTGCTCGACCAGCCAGCGGGCTCAAAAACTGGGCCGGGCAAACCGCCCCAACGCCCCTTGTCACACCATCTCGAAGTACTACATACGTTACGCTGAGAGTGACTTCGTCCGGTATACTGGGCCGGTGTGCAATGGTCGAGCTCCCGGTCGGGTCCGGTCCATTGTTCCCTAAATGAGTCACAGTAAGCTCGAGCTACATACAAGACTTGGAGGGTGGGGTTGGCAAGGGAGTTTAGGGTACTGGGTTCCCCGGTACGGCTGCGGAGCAGGTCGATTTGTGGGTTTACGCCAGAAATTGTGAGTTTACGCTTCTGGTGTTAGGTTGATCCCACTCATCATTTGAGCCTGTTATAACTAACGTAGCTTATTCATGTCCGGTCCAGAGTTCTGGACCAGCGGCCAGCTTGAGGGCACCGAAGGAAAGCTCTACGCGAAGAATGGGGCGGAGTACCGGTGTTGATCCAGACTGCATCCACTAGATCCAATGTGGATTTGATTCAAAAGATTCGCTTGTCGGGTTCGACCTCCCAGGTTGTTACCTTTCCTGGGCCCTCAACAGGGCGTGTTGCCTACCCGGTCTCCTAGGGTTTTAACGGTCAAATCAAAATTTTCTTGACTTCCCTCCTCCAATTCCCTGAATGGGACCTCGCATTATTGAATGATTCGTCGAATCATTGGAAGATGCTGCTTAATTAAGCACCCCAAGCATGGCTAATCAGCTTCAACAGTGGTTCGCATGATTATTCCGTACTCTGGAGATACAGTTTGAACATCTTTGCAACGTACTAGCACTGAGTTGTGGTCCTTCAACAAGTCACTAGGACCAAATGAGAAAAGCGTCGGATCGGGTTGATCTAAGCTGTGACCCGAGAGTCCGAGAAGTAGCTGCCGCAACTGGGCAGCCTGAGGTCATCACCAGTTTTTGACCTGCCCAAATAGTGACTCAGAACGGCCAACTTTTGCCACCTTGACTAACAATTTCTGGAAATAACAGTGCGAAATGAAAGTTCAAGGACACCACATGAATCTGATCATTGAGATGTGAGCCGCCCGGCCTTTGATTCCATGTCTGGAACTTCGACTGACATCGAAGTTGCCAAGTTGCAGTAAGCTAGCATTACTTGAGGTCAAACATTTCCTGCTCGAACTTCCTGTGTACTTTTACAATGTATTGATTCAGCATTGTTTTCAGGATGTGCTTTCGTGCTTTCGGATCACATACGCAAGCCTCTCGAGAGATCTCAAGAGCGAGCTTCATCGTGCGATCCCGAATGTTGAGATCGGACAGACACACATGCATTAACGCGTCCTGTCTTGATCATGATCAGTCGAACATCATGCAGACGAATCACGATGCCGTAATTGCAAATGAAGACAAAGGATCCTTCTCCATATATTTGCGGCCGACCGTCTTTACAACATGCAACTCAAGCAAAGCTTGATTATCAATAGATTACAATATAGATGCACACTCACGTCATGGCACCTGTGAATCATGCACTGAGTCGCAGCGGTTCTTTGCCAGCAAGTCCAGTATGCCCGGCGTGACTGTGTTGCGTTGATATATATGACATATTTGTTTATATGTGTAAGCATGAAATCGTAAACAGGGCCCAGCCGTCATCGGGCTAGTCAATCAACCCATAATTGAAGTCAAAACTGGCTTACCAGGGTCCATACCAGGACAAAGTCTCCTTTTGACGACTCGGGGCGTTCTATGCTAGCACCCATGGTCGCAACATCTGCTGCAACCAACAGAGGCGAACGCTCAAAGAAGAAGGAACTGTCCACGTGTCCAGCATGGGAGTTCGGCGGTAGTCAAGGTTCAGACAGTCAGAACCCACTTTATAAGTATTCAAATACTGGCTTCAATTTGCCAGCTAGCGATCGAGCGGTGTATCTTTGGCTCGTCCAATCGAACGCACCTTGTTCAATTTGAGCAGCGATTCTGACCTCATACCTAAGCGAGCGCTGCGTACGACAGCAGATTTGACATATACTGGTTCCGCTTGTTGACGAATTGGTGGGACAACCTAGCCGTAGAACGCAAAGTTGGAAAGAACAACCTCCGCGTCTAGCCCGCCAGATTGCCTGTGCCTGGTCTATCCTCGCTCAGGATGTAATAGTGCACAATTGTTGAATCAGCAGCAAAACGTAGCCAAAACAGCCTGCCTGCGCGCGATAAATGCAATCTACGATCCCGTGCTTTTTTCCACACTAGCTATACGGGAGCTATACTCTGACGCCTAGTCAATGGAGTCAATTACACTGAGCTAAGTTTCTAAGCGAATTCGTTCCTAAACCCTTTCCCTCTCGAACCTTTCAGGTAAACAGTTTCAGACCAATATAAGTCCTCGAGTGATCGAGGCCCTCAAGCGCCCTCCAGAAGTTCCCGCCACCTGTTACTCCTCTCATAAACCACTTGGCGATCCCATCCGCCCGGGGAACAAAATCGATCGCCTTCCGCATTGCATCCCACAGACTGACTTTTGGCGACCCCGACCACCTGCGCCCTTCAAACCGTACCTGACCGCCCGCTGACGTCACCCCGGTTTAAAGATGCACTTTTGGGCCCCGCTCACACAAGACAACTTCAAACATCCGTAGAAGCGTGAGAAACGGTCGCTTTCCGCCCCGCCCGCAAGGCGACTCTGCAAGCCTGGTGGTAATACGCCCAGCCGCCCTTCTCAAACTTTCCCCCTCCTCTAAGGTGAGGCGACTCTCCACACCCCGACCAATCTCACCAGTGTTCTTCCTCTCCTTAAGTGAGGCGACTCTGCACGCCCGGTAGTTTGATCGCGGTCGCCCTCCCAGGGGGATCCCTCTCCTTAGGTGAGGCGACTCTGCACGCCCGGGGGAAAGGCGAAGGTTGCCGTCAGGTTGCGCGGCTGCACGAATGCAGTCCCAAAGAGGAACTGCTTCGCGACGAACCGGTAGAAGGCCTCCGTACCGTGTTCCACGTCCCAAAAGATGTGCGTGTCCGGATCGGCGCACGCGTCCGCACGGACGGTGTACAGGTCGAAGATCGTCCGGTTCTGTCCGCACTGCAGGGTGGCGTTGTTGGGGCCCGCACCGCAGCAGGCGACGGCGGAGACAGAAAAGTCTGGGGAAAGGGGTCGCCGGTTAGCGGGCAAAAAGCGGGAAAAATAAGAGAGACGTGATGGGATTCGCGAGGGTAACGGGCTGCTATGGAGGAATAGTCTAAGAGAAAGGATGTCAGAGACCGAAAAGTCTGCGGGCGGAAGGATAGGGTCGCCGCTTAGCGGGGCTTGGAGCGAAAGAACGAAGAAAGACGTGACAGGACTCGCGAGGGTCGCGACTGAGGGATCGTCTAAGCGAAAGGATGTCACAAAACGGTGAGCAAGTTCATCCGTTGTATCTAGGCTTGGTCCGACTCGCAAGCTTTTAAGCAGGAGGGGCGATTCGAAAGCGTCTCGCATATGGTCTGGATGGAATAGACAAAACAAACGTCCATATCTTCTACTCATCCCACCCTAATCGAAACCTCGCTAGCAAGACCGAGCTCAGATCGGGGAGCCGCAGTCGCGTCGCATACGCGCCACCACGGGCACCCATACGCACTCGGCCCCTACCATTGCCCACAATTCAAACTCCTGCAAAAACATTGCATAAGCGCTCCGCGTGCTCACTGTACGCGCTCGGCTGCGCCACGGTGCTCGCGAGCAGTCCGTTGGTGTCCCCGACCAGGATCGTCGCGTCCGGCCACGCTGACGTCAGGTTTGCCAGCGTGGCATTGAGCAACCGGTTGTGATCCCTGGCCAGATCGTTGAGCGGGTCGAGGCACGAGTCGTTAAAGGTGACTAGGCGCGCTTGTGGCGCGCAGCCGACCGCGGGAACGTTTGCGACGAAGAAGCGGCGCGCGCCGGCCGCGTATAAACCCTGCAGATGGTCGATAGATGCAAGGGGTTAGACAGTGCATCCGTTCGGATTGAGAAAGGCGGCAACGGGATCGAGAAGCGCGTGCGCAAGCCTTTTAGTTCGATGCGAGTGGCATCGAAAGGTTACCGCAGAATCTCATATAGCAAAACTGAAGGCTGGAAGTTCACGGCTCAAATAGCGGGGTAGCGACAGCCGCGTATGAACCCTGCGATTGACAGTTCCGCATTCACAGTAAGAAAGAAGAAGACGACGAGGATCTGAAGCTGACGTCCGCGACCGGAAGGTGCCCGACTTGTCTTGAAGGAGTCTTGGGGAGGGGAAGGACTCAACTTCAAACGGCGACAATCAGAGTAGAAAATCGAGAATCAAATTCATATGTCTAAAGGAGGGCATGTCGGCTCTCAGGATCTCTTACCACATCATCTTACGTCAGTCCAGACCGCAATTAGGGGCTTGAATCAAGCAAGAGCTTTGTTTCAGAATTTTTTCCGAGAACTGCCCAATGGCAAAATGACATGTGCCCACCTGGACGCCCGCCGCAAGGTTTGCGACGACGCTCTGGATGTAGTCATCTGGCGCCACCGGATTGCCGCTAAACACCCCCCCCAGGTCGAGAGTGTAGTGCGTGTAATCATTGGTTCCCGTACTCACGAGGAAGATCGCTTCGTTGATGGTGGAGTTCGGGATAGGACCTGCAATTGTGAAGACGATTGAGACGTTGCGAAACTTGCAACCAGAGCATTTGGAAGAGACCCCTTGAGTGAGAAACATTACCTGCCCTCGAAACGGGATGTTGGGATTTCGCGAAGCTTCGGACGCATGCGGTTGTCTGTTCACATTCATACGAGAAACGTTCAGACGCAATAACTGGGAAGGAGGGCTCCATAGAGCTGGAGCGGACTTTTAACCGTCGAGACGCTTGAGACGTGTTTGGTTGTTGAACAACGTGATCACGAGCGTTCTGACGTAAGCCGGGGTGAAAAGTGCAAAGCGGGTCTGCAGGAAGCCTCGGGACGCGTGCTTGAGCGCTGATTAGCTGCAGTTCTTGAGAGCGGCGTCAGATGTATCCCTGGAGAACGACGTCCTTGTTGGATGTCCCCGAACGAGACGTTCTATGTTGTCACCCATTCTGTTGCACTTGTTGACTCGGTTGGGGTCATTGCATGGTACCGACGTAAAGCGCCTGTTCCAAGAGACCTGAAGACCTGTCGCTGAACAACCACCAAAAGCGAAGCGGCTCACCCGTTCCGTTGGTTCCGTTCTTGAACGCCAGGAAAGCTGCGACCTGACCGGCGAGCGAAAGCTCTCCGTCGGTGGACGTGGTGTTGAGCGCGCCGCTCCCGGCAGACGCAAAGTTGGCCCCGCGCGAAAAGTTTGCCCCGGGCTGGAGATAAGGGGCCAGAAGCGGGAAACCCCACGCCTGGGCTGCAGAAGTCAAACCGAGATATTTCACTTTACCTGTAGACCTCGAAAAGACAGAGAAGTTGCCGCGGGTCGAGGGTAGGTGGCGGAAATAAGGAAGCCTCACGTTCAGGCTGTAGGGGTTGAACAAATCCCTCCGCTTTTGTACGAGAAGAAAGAGGGTTGCCCCGGATTTGAGTAGGATGCGAGCAGGGCAAAATCAAAGCAGATCTCTTCTTTTGTAGTTTTTCGAGAAGAACGATCTTGGGTTGGAAGTAGGGTTCAAGAAGGGGAAGCCCCACGCTTGGGCTGCAGGCAAGAACGAAGTACATTCAGCGTAACATCAAGCCGGGAGTTTTATATGATTAACCTGACGCCGAAGGCAGCTGCCCTAGTTTTCAAACATCGAGCGAAGGAGGAGAAAGCTCGACGCCTTGCCAGGCTTCGCGCAAAAGAGAAATGGTCTCTGTGGCTTAAATCTGCTTAGTCTGCCTGTGATAAGATTTTGCGGCTGCAGAGAGAAGGAGCGAAACCCCAACCTTAATGGGCTCGAAAACAATGGAGCAATTTGAGATTCTCGGCTCGGAGAAACATGAGGTAGTCTGTTACTACGAATCAGAACCTTAGGGTAGCTACCTCCGAACGATTGAGAAAAGCATGGAAGGACGCCGGGCCACTGCATGTCATTTTGTGTCAGGCAACACTCAACGTGGTAAGCTTGGTCGGACTCGGAAATGATACAGCAAGAGACCACTCAGAACTCCTTGTTGCAGACATCGTTTTGTTGGTCCGCTCACCCAGAAAATCGACAACAAGGCGCCCATCGCTATACCGCCCAGTTGGCATGTGAAAGTAGGTTTCTCCATATGGGGGGCGATCAGCTGACGTAGTGGTGCTGTTAAGGTACTTGTTCAGGCCTGCAGATTCAACGTGAGAGTCCTGTTCCGAAGAGCACAAGCCAATGGATCGAAGTTCCTAGCTCACCCAGGCACGGTGTCAGCTGACAAAATTATTTGGTCGTAGCACACCATTGGGAGAAAGAGAAGCCCAATCCCTAGTGTTATGTTGGTTCTTTCCAGTCAGCAAAGGCGTCTGTGGCCCCTGAGTGTCATCCACTCTGAGATTCAGGAGCACTGGCTTAAAGGGCATGGTTTTTGAAGACAGGAATTCACAAAATAACAGCCAGGATTCGAACCTGCAACAAACTTCTGAGCTGGTCTCGCGACAGTGCTTCACCTGTGTCCGTCGTTGAGTCTCCGAATGCGTAGAGTGCGGAGACGTTCATACTCCCACGGACCGCAGCACTTGCTGCCGGAGCTTGCGCAGCTGGTTGTAGCATCCTTCTGATATTCAATGGAAGCTGTACCTCTGAAAAATCTGCTCGATCTTTCTTCTGCTGTGCTTGGAGGAAGCTCACAACCTCGGCATTTCCCATTCTGGTGCAAAGCGACGTCGCGCCTACATGTGTAGAACTAGTGCAAGGGAGTGAGCTTAGAAGCGCTGTGACACACAATGCTGAGAGGTGGAAAAGTGTCATGAGTCTGGTGGGTGGAGCGCCAGCGCGGCGCCAGCTGGCGCTAACTTCATGCGCGCAATATGCCATCGTAAGTGCACTTGAGCCTGCTTGATTGTTCTTTACCTGCTATTTGTCCCTAATTATAATCTATGCTTGCTCTTTATAAGATGAATCTGCAGCTGTTAGGACGTGTTGATTGAGAAACCAGACTTGATCAGCGTCTAGTGCAACCTTGCTACAGTAGCTTTTAGTCTTCCAAACCGCTGCAGCTTCCAGCATTCTTCTTCTGAGTACTATAACTTATCAATCAGCTCGAATCCAGGTCACAGCTAAAGCATGTTCTGCGCGACCTCGAGGACAACTCCACCCTTCGTGCATGTCCTCTTTGCACCGTCGCGTAGGATCAACTGGGGCTTCGAAACTTGGAATGGCCGGTCAAAAGCTTTTCTCTGTCTGCACAGAAGCGCGCGGGCACCGCGCTTCTCGGAAGAGGAGGCGGAGGAGTCCCAGCTTGGAAGTTGGAGGAAACTGCTCAAACATTCCGCCCCTTCATGCTGACGCTAGCTCCAGCGCTCCACCAATGCAGAGCTCTATGCAGTCGCTGCATGCAGCTACGAATACCTAGCAAGTTGTCCATGTACCGCGTGTGTGGCGCTTGGATGCTCGCCACCTGGCGGCATCTTAGCTCCGTACATTTAGTAGGCTGTTCTCGAAGACCGGGTCGCATCTGAGCAGGGGGGACCAAACGACATGATGTTGAGCCAGGGCCCAGTACGTTTACCACGAAGTTTTGAGATCTAGCCGGCTGCCCAGAGGGTCCCTCTTGAAGCAGTCGGTTGGAAGAGGCTGTTGGTCGGTTTGCAAGGGGCCGACCACCTTGATTTTGGTCGGTTTTTTGTGGGCCGGGTGCGCTCTCTTGGGTCGGTTACCCGGCGCGAATTCTGCCACTGACAGTAGGCCCTGCTTGGCCAGAGCACTAATCCGCAAGTTCTAAGTGTGACACTACAGCCCAAAAGTCACCCGATCGTTCATACAACAGTTTGTGTCAAGGTCTCTGAAGGTTCAAATAGTGCCAAAAGTCTGAGAAAAGGCCTACCGACCACTATTGGCCTACCCGGCTGGGACCGACTACTCAGAAACAGGCCGGTTTGGGTAGCCGACCACCTTCATAGTGGTCGGCTTTCCAGCCGGCCTGCGGCCGGCCACTCTCGTCCGAGTCGGTCAATTTCAGTTTTGGTCGGCCGCAATACCACTGCAAGTCGGTCCGTGGTAAAAACTGTGTTGAGCCCCCTCGAAAAGTTGCCCACATTATTTTATGTCGCGATGACATCATCTGTCGAGGCCGCCCGAAAATTATTGCTCAGTCCTCGGTGCTGCACTGGTGTCCGGCATATACCGTATGCCTACTGATATACTGAATGACAGGCAGCACAGGCTATCATGTAATAAAAGCATATAGAATGCAGCAGACTAGCCTGAGCCTTAATATTCATATGTAATTCTGGTCAGCTGAGGTAGATATGTCTGAGCGAGTTATACGAGTAGGTTTGAAGTATGAAGTATCGTGACGTGCGCAGCTTACCTGCGCCAAAGAGGCGCAGCTTGGAAATGTGTCCTGAAGCTTATGAATGTTGAAGGAGAAGTAGAAGTACAGCTTAAGGCTCTGGCAAGCAAGCAGCCGTCGATGAGTGCTTCATGTGGCGTGATAATTTACTACTAGTTAGTATATATCCTGACTGATATGACCGACGTCACTGGGCTCTTGCATATATTTACTTCGGCTCTTGATATACTACAGCTCTTGCCTAGCTCTTGTATGAACTTGATTCCGAAGTGAGTCACCATGCAAACTTCTATATTGCTAAGTTGCAGGTAATTTTGACATCAGAGAAGTCTGTACTTTCAGGTCGTGGGCACGTTTCATCGAATAAGTCTATGCTTTTGACGCATACATATTGGGAACAACATGCAAGTTGCCGGCCGCTTGACGGCTAAATTCAGAACACATTTTCACGTCCAGATTAAGTATGATCACAATTAACTGATCGACATGTATAAGTACATCAAGTACAAGCTGCCCTTTGTTTGCGGCCCACTAGACACTTGCTCAAGCGAGACCGGCAGGGACTGATCGGTCCTCACATGATCGTCACCGCCCCTCTGTAATTATCGTGAAATTGTGACGACCCACGATAGAGTCTTGGCTCTCCTCATGAAGCGCTGTCAGCCGGCCAGCAAACCCAAAACCCCCCGCCTGCAGATCGACGGCATCGAACCATTGCTGGTACCGTGCAAGCCCGGCGAGTTCCACCGGGGGCACCCGAGGATCCCCCCGTGCTGCGGATCGGTCAGCACGTTGAGTACGTTTCTCAGGGGGAGTGGCGCCCGCGTTTGCCCGGGGTTGAGGCACAGTATCGCTAATCGCAGCAGAAACGCAGCCTGCGGGGGGGAGTAGGCGTCGCCAGCTCCTCGTCGACGAGTCTGCCGACGGTGCTGGTAGGAGCCCCGTTTCGACGCAAAACTGCGAAGAAAACAAGGATGCATCCAGAGAGTTGGAAACATGTTTCGAGATGATGTAGCGAGACTGAGGTCAGGAAGGTGTTGGCACGCGCGCGGGCGTGCTATGGCAGTTGTCCGACTCTGTGGCCTAGCTTGGATTCTTGACGGATCGGAGGCCAATGGAAGAAAGCTCATTTGGCGAGGTGTCCGGCAGTTCAAAATGTCGAGCTGGCAGCGATGTCAAGGTCACTTTCTCAGCATCCCGAACATGAGGCTGGATCGGTTGCGGACTCTAAGGGCGCTGTCAATTCCGCAAAACGTGAACCCCTTTCCAATCCTGGCAAGCAGAGGAAGCGTGAAATCGACTGGCGCTCGTGTATCTGCTGAGATGTTTGATAACGTTCCTTACTCCAACGTCGATCCTTTTGTACAAGAGATTGGAATCATCCGTTGGTGAGTTCGTCGAGCTACCCGTGAGTGGAAAAGATCCGCGGCGCCCACTTCCAAAATTCTCAACCCGGCATTGAGAACAAGCACATGGGCTTTTTAAGAATCGCGGGTGGTCCTGAGGTGATGACATCGGTCGTTCTCCCGTGCAGGAAAGGGCCCCTCTTTGGACTGGCCCACGAGGCTGCGGGTCGCCGAGGACGCCGCCCGGGGATTGAACTACCTGCACAACGACATCGTCCCCGCGTGCCTGCACCGCGATATTAAGCCGGCCAACATTCTCCTGGATGCCAACCTCAACGCGCTGGTGAGACTATGAAGATATAGCAGATGAAGGAAAGTTTGGAAGGTCCCTACTTTGAGACAGGAACGCCATAATCAGATCCGGCCATCGATGCCGATGCTTACCCGCTAAATATGCTGATGTCCAACGTGATCTCTTAGTGCGGCTTGGAATCGAGGCTTGTGGACAAGTGGTGGTCAGGGCTGGTGTCGGCTAGGGTTAACAAGTTGACGACGTCACCGCTTACGTCAATAAATGTGCTCTTTTTGTGATATTGTCGGCATGTTATGGGGCGCGGATGCGGTGTTGCCGCAAATCGTCTGTGCTGCTATCGCGTACTTCTGATCTGCAGAATTGAGAGTGCGGAATGACACCTTTGAAAAGATTCAGCGGTGCGTTATCGTCTTGAACTTTTGACAGCCCTCGTCTCGGCTTGATGGGCGCTACTGGAAGCTCGGTTCTGTGATGAACTGACCAACTTTTAACCAGATCTTGATCGATTTTCATCGAAGGGCTGTCAACGGAGAACAATCAAAATTCCTGTGGTTAGGGAGTTGAGTAACGAATGTCTCACTTCATCCCTGTTGTTTATGTTTCCCGAGTGCTTCTGTAGGTTGCTGATTGAAGGAATCGGCGAAGCACGTCTCCTTGACGTGGACATGGCCACCGGAAGTAAAACATCGATCATCGTGAAGTCACATGCTGGCACTCGTTCTTCCGCTCTCGTTTGCGCAGGTGGCAGGTTTTGCCATCTTGCAAAGCTCTTATGCAAGTCGCCACCATGAGTAGTTTTTAAACGGACGTCATGACGGCAAGGCTGACGTCGCCGCTGATTCACGCATTCTGCAGATGGCCAACCAGGTGGTTGCTTGTCTTTTGAGAAGCACCAGCGGAAGTGAATAGTGACGCTGCGCTGACGTGAGCGCTGGTTTTGCGTTTCTCCGCAGGTGGCAGACTTTGGGCTGGCGAAGCACATCTCGGGGGACGCCAGCCACGTGGAAACGCGCATGGCGGGGACCTTCGGATTCATGGCACCGGAATGCCTCCTGAGTGGAACCGTAAGAAATCGTCGCTGCAGGACCTATCTTTAATTCATACCAACCTTTCTGATTCGACAAGGGGCTCTAGTAGGCAGGAATGTGACCGTCGTGCGAAAGTTACTCGGTGTGAGACTCCCTTTTACAGAGGTATCAAGTAGAGGTTGCTTTGGCAGCAACACTCTTTCCTTCGATCCAAATTCACGTTTACAAGATACAGACTCGACTGCTCTTGTGTAGATGCTATTCCAGGTCAGACCGGCAAAGTCGTGCGATTATACCCGCTTCATTCAAGTCTTGAATCCGAAGACAGCTCCTGCTTCCCGATCTGCTTTCTCCTTCCGGTCTACTCGAGACTTGCGACACGTAAAGTCGTTTAATATTTATAAGTTTCAATTTGTGCCGACGTGGTGCAACCAATTTGGGACCCCATCTGGGCCTTCTGACGTCAAGAATTCTACCCTTAAAACGCTGTCCTTGCTTCAATCCCAAGTACTCCTTGACATCAGAGCATTCCTCTTCACGCAACTATCCATTTCCAATGACAAAGTATGGGACGATGTTCCGGGGAAATCCTGATTACGTCTCTTTCGCTTTCTGTAGGCAACGAAAGCTGGCGACGTCTTTGCTTTCGGGGGGGTGCTTCTGGTCCTAATCACAGGACGCGCCATGTTTGTGAAGCAAGCCAAGGGCAACCCCAAGACTCTCATCCAATGGGTGAGAACTTTCGTCTGCTTCGCCATTTGTATCTTGGCCGAAAGTCCTTTGGAGTTGTCTCTAAGACCAGGTTGTGGCAAAGCAAACAATTGACGGCCGGAATTTCTCGGTCGTCTCCATAGGAGGAGCTTGGGTTTTCTAAAAGCTGCCGATTTTATAGCCCTCTTGATTGCTCTCCATTCAAGAGAGTTCCTCTTCCTTCAGGAAGGACGCAACGAACAATCACGAGGAAACGACTTGTGAGTTTCTCCATATGCGCTTCGATCTCCCGCCGCCGTCAGTCCTAGAAGCAATAACGGAATGCAAAAGCTGACGCCTGATCCTCGACACTTTCTGGACCTGAATGTTGGTAAAGTCACGAACCTGAATGTTGGTAAACTCACGAACATCACCATGCGAGACGCCAGTCAAAGGACTCGGCTGAAAGTTCCTGTATCCAAGTGACGAAGTTGCTTACCGCATCGAACAACTCAGATTGCTTCATTCTTTTTCCAGATTTTCGACCGCACTCATCTGGAGGACCCGGGCGAGTACGTCGACCGCAGCCTGGGGGCAAACTTCTCCTCCGACGAGGCCGCCTTTCTGCTGGCGCTGGCGCTCGGTTGCGTCTCCCGGGCGGAGCTTCGCCCAACGATGGCCACTGTCTTGCGCCTGCTCACCGAGCTCCGGGGGGGGAAGGTCCCCTGCCGAATTGGCGGCGGCGCTGCCCCCCCTGGAGGTGCCGGGCACCGAATTTGGGCCGGAAATATCGTCAGGAGGAAGCGCCAGCTACTATCAGCATTCCGGGGGCAACAAAACGAGGAGCTCGGGATTTTCTACCGAGCACTCGGTCGGGATGCACCAGCCGACCGCTTTATCTGACGGGCGCTGAACAGTCGTGCGCAGACAAGACGTGCGGACTTTGATCTCGACTTGCTAGCGTCGAAGGGAGCTGACAAAAACTTACCCGTAATCCTGGGCTGATGTGGAAGTCACAAATCAACGAGGGCAGTGGTGGTAAAGGAAGAAAGACGTGAAGGCCCCGGGGTAGTGATATTTGCACCAAGATTCTGTTATCTTCGTGGGGTGGGCGTGGGGTTTGACACGGTCCAACTGGTTTTATGGTGACTATTCGCACTGATTGTATTCTAGGATTTAACGTCGTCGACCAAGGAACCCGGGCGTCTGGTGAACCGCCATGATCCAGTACTAGTGCAATATCCACTTAAACATTTGCCTTTGTCTCAGTATTGAAAAAAACAGGTGCCTTGGGATAAAGCCAACTGCATGAATCAAATCATCATTCGTAGTTGTAGCGTTAAAAGTGTCTCGTACGTGGCTAGTGTCCATTGAAAGCGTTGAGAGCCAGCAATAATACAGTAGGCGTCACAGGGTACTTGCTTTGAATTGGACAAAAACGTCGATCAAGTTTGCTACAAAGTTTGCATGACGAGCTAGCTGGGAGTAACTGATCACGCACGTTTCTTAAGTTAGAGCGCCTGTATTATAACGGTCTTAAAATACATTGATACGTTTATGCCGAGTATCTAGTGTTCGGATTCTCCCTTCACTGTTCTGGTTCGGCGATAAAATCTGGGGGGATCGATCCGGGAAGAGGCACCGTTGCAGGTGCGAAGGATGATGCATTCAACTGCAAGATTCGCTGGCATTTTCACTGGTTCGGTAAGACTGAGCACATTTAAAGCGCACTGCAGTTGCGTCTGGTCAGTGCGGGTTGATGCCAATACGATATCCTGTCATTGACACCTTTCTTGAGTGTGGTGCACATATGATATAGTATGTGGACGAGCAGAAGAGCTGCAGAGTTCGATACCTCATTGGTGCATAGCCAGATGCGCCGCGCTGGACCTCGTCGATAGTTTAATCCATTGCACCCACCTAGCACGGAAGCTCAGTCGATTCGTTCAACTTTGCCATGGCCGGCGGGGCCGGGCGGGAGCTAGGCTACCGTTCCAATGAATCATGTAGCGATCTAGCGGTAGTCGTGTTTCTAAACCATTGCAGATTTAGTAATCAACAACCAGTGACGGTCTCAATTTGACGACTTTATGTCATGGACATCACACATAACGCGATCGAGAGCGCTACTGTAGTAGCTTAAGTCTTTATTGGTAGGCAAATGAAGGTTCTTAGTTGCGTGCCAATTTCTTACTTTCCCACGCGACGCTTTTGTCACGCGGTCCGGCCTGGCGCGCCGATCGACGATGCTTTCATTGCACTTCAGACGAGATTCTGTCGGACGGACCGGAAAGAGCAGTAGCCTGAATCTAAGTTAACTTAGTTTACATTAACAGACTCGGTATGCATATCTGGCACCATCATGGCATGACGATGGTCCACGGGCGAGAATGGAGAAGCCGTGACTACTCGCTGCCAGAACTAACCAGCAAATTCAAGCATGGCAAGTCATTGGATTTGTCCGTTCGATGGGCAGGTTCGTGCAACTCTACACCGTGAAATGTCAACCCAGTGCAGGCAATGATGCTCTAGAACTTTCGAACCCGCTTGCACAAACTGCACCTGACTATTGACCCGAATGTAGGAGACTCATTATGTGACCTCTGATCTAGGCGGCCCGGCGGAGCAAGCTGCCTCCAATCAACATCGATCATCACAATCGGACCCATTGCTGATGCTAGGTGGCCGCCAACGCATCCGTCCAGCCACTACTATCTCAAAGCTGTGCTTATACCAGTATCAGGACTGAGCTTGCGTGCCACAATTTGTCCCGTCAACTGTCCTGTGTGCTTGCGATATTTGGCAGTGCCCTTTGCTTGATTTGAACAAGCACTTCAACACCGGCTGAACTTACTAGTGGTGCAGTTGCTCTTCAGTGTTCCTTCGTCCACCATGAATGTACATATGTACTCTCTCAGTCACTTGTAGTATGTGCACTTCGAGTTGACAGTCACTTGTAGTATGTGTACTTCGAGTTGAGGAAGCGGGTAATCTGCTGCACAAAGAGGCGTTCTTTATCAGATTGTTCTGAAAGGCGACCCTGTTCGTCAAACATGGCCTTCCGTTTCCGAGCATTTAGATGAAAATCGTGGCGCAATATCAAGCGCCGGGTTTTGCCCGGCCGGCAGCTTTCTGACTAGAATTTGGGCAGCTTGAGGGAACAAGCGAAAAGAGCTGACACTGAGCCTTTCGTTCACGGCCAATACATACACCGGACCAACTTGGCAAATCGGCAGTACTTTGCGGGCATTACAAAAATGGGTCTGAACATAGGCCGCTCACCCCGCAGAGGACTTCCCACTTCTTCCCATGCTTGGCAGCCAGGTTCTTGTCCGTATGGTAGTGCGAGATGGCCCGCAGCAGCGCTTTCTTGGTGATGTCCGGGTCCGTCCCCAGGGGTCCCAGCTTGTGGTCGGGGTTCTTTGGCGGATGCTTCTCATAGAGGTGCTTCAGGAAGGCCTCCGCACTCCCCGTCACGGCTCTCTGCGGGGACGTGGAGAGGTAGAATAAGCGAGTTGCATAACGAGAATAAGATGTGGGGATGTGGCGCAGATCAGTAGGCCCAACGTGCAGTAGGGCTGGAGTGGCGCTTTCGGAGAATCTCTCATTGTATCTCCGTACCCGTCGATATGTCTCTGCTTGGCTGAAATGTCAGATGTTTCTCGAAACAGAGTGAGTGAACGGGCCGAGGTGCACATTGTCAGAAGGCGTGGCAAGAAGACGACGTAAATTACAAACGATGCGCGCTCAGAACGCTCAGGAATCTCTTTAGCAAAGTTTTGTCAGACGAAGGTTCGGGCTTTCGATCCGTTCCGTCGATTCTTGCCTGGCACACTCATGCTATAAATCTTGAGTGACGTATGGCGCAGCAGAGCTCTTGAGCTGGTCCTCAGGTCAACATGGTCTCGCAAGGGAGATGCTCTGTGCACCGAAAGAGCTTTGATATTCCGCAAGCGCTCCTGAGTCGTCAATTGAAGCTTCCGTCCAGGTTTAACGGTGCTGTCAGATAACCTCACCACGCAATAGGATGGCAATATCCTCCTGACCAAAGAATGTTTGACTCATCAATCATCAAAACGCCGTCCAGGAGCATCTGAGGCAAAGGTCTCTAAGTGCAGCGTCGCACCTGAAGCAGCCACAGCTTTACCGACCGACTTTTCACCCCGATCAACAGTTCTTAGCAGCTGAGATCATTCCCACCTGCAGCGCCGCCAGCTCGTCCTTCAGTATCTCCAGCCATGGCCCCCTCTCCTGCTCCTCCTTCGCCGCCTCCTCCCGCCTCACTCGCTCCTGATGCTCTCCAACCTCTCTGATCGCCTCCTGCGCCCACGCTAGTTTGCTCGTGCGCCCCGGCGAAAACGTCAGCGCCAGCTCAGCCGCCTTGAAATAGTAAGTGTGCGCGGTCTTCTCCATTTTGAGCACTCCCTTGTACACGTGTCCGAGGCGCGAGAGCGCGCTGCCCTCCGCTTCCAGGTCCCGCTCGCGCGCTAACACGGCGGCTTGCTTGTACTTGTCGATGGCCAGCCAGACGAAGTCCATGTCCAGGTGCTCTTGTGTCTTGAGGAGGGAGTCGAGCAGGGCGTTGCCTTGGTAGGAGGCTTGGATGGACTCGCAGGTGCACTGGTACAGGAAGACCTGTAAGGCAGGGGACTTCAGACAGTTTGCAGATCTCCTCAGTTCGATTGTGAGAGCAAACTAGCTTTAACTCTACCTGCTTTGAGGGCGAGTTCTCCTTGCGAGACAACATGACAGGCTGGCTGGATAATAAACAAAGTGAAGCCCAAGTTGTTTCTTCAGGAGAAACATGTATGAATCTGGTAAAGCATGCACGTTCCTGTACAATTCGCTAGAATCATGGGGAGCCAAATTCAATTCCTGTTTCTCCTATGATCCTAGTGGATTCGTCGCAAGCAGCAGAGGTACTGCAAAGTGAGTATGGACACAGAATCAAAGTCCTTACACTCATGTACAAACACCTTTCCAGCTACTAGCAAAAGGAGCGCTCTTAGGAGGTCTTCTTATCAAGGTGACTGAGAAAATTTTCAGAGAAGTCGGAGTGACTGCAGTAAGCAAGTCAAATGGTTGTTTGAACGATAGATTGTTCTGACTTCCAACCAGCGTGGCCTTTACATGTTTGGTCTTTCTGCTTACATCCAGTCTTTGATTGCAGAGGACAGGACGTTGATTGGTCAAGAATGTTGCATCCTCACCTCTTCCATTGAGACTTCAACCTCGCTGCGCTGCTCCTCAGTCCCCCTTTGCATAGCCTCCACCAACAGCTGCGATGCCTCGTTTATGAGCGAGGCGCACCTCGTGGCCGCTTCCATGCGATCCTTATCAACAGCTTCTAGCAGCCGGATGCCCTCCCAATAGAGTTGCTTCGCTAGCTTGTACTTGCATTGGGACGCTGCTTCACAAACGCCTGAGGCCTCAGACAAGGCTGTGGACAGCTTGCGCAGGCAGCTGCGGCGGGTGACATGGTCCCACTCTTGGAAGAGCGCGACAGCAGTTGTGACGTACTTTGTGAGGAGTTTGTGGACACCGGCAAGCCAGTCCTCAGGCTGAAAGTCTGAGCCATGGGAAAGAGCAGCGAGGTAGTGGTGGCAGCCTTGCTTGATGTGGAAGTTCAAGATTTCCTGGATAGTTTGAGAGACAGCAGTGTTAAAGTTCCGACAGGTCAATGCTTCGTACGTTCTGAGATGATTGTGCCTGCGTATGAAGTGTGTTGTTAGAGGCAGAACTAGGGGAGGGAGAGGACCAGAATGATACTGGCTCTGAGACAGACATCGGTGTTTGCTAACAGCCGGGACGGAAGTGAGGTGGGAGTTCTGAGCATTATCCTTGAGGCAAGCCCCTGACTGACTCCTGACAACTTTCGCACTGGCTGACAAATGTCTTGCCAACATGACTCTCACTTTAGGAAGCACCATCAAAGAAGCCACCAATGCAAGGCTTGAAGATCTTCGGTTGCCAGTACATGAAAGAGTTGAATTAAAACCACTTGCTATTTTGCTAACATATATGGCCAAAGCAGGTTTCGCATCTCATTTCTACATGTGCCCTGAAGGCAACTGTTTGCCTTCTCTCACACTTGCTCCAGAAGAGTGCAACAGCAACGGTGGCATGTTCTAAACACGCCCTGAGTCCTCCTGTGCACCTCCCGTGCTCTTTGCGGTTAGAGGATTGCAGTGGAAAAGGAAAGAAAGAGAGCGCTGCAGAATGAATCACATCAAGCTCTCAACATCACAAGTTGCACGTACCTTGTCAGCATCTTCTTGCACCAGCTCTGCACACCTCCAATGAGTCGACCCAAGATTCTTGTGGATGATAGCAAGATCTTGGTTCTTCCCAGTGGCATTTCGCAAGGCTTGGTGGTATAGAGCAGTGGCTTTCTGGAACTTGCTTAACCGAAGACATGGGGCAAGACTTGGATTGCATCCTGCTTTGAAGATTTCATTTGCCCCTTTCCAGCCTGGGCTTCCGCTTGCTTTGCTGGCTCCTCCTCTCAGAGCCATTGTTTTTCAGAAAGTAAATGTTTTTCAACGTCACAATGCCATGTTCCCACCTTCAGCTGTGAGCGCCCGTCCTGCGCACTGGGACACACCATGCAGAACTGCCAACCAGACTTGTTACTGCCGTTTCTAGCTCTTGCAAAGGCGCCTCCTAATGGCTCACATTTGACGCATGCTCTGAGTAGCTCTGCTAGCGTTTGCTTCCTCCATCCCTTATTTTCGGGGGAGTGCTTGAAATGTGGTCCCGGCGACCTTCGAAGTGACGCACGGTCCTGTGCGTCGCCACAAGGAACCAGCTGATCGCAGAATTCCTGGCGACAAAGTACCGCAAAATTTTGGAAGATGGTCGCCATCAATAGAGAAGCTATAGCCTACAGGAATCCCGAGTCCTGGTTCATGCCAAAGGTGTCGCTGTATCTCATCTCATTGTCAAGGTAGCTCATGGGTTAGAAGTTGAAGAGAACAGGCGCCATGGGGCAAGGGCATGGGAAAGGGCAGGCTGACTATGTAGATGGTCTCGGGTGCTGCAGGCTCCTCTCCAATCTGTGAGCTGCCAAGGGACGTCCTCCAAATCATCCTGAAAAAGCTCTCTTTGAATGACCGTTTGGGTTTGGAAGTGCTGAACAAGAGACACCGCAACATCCTTCGAGATGTGGAGCTCTGGCATGACATCAATCTTGGAAACATGCAAGCGCTGGGCCTGACAGAGAGGCAGCTGTTGAAACTCTTCTGCAGAATCCAGACAGGGTTTGAGCGCGCTTCATCTCAAATAGACAGCATCATAGCAATTTTAGGGAGTTTGTCGCAGGCTTACCGTCAAAGGTGGAACAGCACACAAGAGCCTGTGTACGGAGACGTGTACTCTGAGGCGCATATTGGTTCCATTGTGAAAGCGGCGGGTTTCCCGTATGAACAATGCCTGCTTGAAGGGAAGCGGGGGAGCGCTCCTTGGGTAAAAAGGAACGTGTGCTGGAGGCGTGTACAGTCTGGTTGGCGGAGCATGTCACCTGGTTAAAGGAGATAGGGGGCAAGACTCTAGACCTTCTCCTACTCTCTACAAAGGCAGCCGGTCGCAAATTTAAACCTGCACTGCTGCAAAAGGTTTGCCTTGCCGTGGATGTGTCTGGGGCCAAGTCGCTTTCTCCGTCTTTCTTAGCAGCCTGCATGATCGTCCTATCTGGAGCAGGTTTTGCTATTGAGTTCAGGATGACTGGGGATAGCGACCCTCCTTTTTCCATGCACCACACGGTCGACTTCTTACAAGTCCTTACGGGAAGCAACTGCATTTTTTACGTGAATCTGGAGGTGTCTGAGAGTGCTGGTTCAACGCTTGATCTTCAGGACGCGTTGGAAGAATGTACAGCGCCGACTCGGGAATTGATCCTTCTGGATGATGGAGACTCTGCTACCCCCCTTATACGAGTATTAGCGCATGGTCGTTTTCTTACCAAGACAAAAACCAAAGCCCTGTACACCAACTATCTCAGCAAGACGTTGGCTCTAGGGCACCTCAAGAATGCAGCTGTGACTCGTCTTGGCCGTCCGATTAGCCCGTTTGATTTAGAGGCAAAAGGCAGGGTCGTGAGCAAAACTTTGATTCTGGAGGACTGGTTCTCTGCATGGAATATAAAACATTTTCTGCGCGAACAGATTCTGCCTCTACTCCGTTAGCTACGGGCTGGTTTGTCTTGCTGTCAAGAGGCTACAAGAAGTGGTAGGTGCACCCAAAGCTCCCGTAGCGGAAGAAGGCCCCTTTGGTAGAGCGCACGAGGTCAGAGTTCAACGAAACTGGTAGCGCACCACGTCCAGGACTGGTATCAATCAGGAAGCGCATACAACGGGACCAAATGCGCAAGTGAATCGAGTTACCGGTGTCACACAACAGCTTGTCCATTGGCGTTCAATTCTCTTCCACTAGCTGTGTAGAACATGGCTGAGTTTGGTGGCATATGCAGTGTAAGAAGGTTTGTGTTAGTGTCCAGTTGTCGCTACAGTCGCGGCCCGAGATTGCCGAATGCCAATAATGTGCGATGGAATGCCAGCACGTCTGGTCGGTTGAGACCTATTTGTGACCGGCACATGCAGTACAGGGGCGCAAACGTGTATAAGATACATATACAGAAACTGGAAAAGCAACGTACATAACTCCATCGTAAGTCATTGTCTTGCCGTGACACATGCATCACCGTGCCTGAGCATGTGTGTTTACAGCAAGCTCCACAGTGCATGCTCGAAAGCAGTAACTTGAAGCAGGCGCGCTTAATTGGAAATTAGTACAGGGTATGCAACGTTGTGTCATACATTTGTAGATTTCACATGGGGTCCGAGTCGATGAAGTCGAAAACGAACGCGACCGTCTGCCAGGCGACCACCTTATGGCATCGACCGTACCGTCCTGATATATAGCCAGTCCTAATGATCAACAGCTGCTAAATTGTAAATCACGCGATAAGCGCGCCGCGCGCCAACTTAGCTCATAACCGCGCGGACATCCTCACGAACCATCGTGACGAAGCTTTCCTTGAACAGGTTCAACTTGCAGCCGGAATTTCATGGGATGACGCGTTAATTCATTTTGGGAGTCAAGGAAGCCTCAAGGCATAACAGCTATTCATGGCCTATGGACATTGATGGATGCATCAATCAAACTTTGAAGCCAATGCTAGCTTTTCCATGGCGGAGGCAGCAAAGACTTGGATACCTGTGACTTAATTCGGCATTATAAGGCCACAGGGTGAGTCAGATGAGGCTTCTATACATTGCAGCCCTGCCGCCTGCCACCAAGAGCCTACAAGGTCCAGCCCCGAATTTGACAGTGGACAGCTGCCAGCTTCGCCATATAGTCCCCGGACCTGCACGCGCAAGGAAAGTCGTACTAAGGGTATTCAGCACTCAACGCGTAGATGCTAACAGCCAAACGTTTGCGCTTCCTTGAACGCTTGTTATACCAATGTGACAATCAGATACTTAGTGGCAGGAACAGTAGTAGCAAAATGGGCTGCGCTTCCGACTGCCCCCACTCGTCACGCACGTCCGAGCCGTCGTCCTCATATGCTGTACTAAAAGAAGAAGGTACTATAGAATGCATGGGCACCGTGCAGACAATTCGGCCAAGCTCAAGATGCTCTGATCTACTCTTATGACTCACTTTGTGCCGTACACCGTCTTTACCGCTCTGATCATGGCGCGCTGAGCTTCGTCCGCATCTTTCTGCAAAGGACACCCTTGAAGAGTTTTGCTACTTTTGTAACCATTACAACCTGAGATCCAACAGCATCTTGACATTTTGGTATGCATCAGATCAGGCAAGCCACGTGTTCAAAGAAGCGATGCAAAAAGAAGAGGTCACCTGATCCGAAGTCTGCGTGTAGGTCTACGATTCAGCCTCGTGATCTCCTCCAAAACGTCAGTATTGAAACAGCACGTCCATTCGCGGTCAAAGCATTATCCTCTTGGCTTTGCAAAAGAGCTCGTATCCAATCTTTTGATTTGAGCGATGTACGAAAGGGGATTGTGATCGCCAACGACGGAACGTGGTCAATGGGAGCAAAACAAACGGCCTCCCCAAAGCAGTCCAATAGACTTACTTTCGATAACCGGAGTTCGAGCTTGACCTTAGAGCTCACCTCTGACTCGTGGAAGAGAGCAATGTACAGGTTCGCGTAGAAGCCCTGGTGCCCATTGGGGTCTGCTCGGGCCATCTCTTCTAGCTGCAAAAGAACTTGACTGCCTTCATCTTCTACAATCGGTAGAATATCCATATAAAAGTTCAGATTGAAATGGTGACCAAGGTACCGGGCAAGATTGGCGCATGTTGCGTGATAAGCGTGGCTTCTCGTCGGCTGAAGTCTTCTGGCGCCAAGTAGTCAGATGGCGTGGCTCGAGACGTATCTCGAGAGCTTGCTCAATGCAACTACTTTCCATGCATGTAGTCCCAACGGCGAATAGTGTAGGCCCTCAGTATGGCGCCTCAAGATTGGCTCCTCCTGATTGTATACTGGTCCATCCGTTTCAGGTTGCTGTTGCGTCGACCGGCGTGTCACTGGCTTACAATCTCGGCCAACGAACCATTGAAGCCGTCGACGGTGATGATTGGCTGATTGGATGCTTCGACTACTGCAAGCGGCCGAGATTGGCAATGGGCGGCTGCTTTCCGTGAAAATGAAGCCGGGAATCGCTACCGGTCTCACCTTTTCCACTCCCCGCCCTGTTTGAAACACTTCCTGGGCTGCCCGGAGAACAGGTCGGCTGTCCACTCCGACCTGAGCACCGAATACCGGAGTCCAGTAAGTGATACGCAATCTTCTAGAGTTGGGAAGCACTTTCGCGCTCAAGGTCAGGACTCGATCCTGGAATGTTGGAACGTTGCCCTAAGAATGTAGGGAGGTCCCGGCTTCCGGTCACAAGATTCCTCGATGTTATGAGACGACACGCTTTCGCTCATAACGGCTTTGACAGCATCCCTTGTGCACTTCGTATAATGGAAGTAAACGGTAAGTTTTACCACGAGGCTCATCAGCCCGTCCCACAAAACGTGCGGTCCCACAAGTACAGTCTTCTGGGAACCGAGCCCAGCGAAAGCGTACCAAGACGGGATTTGTTGTGCCCAGCGACACGTGAAAGGACAAGAGAACCTTTAGTACTCGCAGCAAGAACCAAAATTTCCTGCACGTCGCAGTTGTGTAGATGATTATCTGGAGTGCTGGCACGTACCTTGAGAAATCGCTTCCTAGCTTCTTCCGGTCCATACAACTGAGCTTCGCAGAGGTAGCACCAAATTGACTGCGAAGAAAATCAAAGTCAAAGGTCAAGAGAATTGGCTGGAACATCCAACAATGCACAGCAAAACGTCCGGGACGATACAGTTTGGACTGAAAGGCAGCCTTTGTGGTCCAATCCCTCTCATTCTATGAAAGAAAAGGACGAAGTGAGCAGTACTGGACACACATCCATCAGGGGCCAAAAAGCTAGTACGTCAGAAAGAAGTTCGTACATCGCAGTAATCGAGGATCATAGACGTAGGTAAGAGTCGCTCCCGCAAACTCAGATTTGTGATGACACTTCTGGCGAAGCTGATATGCTTCATCCGGCTTTGAAAACAAGTGGTCGCTTTAGATCACTCGAATCATCCTTCCAAGAAACCCGATCAAGTGTCAAAGATTGCATTGTCTGGCAACCATAACAGCAATCCGAGGCATGGAGGACGCGCACCTCTTCTGTGTCATTGGGGTTCACAGCTACGTCATCTCGGAACTGCTTCGCCCCTTCTTCAAATCTGCAACAGAAAGGGCCTCAGAAGTTTTGTCCCGTGACTTTCGTGGCACCTTCGAGCTGCCCTACTGATTGGAACGTGTGCTATGCGATTGGCGGGGACCAATGCATAATTCGTGATTCTTAAATCTGCAAAAGTCGCATTATCTGCGGGCCCATCAGCGAAAAGTTTACAGTTTCCCATGTTCTAAACTTCTCAGATATATTGGGGGGATCCAAGCCGTTCTCTCAGGACTGGGCTGATCCGCTTACTGTAAGGTCTCATTGATCAAGGCAAGGGAGCAAAGGCACCGGAAACACCTCTTTCCTCCCTGGTAAATTCAAGCTGACAGGAATGGTCTAGGCTGACATCTGTCGAAGGACTCACTCTTTCAGGTAATATAAGCTAAGCCCTCGTTGCCACAAATCTGCACGTATAAACATTTGCTGTAGGTTGAGATTCCTAGGATCGATTCGTTAAACCTATTGTTACAAGTGCATGCTGTCAGGATATGAAGAGCGTCCATCTTCATAATGATGGAGACACACACCGTTTGATTAGTGCAGACTGGACAAGATAGTCCTCACCGTGTCAGTCAATGGGTTCAACCGCAATACTTGCTCACATGGTCTCATGGAACTGTCCAATTGAAGAGCTCTGTCAAACTCCGCCAGTGACCCAGCTACATCCCCCTGCATTAGAAAGACTTGTCTTTTGTCCTGGGCGAAGACTTTACGAAGCCCCTGATTTATCACTCTCCTCTGATTGGTTTGTTGATTGAAATACGACAACCAAAAAGTGCCTCAAACACGTTTTCTCTCTCTTCCCTTCAAGTTCAGCGGCGCAGTCTCACATCTCCGTTATAACTCATTGAACCACTAAGCAGATGGTATACCTGACACAGACAGTTTAAACTGTTCTCCGCAAAGCTACCTTTTATTCTTTTGCCAGGGGCAATTGGATTACTGTCAACACGAGTGCCTTCGCAAAACCACTGAAGGAAGGTGCAGCAGAAGAACCAATAATATAGATGTTTTGGCTTGCCTTGACGAACTTTTGCATCCCCAGCGATGTTGCCCGGCTGGCCTGTGGTCGATCCCCTCGACTGGAGGCCGCCATGGCCGTGGCGGCAACAACTCCCGCAGCAAGGCCAAGCGCTAGAAGGGCACCAGCGCTGATTGCAGTCCGGCGTGCAAGACTTCTTTGAAATGGTGGTGTGACTGAGGTTCCCACTTCTCTCAGCTTCTTGCCAGGGCTAATATCAGATGCAAACGAAAGAACACGCCGGTGCTTTGATATCAGGTTCCGCACTGATTGGTGTAGTGCTCCAGCAAATGAGCTTCCGCCAGTGCTTAAGCCACGGTGCAGCGACCGACTTTTTGAATGGTGTCTTTGGCGGTGCCCTGACGGCTGACAGTTTCTGAGAGTAAAACAGTCTTTCAGGTCTAGAGGCTTTTCAGAGGGCCTCCTGGCTGCCCGTAGAGGCCCCACAAGCAGCACTTCTGGATTTGGGCAGCAAAGCACTTTCGACAGCATTGTGATAGATAGCAAAAACCTCAACGAGCGCCTACGATCAAATCGACTACTACTTTCAGAAGACCTGATCGCCTCCCTCTGCATTGCAATTCAAGATTTGCAATGCCGTGAGACACCAACTTTTTGTAGATCAATCAGAGAAGGGTTTAGTCTTCTCCGGACAGAAGTTACTCTCGTCATACGAACTCTCGTCCAATCGCATGAATGACAGCCACTCAGTTTGCAATAGCTCTGCTCTAGTTGCCAGCGTGCGCACAGTCTTGCCTAGAATTATCCGTTTAACTTTTGCCACATTCCCTCTTTCCTGCATTGCCATCAGAACCCTGCATGGTCAACCGTCCATGGCTGCGCAGTCCCTGCAAATCTCTTCTTCTCTCAGGCCGGCATTCCAGAGCGCCTTTCAGGCAGCATCAGATGCTCCTTACAACAGGATCTGTCCGCATGCTACTCTGAGAAGCATTGGAACTCAGAAGCTGCAGAAAGCCTGGCTGTGCTCCTGTCAAGCTCGTAGTGTTGTGGGTGCATCATCTACCAGCTTTTTTGGGCAGCATTGCAAGCCCAGGGATCCTCAGGAAAGCAAACTACTCCGTCGAGGCAAGAGGGTCGTCAGCATGGTTACAACAGAGTCCAAATCAATGGAGGTTGGATCACGCGCACCTGATTTCCAGGTAGGTGGATGAGAAAGGATTCTCTTGCTGCAGCCAGAATCTTGCTGTTAGTTGCACACTCCGAAGCCAATCCCGACTTGCTTCAAAATTGAACGGTGGCGCGTAAATTCAGAGGTTGCAAGCCGCAAAGCAGCAAGGAACCACACTGATTGTGGTGAGCCAGCTGCCTGCCAAGCTGCTCTGCCTGGCGTCTAAAGCAGATTGCCAAATCTGGATGCATAAGATGCCCCGAAAATGCTTGATGGGCCCAAGCTTGGTTGGCCCCTGATGCATGCTAGTTCCCCCGTTCACTATGACTTTATAGATTTTGGTCGCTGTCCATCAGGTGGTAGAATGTATCCCATACAAGGGGCCGAGAAGACAAATCAGGGCGCAAAATCTTTTTGGATCTCAAAACAGCCTTTGCCATGTCCGTGCAGCTGCTGGAGCCTTTGACGGGAAAAACTGTCAGTCTTGATGACTTCGACGGTGCCCCTGCTTTACTGGTAAGCAGGCAACATGTTAACTCTGAGAATCCGGAAGAAATGGCTATGGGCAAAAAATCTCAGTCAAGAGTAGTGGCAGATTCATTTTCCTCATCCGCTTCTTTTGGCCTCTGATCCATCACGAGCGCTCTGCCATTGCTGGGAACTACAAATGGATTTCAATATAAGCTCTAGTTTCTCCTCCACATGCAACAACAGAAGATGCTTGAAGCATTTCACCGCATTAGCTACGAAGCCAGCAGGCACGAAAGGAGGAGCAATCTGGATTGGTGTCTGATTGCAGGTCATCTTCATGTGCAATCACTGCCCTTATGTCATCCATTTGAAAAAAGCAGTCAAAGAGCTAACTGACGAGTACATCAGGGTAAGTCAATCTCCGAAGGTGTCATCTTGACAGAGCCATTTGTGGTTGGCCGTCACCACAGCATATGATGGGCAATCCGTAGAAGTCTCTTTGTCTAGAATTCTTAAACTGCTTTGTAGGTCACGATAAGAACCTGCGAGAAGATGCTTTGCATTGATCCACCAATGGGTTGACTGTGCGGGATTGATCACTTGCTGATCATTGGGACGAATTGAACGCCACCATCTAACATTTTCTGCCGTGTTCCTGCAGAAAGGCTTGTCTGTGGTTGCAATCTCTTCGAACAGTGTCAAGACACATCCACAGGTATGTTGCTGCTGATTGGCGCCCTTGGGTTGAGTCCATATGCTGGCAATCGCACACAACGTTTTGCTCGTACTTGCAACTAGTTCGATACAAGCTCCTTCCCGTTTGTAAGATATTGCAGACGACGAGAGGGTCCTGGCGTTGGTACGCCTAGACAATTTGCGTGTTAAGACCCTTCTCCGCGGAAACATGTGGCCAGAGTGACTCTCAGCTTGAGTTCCCTGACCAACTTACTGATAAACCTTACGAACTGCGTGTAACTGCAGGATGGGCCCGACCAAATGGCCGATGATGCCAAGCAGCTGGGATACGACTTTCCATACCTGTACGATGAGGTACGTGCGTTTTCCGTCTCGGTTCTACGATCGAAATAGCTTCGCATGCGGCCTCGATTACAAGCCTTGGTTTCGCTGTGACTCACTGTAGGTGGTCGTATCTGACTGCCGGCCAACGAACAACGAGCTGCAAACATAATCTACCGGAAGCAAGGGGCTGGCGATACTGAGGCTTTCAGCGTGTCCATTGTAAAAGTCACAGCAAAAAGACAAGCCGATCTGGTTTATCCGGCCTGGTTTTTACTGCGAGAGTCAAAGGCGCTGATTGATTTGCGGGTGTCTTAGTTTGAGGGGATCCCTTAGGAATTGGCTCACCAAAGACAGTGCCCAGTGCCGTTTTTTCAGAACGTGGGCATTTTCGCCGAGGATGTCGACAGCCAATGTCCACCGCAGCGGACCGAAGACTTCTCGTTCTCTCGTTGGCAGACGACATGGTCTCAGCATCATTCGTTTGCCCTGCCCGTTTACTTTGCATCAAAAGTTTTGGCTCCACGACTCATTTGTGAACGTCTGCAGACCCAGGATGTTGCGAAGGCTTACAAGGCCGTGTGCACCCCCGAGTTCTACGTTTTCAAGAAGGTAAGCTCAACTTAAGGACCTTTCTAGGAGGAGGCCCGCCGGTGCGAACCTCGTCTTCACTACCTGCCGCGACTGAATAGGTCTGAAATGAGTCTTAGTCGAAGCCTGCCTTGCGGTCAGACGCTAATCTGGCAGATTGAGAGCACAGATTGTTAAGAACCACCTTAGCGATCTTTCTTCAGCGATCTTTCTTATGACAAGCAAGAGAGCAACCATCACTTGCGCCAACTGGGCTTTATTGATGAAATTTCAAGATTCTGCGAAGCGAAAGCGTCATCAACGAATCTTGCTCGACCGGCAGATGAGGAACCCTGACGAACCAGCGGAAGAAATTAGTTTTTAGCTTCTCGTCTCAAACAGTAGTAACGAAACCTGATTCACCGAACTTCGAACAGCTTCTGCAAGCGCGCTCACACACTTCACTTCAGAGCCTCCCGTTCTTCGGGCGTCCGGCTTGAGGATGGTCGTCCGGATTCGTCGCTTTTGGCCGTCGCACTCATCAAGCTCCTATATTGGGAACGGCTCTGGTGATTCGCAAGTCGTAGTGTCCTGGGCTCTACCGGTCTCGAATGTTTCTCGACAAGTATCGTGGAGATTGTTTACGCAATCTTTGTTGCACTTTGTTCGGCAGACGTGATAGGGGGAATGAGCACTACCTTTTTGCGCGGCTCCGGTTCTCACCCCAAGAAAGCCGGCTTTATAGTATCCCGCGGTGCTCCTTTACCAGGTCTTGCGAAGTTCCTTCTCGGCCTTGTCTCGAGGGTGTCAAAAACTCGAGTCTGTTTTTGCAGGACGGACGGCGACCGTTTGAGTTGACGTATCACGGCCGTTTCGATGAGACTCGACCCAGGAGCGGCATGACCCCGACGGGAAAGTGAGTAGTAACGCGCCATCGTCATAGATCGGAGTCTCTTATGGCATAGTGTAGGTGCCTGCTTCTGCACAGGCGAAGTCGTAAGTGTGTATATCCTGGGTTGGTCGTTCGAAGCAATCAGCGGGAACGCAGTAATCCCCTCAGTGGACGTACTTGGCATTAGAGATCTAATCAATACTGGCTTCTGATATATTTGAGAGCTGAAAAAGCCGGTTGACGCCCTTCGGATTCTTCCGTGCAGAGATCTGCGGAACGCGCTGGACTGCACACTTTCGGGACGGCAGGTCACTGGTCAGCAGCTGCCATCCATTGGCTGCAGTATCAAGTGGCACCCGGAGGAGTGAGGCAGTAACTTCGGTGTGACGCAGTATGGGCCGATCCGCTTATGAAACCAGGCGGAAAAGGGGCAGCCCAAGAGTTTACTTGTGCACCTGATCTAGTATACTTCCGAGCTCGTGGTCTTCGCGATAGAGTAGAAGACGAGATGACGAGAGCATCGACCTCCTGGGAAGCTCAAACTGAGTGCATGTACTCTAACCGCGTTATAGAGTAGGGCCGGCCGGCGTATCATGAAGTCGGTCCGACAGAATTTCAGTTCCTGGCAGAAAAGTGTAGAAATAAGTTGTATGCTACCTTCGGCGTCCGTCGTGATGGCTGTTGAACCTGCTCGCTGGCTACTTCACCTGCATGTCACTGCTACTATACTCATCATGTAGCCTGGCCGGCTGATCACAGATTGTATAGAGCTATATTATGATACTGAGCTTATCATGGCTCAGAGGCTAGTCATGATGGCCGTACGCATTGTAAAGTACATAGCATTGCATGCTCATATTCGAAGGCAATTGCGGCAAACTTGTAGCCAACTTTTCCAAAACGTGATTGTTGCTGCATGCGCCGTGGTGAGCACAGTTGTAATTAAAACCGCATTGATGCACTGCAGCCTAAGCACATGCCAGTGGCTGTCACGACGGCCCGCCATGTCATCCGGATTGTTTACTTATACATGTATTCTAACTGATGAAGTACTATTCCTGTTATATCCAGGTCGGATCGCGAGCTTTCCGGCCGTACGCACATGTGCCCACGGGCCATGGAATTCGGCCGGCTATACAGGCTAGCTATATAGAGAACCATGGTACGTCTGCAAATCACGTACGCGTAGCATGGTAAAATGAACATGAGCAAACATGTTCAGAGCGTCCAGTCTTCGTACTATAGTGACATATGGATCAGACGTATTTAAGGACATGTACAGGCGTCAAGATTAGAGCCTGCTAGACGACAAGCAAGTGTAGCCGCTGCACTTGAAGCACGACAACATATGCACACTTGAACCGTAATTATGCTCCAATTGTACACGAATAATATCGAGCAGCATGAAAGCGACAATCAGGAGAAAATACGAACAAACAAGATTCAGAAGGGGGGGCCAAGTGTCCCTTCGGCATGCAGTCCAACCGCATGACTTGCGACGATAGTGATGATAATGATGATGAAACGATACGAAGGCCGAAATCTTTGTGACCTGCACAACATGCCCCAACAATGTTCGAGCATTTTCCATCCAAACTACGAGGGTTCAATGCTGCAGCTCTAAGCAAAGGAAGTCAGGGAAGATTTGCCGATCTAGAGCCTGTACCAATGTCCAGTAATCGACTCCTATTTACTCTTCCTTGCCGGTCTCAAGATCGTGGTATATGCCGCCTAACCAAATATAGTTCGGACTTGGTGTCCGCCCTGTGCTGTTGAAGACTGACCTGGCGTCCTCCACAGCAGCAAAGAACGGATCCTCTGTTACTGTGACAGCCTTCAATGACTTCATCTCCCGCCTTGACCACTTTGGCAGTCGCTTTATGGCGAAACAAAGCAGCACGTAGAGGATGAAGATCTTGAACAAGAACCAGGCGACCCACCACGGAACAAATGTCAGGCAGCTGTACAGGAGAATCCCAGAGGGGATTCTCCCAGAGGGGATTTTTTGTCCCGCTTTCCCTGTAACGTCGCCTGGAGAGAGCAAGTCAGTTCTCCAGATGCTGCAGCGAACCAGTATATCCGACCCATCCCAAGCAGCCGCCTGAATGCAGATGGCTCCAAAAGAGTGTAGAGAGAGAAGCCGATTGCCAGCAGCAAGCGCGCCAAGAAGTTGATCCACTCTAAACCCTTGGCCAGCAGCTCCCCCCTTCGTGCACTTGCCAACAACTGTTGAATCGGTGCCAGAGACAGCCCCGTCTCGCTCGAGCCCCCCTCGGATTCAACTGCTCCAAGCAATCCAGCTCGGTGTTGTACAATTGTCAAACGACTACCCCACTCTGAAAGGCGCATCTCGGCAAGTTTGGCGAGAACGGCCTTGGCTTCTTGCTGCCTTCCCCTATAGAAGGATGCCCGCAAGTGGATACAGACCTGGGCGCCATGCTGATTCTGGCTAAGGAAATGTGCTATTGAATCGAAGTTCTGGGGAGAAAGGCGGAAGTCGACTTCGAGAACCTGAAGGGCTGCGCTCGTTTGCAGGGCCACTGAACCAAAGATGTCCTCCCTCCAATCATGTCCCCAGAAATCCACTTTGGGAGCCTGGAAAGACACATGGAAGACACCGCTCCCACCAATCGCCTCGCAGACTGTTGAGAGGGGATCCGAGCTAAACCTGTCGCAATCCAACAACCTCAGACAGAGCTCAGGGCGCCTCCGCAAGAACTCTGCAATTTCAGAGCCCCTTTTTGTGACGAGCATCTCAGTGACAACCTTGCTTTCATCCTTCAGATGGTACGTTTGCTCCCAACAGCCAAGGACATTTCCAGCCGCATTCTTGAGGTGCGCTATCGTCAGGACCTTGCTAAGGAAGTTGTTGTAGAGGGCTTTTGAGTGCTTTTCGTGGGGATCGTGGGACATCAGGGAATACTCTGAGTAGGTCAAAGAGCTGGCATTTGCTAGAACTCGGGCTAGAGGGCTCTGGAAGGCGCGTCTTTGCTCTGCAACTACGGGCCCTTCTGAGGGGACAGTAAGATCATCCAAGCCGTATCTAAAGGCAGACCACGTATCTGATATCGCTAGATTCACACGGAACGTGCAGTCTCCTCCTGTCAGAGCTCGCAAAATATCCGTGTGGTGCATGGGAAAAGGTGGATCATCTACCCTGTTCATCCTTAAGTCAACTCTATACCCTGCTGCGGAAAGCACAATGACGCTTGCTGCTAAGAAAGAGGGCGACAACATCTTTGCTCCAGATACATTGAGCCAGACACACACTCTCTCTCGCATTGAGCTCTCAATTTGTGCTGCTGCGGTCTCAATGAAGGGAGGAAAGACAACTTCAGAAACCTTGCGCCCCATCTCCTTCAGCCAGTCAACATTCTCTGCTGCGAGAATGGTGCAGGCCTCGAGCACACGTTTTGAACTGCTCAGCGACCGCTCCAAATGCTTCTCGAGAAACTTTTGCTGGTATGGAAAACCAGCCGCTCTCACAATTGAGGCAATCCTGGCCTCCAAGTACACATCTTTGTAGATTGGTGACCAAGGGCGCTGTCTTCTTTCACGGTGAGCCTGCGCAAAACTGTCAAATACTGCGGCCATGGATTCAATCTGGGGCAAAGCTTTGTCAAAGCCTGGCTGGATTTGCGCGAGGACTTTCACAAACTGGCTCTCACTTACATCTGTTGCACTCATGACCCGCAGGTTGACTGCATGCCAGGGTTCCAGATCTCGAAGCACGTCCCTGTGACCCTTGCTCACCATTTCCAGTGCCAAGCGATCCCTGAACGCAATCATCTTCAGGATGATACGAACAACATCCGCAGGCAGCTCATGGATTGGAAAGGAGCCCGCGCCTTCTTCATCAAGGCTTAACCCCGCCTGCCCTACGTCCATGGCGCTTGCAATCAGTTGCTCCATCATCTCACCACAAGTATCCTGCTTCAGCGCACCTGCCGAGAAATCTCAACTGCAAGCAGCCTCATCATGCCTCATCAGCCATTGGCATTGCCTGTTGTGCAGGTCTAGGATAAACCCATGTCATAATAACACCATCTCTGCCTTCGAATCCAAATTCTGAGCAAGCCTGCTATAAAACCCGTATAAAACGCCTCGGCGACCAGATAGCGTGTATGCCCGCAGTTCGGGTCGCTAATCCGGTCCCATGTGATCAGTTTCTTGGCGACAAAGGAGCAGAATACCATGCGAAGTGGCCGCTGCAGTACCCACGTGGTCAGACGCCCTCTTCAATTGATCAGTAATTTAATTCTCAAGCTGCTGCGCACACTGTGCACAGCACCAGAAAAGCAGAGCCAGCGGGCGCAGCTTGTTGCTGCTGCTGTCTTGCAAGTTGCATGCTTGTCCACTGGCAGTGTTCTGCTTTGAACTTTTGAACTTTGACTTCGCGTTTCTGGTGGCTCGTCCGCCTGTTGTACTGCCCGTTTGCTGGTCTGAATACCTTACCATAAAGCTAATCTGAACGGCATTGAGGCGGGGGCTAGGAACGGGCTAGGAACGTGGAACATTAGTCCAGCTTGTTTGAACAGCAAAAAACATATCAAGTACTTCCTCTTGTTCGCGCTGCTCTGATGTACGCTAGGTTGTGTTTCACCAGCGAGCACGGATTGACAAGTTCGATGAGAAAGGGGACGAGGACTGCAATGACTCACTGATCGATTGCAATCTGGTAGGAAGTGGTACTTGTCTTGGAGCAGTAGCATGGTCCTGTTTGGCCAGTCATGAGCAATTGCTGGTGCAAATGCGAGGCGGGTGTGGGCCAGTGTGGGCCCAAGGTGCCAAAGCTGAAGGCGCTCTTCCGGTGAGATCTCTATGCTTTTTCGCAGAGTCTATCTGTGAGACGACCAGCGGCTTCTTACTTTCATAAAGGCTGAGGAGCATGACACAGAGATCATGGTGGTGGTTGCTGCAAAGAGGGGAAGACTCAGAGAATGCGATTGGCTCCTGAAACTGAATGAACAGCCACAGTTGTACGTTTCAAGACCGCCTAAATTACTAGATTCATGCAAGAGCAATGTCAACTATTGAAAGATACCCTGAGTCGTCATCTTTTCTGCAGATCCTACAAAGATGGTGATGACGGCCCCATAAGGCGCAACGACAGGCAGGCTGAGCTGGAGTCCCTATGGCAGGTGACTGTTTTTCGCACTACCCCACGGTTCAAAGGGAGGGCAGGTGTTCCGTCTGCCGTGCTTTGTACAGAACAGGTGGTCTTTGATCTTACCAACCAGAACCTCCTTAGGGACTCATATGTTTTGTCCGCCAGGTATAGAGGATCAAAGGCTGGCTCCTCTGATCAGCGCCCTCGCCGGTTCTCACGGTGGCGCCTTAACTTTCGAAATGCTGTTAGCCTTACCACTTGTGCTTCTTTCAACTACACAAATTGCGCACTACTTGTTGAAAGAATCATAACTCTTCTGGAAAAGGCTGCGGCTTTATCAGCTCTCCTCAAGCAGATTCATCGAAGTTCTCCTCCCTAGGTGGACCATGTCCCGCCTGATTTGAAAAGAACGAGACGAAAATAAGGAGAGGCAAGGAAAGTCGAATTATAAGCATGCAAAGTAAGTCTGACAATGTTGCTTTTTGTTTTCAGGAGTGCGGGGAAGACAAGCTGATGCGGCAGGAGGATTTGAAGGTCGCTCTCGCAGATGCAGTGGACCGGGTCTATGACAAGGTAGGCGGTACGCTGGACTCCATTTTGAGAACTTCTTCCGGACAGTGATGTGGGGGCAGTACTGTCTATGTCAGGGCACAAGGGTCGCCAAGGGCTGTGCCTGATTGAATTACAAGGACTTGATTTTGTAGGTCCCCATGTAGCGCTGAGCAAACGGGGCCTTGAAGAGAGTCGTGGTTCGTGTAGGTTTGTCTTTCTCCTGCTGACTTGCGGGGAGTGACAATCCGAAAACCAGGTTGTAGACATTGATTTTCTTCTGCTGATTTCAGTTCACCTGCACCTTCAGGAGAGGAACCCAGCGATTTCCTGGGCAATTGGGCGAACAGAGGTTGTGGACTTGTTTTGCGACTTTCCCTGCAAAGGTTGTCTTTGCCTTCTGCCTGATTTGATTCTTTCCAACTTCTTCCGTTGATACGATGCCCCCGAAGGTGACAACGTTGGATTTTGCTCGGTTGCATCTGAGTAACGTTGCACCGAGTTGATTTGCATTTAAGGGCCACAGACTGTTCTGAGGATATTCGTCACCTCTCTATGTTGAAGGGGCCGATCAACGTTCCCGAAGCAGGCCAAAGCGATCGTGTAACCTTCTGTTGAACTCCTGAACTTCATAGACGCCACGCTTCCGATCGTTGTCTTTTGTCTCAACTCCCGTTTCGTTCATCCTCCGAAACGCACCTGAAAGCCGTTTGTTTTGGGGAATGCACGAAGTAAGAAGTACAGACCAAAGAAGTACGAAAAGAGATTGGTCTGGGAAGAACAAACGAACGAACGAAAAGAAGCTCCTTGCTGCAGTGTCAGGAGGACGCCATGCGCCGGCGCGCCGCGCTCATGGCAAACGTGCTGGCGAGCGAGGAGCGGATCCGCGACATCCTGGGGATCGAAGCGGAGATCGCGCCCAAGGAGCTGCCACTGCAGACGCGGCTCGACGCGAACCTGAGCCGTTTGCACGAGCTCGAGAATGTGAGGCGTGCTCTCTTTCTGCTCGCTCTCTTGCCCTCATTCTGCAATTCTTTCTTGTTTTTTTCGTTGTTTTGGCGTTCTATGTTGGTGCAGGGAGTTGTGTCGATCATCTTTGTGTTTTATCTGTGTACTGGCAGACTTGCTTGAGAGGGGCGACTTCGCTTCTACCGCGACAAAAATAACAGCTGCGGACGGGCAGAGTTCGTAGCTTACCAGCTACTTTTCAGTGCAGAGAGAACAGAGAGGTTATGTGTTTTTATTAGAAAAAGGCAGCGGCTAGTGTGGCGAAGTATACCAGACGAAAGTGGATCAAACGAACATGAACAACTGCACCATGACCCATGTACCGAGCTTCATCTTATATGGAGGCTCTAGAATCTTTTGGTAGCAAGATAAAGTACCTGTTGAGTCTTCATTGCGAGACTCTGGCCTGGAGTACGGTAGAATTGGATTTCCATGCCCTATTTCATCGGGCGTATAGAACCGCTAATCGATCGCATACCCCATCCTAGTGGGGTATTCTTTCCAGGTTTTCGATCTTGTGTGAGAGGTCTCGGCATATCGTTGAGATTCGTTTTGAAGAAAGCCTACGTTGAGTTCAGTCACTTCCTGGAACAGGTTAAGATAATTTGGGGGTTTAGGGTGGGCAGTGGTGCGGAGCACGTTAATCTCGTTTGTAGAATCTTATTATATCCGAGTCGGGGGCACTGGTGCAAGCTGGCGTCGTCCTTACTCGACGCCCAGTTGAAACTTCATCGGTGTTATGAATGAGATCCTCCAGGCTTGACTGAGTAATGTTATGTTTTTCTGAATGCAGCTGCGGGGCGACGGCTTTGGCTGGATGGGCGGGCTCGTCATTCTGATGGAGCTGCGGCGGCGCATGTCCGCACTGCGAACCACGATCCGAGTGCCGGACGGGCCGGAGGGCTCCAAGCTGGAAGAGGTGAGCGAACTCCGTATTCAAGAAAGGCTTCTTTGAGTTTTCGAGACTTCGTCGAGAGTTGCCTGTCACAGGACCCACAGGTGGAGCCCGCTCGTCTGGAACGGGCCGAGGTCTGACAAGGTCCAACACCTTGTGAACTTCGTCGATCGGGACTGATTTGAGTGGAGAAAGGTTCTCCACTTGGAAGCTGGAAGTGTGACTCTTTGGGTGCCGTTGGAGGGACAGGGAAACAACGCCGATATTCATGATAACGGACCAACTTATTGAGATCGGTTTGTCCAAAAGCAATCGACCAAAGCAATCTTCCAAACCGGATGGCAGCATCTCTGGCCATTGTAGCTCGTAGAATCCCGGCATGGGCAAATCGGGAGCCTGTACGGACAAGCAAGTCACAAAGCCTTGATCTACAGAGTACTCGACTTTCGAAGGCCAAGAAACGGCTGAATATATGTTTGGCCTGACGAAGGCCTTCCCGTCAGCGGCACCGGCAGCACGTCGAGGGAGAGTCTTTTCCCTCGACTTTCTTTTGTCACCGGAGTGACCGTTGCTAGAAGGCTTCTCTAACAATTGTGTGCGGTGATACCTTTTCCGGGTGACGGACAGCTTTCTTAATCAACTTCTGCGAACAACCCTCTTATCCTCAATAATGGCCCATTCCGGTGCGAACAACAATCTTATCCTCAACAATGGCCCATTCCAAAGCCGGATATAGTCATGATGCCGGCAGGCTTTAGAACAGGTGCGAACTGTTCAAGAAACTTATTTTCTGAGGACAAACTCCAAAACCAGACTTGTTTGATGTCACAGATGCTGCACTCGACTATGGACGCTTTGGAGCATCCGGACAAGGACAGCAGCGAGAGGGGGTCGTCCAAAGCTGCGCCACGGACCTTGAAGAAACCCATGTTCCAGGTACGCTGACGACATGGTTACTATGTTTGTTATTGCAGAAGATCTTGTGCAATCTGTGCGCTCCAACTCTGGCAGAGATATCCATCAACGGCACAAGGGAATCAAAATAGGAGGAAGTGGGTTCGCTCGCGTAGGTTGCCCGTTGGTTGGGTTCCATGAGACATTTCTGGTTAAGCATTCAGCCCAAAGGGCTTTTGCTCTTGACCCAGTCGCCAACCCCGCTCTTGACCCACCGTTTCCAGCGCCTAGAGAGTTTCTACAAGAACCTCTGCGGCCTCGACGGCGCCCCCGAGCCCCTGCCCCCTGCCAACCCCTCTGTTGAGAAACCGGTCTCCCCCGGACGCCCACCTAAGGTACCGAAGCGGGACGGAGAGCCCGTTTCTCCACCCGGTTCCGCTTTGAAAATGGATTACCCACAAATCCGGGTTTCGGCCGCAGCCAGCCCCGATACCGGTCGCGCTCCGAAGGAGAGCTACCCGCTGATCATTGCCGCGCCGACGGACATTCAAGAAGAGCTGACTCTTGAATCTCTGGGTGGGTTGTCTGGTAGAGCATCTTTTCTGCTGAATGTTAGAGGAAAGGGCGCCGCATCTTTTCGGAGCTTCGTCTACGGAAACGTCTCGGCGCAAAATACTGCGCGCGTTTCATATTTTTTCTTGAAGAGAATGTTGACGAGTGGGCTCCTAATCAAGAAGAGGGTTGCCAGTTGCTTTCGAAAGAAACAGAGGCTCAGTCAGCAGTGCGGGCGGGCAAGGTTGGACACCACTTTCACAGGCTTCCCTTTGATGCACTGCCGGTGTCTCTCGCAAACGAAGAATCCCCACGATGGAGCTGCAGGGTTCCTGGTTTCTAGGCTGTTGGTGGAATGCAGATTGTGGCCCCTCGTTGTTCTCAAAATTCTGCTGCCCTCGACATTTGCAATAAGTGACCTGGGCTCATTTGACGTGTCGCACTCGAAAATTTCCCTACGTGAGTCTGCTTCTAATTCACGAGGATATGTCCGGAAGGTTCATTCGTAACTGCCCCACAGCGTCAACGCTTGCAACTGCGTTTCACGCTCTCTGGCCCCTCTCCTCAGAGCCTTTCTGTTAAGTTCCTTACTAACCACCTTCATGATTCTCTCTCGTACTCCCAGGTGCCAAGATCATCAAGAAGATTGATGAGATCAACGCCAAGCACGCTCCCCCACCCTCGACAGCTCCCGCCCCTCCACCCCCCCCAGGCGACAACAAACGGCCGTTGCCGCCGTCTCCCCTGATCCTGCCTCAGCCGAAAATTCCACGCTGCATATCCATAAGCGCCCCGCCCTTCTTATGGCCCACCGACCTGACAGCATTGGCAGAAACGCAGAGAGCGCTCGAAGGGAGTTCTTCGGAAGAAGAGCCAGGTGTTTCGGGGGGCGGATCGTTTTTCTCGTCGTTCTTCCCCGTCGGGGGGCGGTCAGCGCAGCAGACTGGGGTGCAATTCGTGAACGGCGTCAGCGGTTCCGGTTCTGCTGGGGACCGAAAGGAAGAGGGCCGGCCGGAAGGGACTGGCGCCCGCCGTCTGAATCTTTTCGGGGGGTTCTTTGCCAGCGGGAAGTCCCCCCGGGAAGGAGATGCGGGCGCTGTCTCCCCTGCCGAGCCGGCATTGGAAAGCAGCCGAAGTATGGAGGCCCGCAGGGCGGATTCCGCCGGAGCTCCGGCGGAACAGCCTCCGGTTCCTCCGCCCAGAACGCCTCTTCACCAGTCGGCTTCCGAGGGGGCTCTGAACACCCCCACCGCTGCCCCGCCACCGCCCCCTCCAAGAAGAGTAGCTTCGTCAGGGGGGCCTGCACCCCCACCTCCACCGCCCCCCCCTGCCAGGTCAAAATCGGGCGCTCTGCTGACGCAACAAAAAAGCAAGCTGAAAAGGTCCACGAAAATGGGGGCACTCTACCGGGGGTTGAAGCGCAAGGTGGAAGGAACGGGCGGAATGGGGGGGTGGGAAGCGGGGCAGGAAGGAGGGGGGGGGCGAGGATGGAAAGGGGCGAAAGGGCGCTGCGGGGGCGACTGCGGCGGGGATGGCAGAGATGCTAGGCGAGATTACGAAACGGTGGGTGGACTCAATTCCTTTCTTTGCAACGATTTTGGCCTTTGAGCCTTTGACTGGGCGGGTAATGATTTTGCAATAGTTAGATTCCGAAAGGAGCCATTGTTTACCAGCATAACAGGTTGCGGTTTTGTTCCTACCGTTGTTCTCTGCCAGTAAAGGCCCGGTGGCTTGTGGCCCGTTGGCTCCAAACCCAACATTTAGGATCTGAATGTCGTCATTTCAGCTGACTTGCCACCTCCGAGAAGTCGTGCGGCCGCAATTTTAACAAGCAGCTTACTCCTGGTTCCGGCATGGGGCGAGTCCCCTTAGGGCTAGATGCAAAATCCTATCACCAGAACTTCAAAGGCAAACCATCTGAAGGTATTCTGGCGCCCTTGCTTGCAGATCCGCCTACTTCCAGCAGATTGCCGCCGACGTGAAGCAGCACGCGGCTGCGATCGAGCAGGCGAAAGCCGCCATCGAAACCTTCCAGACTGCGGACATGGACGCCCTTCTCGCCTTCCGGACGTCCGTCGAAAACGCGCTCGAAAGTCTGACGGACGAAAGCCAGGTTCTGGCGCGGTTTGAGGGGTTCCCGAGCCGCAAACTCGAGACGATCCGAATGGCGGCCTCGCTGCACTCGCGGCTGGCGGGAACGGCGAAAGACCTGGAGCAGTGGAAGGTCGCGGGGGGAGCGTATGAAGAGCTGGAGCGGGCGATCAAGTACTTTGACAAGGTGGGCGGTTTTGGGTCCGATCCTGGGTGTGTATTTGGGATCGAGTTTCGGGTCTTGTTTTTTTGTTGCCATTCTATGCGCTTAAGGTTCCGGCCTTGGTTTTAATTTTCGTGTGCGAAAACCTGCCGGCTCGGAATGTGCCTATCACTTCTGGATAGAGCGAAGTATCTGGACGTTCGATCAGGGCATCTTTAGCGGTTCTAGCTCTCGTCTGGTGGAAAGTCGGCACCGTGGAAGGTCCGGGGGAGCATATGACGAGTTGGAGGGGCGGATGTTCACTGTGACAATGCAGGCGGATCTAAGGGGTTCACTTCTGCTTTTGCTGGGCGAGAGACTGGTGGCCTTCGGAACCGGCGGTGAACAGTTTGTGAGGGTGAGACATTGGAATGAGTGGGGATTGAGAAGGCGGGTGACTGTTGAAAGCGGAGCAGGCACTCAATTGTATCACAACGTAGCACTTCTCAGTGAGCAGTGCTTCTGGTGGACTGAGGTTTGGGTTGGCTTTTTGTTGAGTGGTGGGCCACTCTTGAAGCATTAGATGAGACACGTTGAGAAGGCTGTGTCCACTTATCTCGCTTTCGGCTGGCCTACTCCATTCCAGCGATCTGCCAGCCTTCAACGAGCCTCGAGAGCGTAGTTTAGGAATGTCTCGGATGTCCCAGTCTCGGCCCTTTTCGCTACATATCACTTCGCTACTCGGATTTAGAAACCATTTCCTCCTGGCAAAGTCTAATCTGATCGTTTTTCGGACCGTCAGATGAAGAAAGAGGTGGAGGCCTGCGAACGGACCCAGGACGAGGACGGCCGCCGATTTGCCGCGAGCAAAATCTCGTTTGACTGGACGACCATAACCAGGTGCGGTCCTCCGCTCGCCTAATAAACTTTACCTGCTCATCCAACCAGTCTCAAGGAGGGCTTGCGTAAATCTACACTCTGCCAAACCGGGCGCATTCTCGGGCAAAGTCTGAAAAGCAACCTCGGAAATTGGAGAACGATTCGTCGGGGTTCGGCTGAGGCGGCGTTGATTTGAGCTGAAGGGGTTCCTGTGTGGCGTCCCTCAAACGCATCACTCCTTCCTGTAGAGATGAAAGGTTGCCACGCTTTCACGGGGGCGCGGGCAATGTTCGATGATTATTCCCTGGCTGTCCTTTTCTGAGCGCATCTACCATAAAAGTTTGAGCTGGACAAACTGCAATCGACAGATTGCAGGATTTTGCGCTCTGGATTCTTTTCTGTGGGTATTGTCGATCGCAAGCAAGAAAAGTCCTCCGTTCGCACCCACAGAAGGCTAATGTCAAATCTCCCTCCGACATCGTGCATTGGTCGGTCGCAAGGGCAAACAATATCTGGCTGCTCGGTAGCACTAGTTCAGCAGTAACGCGCGCCCATATTGCAAGCGTTGGCGGCAAGCGCCTCAAAAACCCCGTCTTTTGTCTCTCCAGGGTGAAGGAAGCGGCTGTGGGCTTGTCGGGGCGCCTCCTTGAGATCACGCTCCAGGTAAATCGCAAGCCCTCAATGCCTCCGTGGCGTCGACCTGTCTGCTTTGCGCCATAAGACCCCTTTCAGTCCAGTTTCTGCAACTTATCTTCGTCAACGGTTCTGTTTTTCAGGAGGTTTGGCGGGCCGAAAATGACTTCTCGCTTCAGTCTGCCGTGCCTCTCCTTTCATTCCTTGTGTAAGAGGCGCAGCAAGTCATCGTACTGTTCCGACAGTCTCTAGCACCACGTTGTGTAGATTCGGTCCTTCCTTCTCTGCTACAGGAAAGCCGAAGACTTCGACAGACTGTTGACTTCGAAAGCGAGCCCTCTCCTGCCGACGTCAGCAAAGTTCGCCAACAGGTGCACACTATTTGGGCTGCTTTCCAGTTCGCCTTTCGCGTCTACAACTTTGCGGGCGGCCAAGACGAGAAAGGCGAGCAGTTGGCGGAGGCAATGGCTGAGGAGATTGAAGCGTACCCGGCGGGTGCTTGGAGCTAGTGCAAATTTGCAATGAATCCGAAGTTGTGGCGTTGCAAAACGATTGCTCACATGCTAGGAAGCTGGTAACAGGTAAGATATGATTTTAGACAAATCATCTGGCAATTGTGAAGCCCCCTCCATTCATGTGACTCCAGACCCCGGCCTAAAGCCGACGGCGAGTGCATGCTAATTGATCTTCTCACCGAGACTCAAGCAAACGTTGCTCGATACATTCTCGATACATATGCTTTCTCACGTTTAGTGACGGTGAATTATCGGGCCGCCGGATTAGGCACAATCTTGCACGGGTATACTGAAAATTTAGAAGCGTTTCCGTTTATGTAATGGAAGCAGTGCCATGGACTTACTCAACGTGCGTTTGGCGCTACTGAGATTGAAGGATGACGCCCGGCCTGGCAGCCCGACTTTTGAAGCTTACACCTTTGCATGAGTGGGGCGGGGCCTTGTAGCTTTGGTATCGCACATGGCATGTGCAAGACGTACTATACAAGATGAAGCATGTAATTTCAACCATGTCTCGCGCGGGTCAGGTAATTTTCAGGCTTAGCAGCTTCCGAGTCCCATGTACGACCAACGCTTTGATCATGTTTCGGCATGCACCACTGAGCTGAACCTGCATCCTTTTTCAATTTGCAACTCACGCGGTCACACCGAAAAGGCGAACGTCTTAATTCCAGACTTCGATTGAAGCTTCAGATTTGATTGTCATTTTCGCATAATTTGGAGAACGGATGCTAGGCACATGTCAATGTAAACGCAATGCGCAATGGCTAGGTTAGCCGGAGGCCTACTGCACGAGAGCCTTGTCAGCGAATTGGCAAGCTAGCCGTATGGGGATCGATTCCGGGAGATCGATTGACGCATCTCGAAGTTGCTCTGTTCACAGCAAAAGCGTTACTACGCTGTGCAATAAGGTCATCTCAGTCATCAATACCAACTTCACCCGGCCGCTAGAGGAAGGCAGATTATCAGCCGCCGCTTGTAAAATTCTCTTTACGTACGTTTTTGGTAGATTCTTTCTTTTTGGATTCTCTCCTGCGGATGCCGTGCAGTTCAACAAGACGCGTATTCCCTTCGTTTCATGATCTCGACCGATATGCAGAGGAATGCAGCTCTGTTTCCTTGGTCAGGCCGCTTCATGAGGGAACCTCGTCGGTACGACTGCCACCA